TTGGCTGCTATCGGTTTGTTCCTGAATTGATATTTAGCCGCTGTGGTCCCCCTCTCTGAAAGCAGACTCCTTTGCTTGTCTGAGCTGCCTGAGTTTAGCTGTAAACCAGGGTTTGTCATTATGCTATCCTCGCAGAAGTGAATGTATGACGTCTGTCATGGTGTGGATTTTGTTATTTATGTACTTTGGTTTTATTTTGATATCAGTTCCCTGTGCTTTGGTTTTAGTTTTACTTCCTGTGTTGTTCCCCAGTCTTGATTATCTGCCCCGCCTTGATGTGTTTCACCTGTGTCTGTGTCTATATGTACCCTGTGCTTCTCTCCTCTTGTTGCTGGTCCATAATATTGTCAACATCTGTTCCGTCCTGTTCCTTTTTTTTCCGTTTTCCGTTCCGTTTTTTTTTTTTTTTAAGACACTCAAGAAGGCTTTACAATGGGACAGGTCATTTTAAAAAGCTACAATAGCTGAACTACATCATGGATCTATTATATTAACTGGATAGGGTAATACTAGCTTGTAGCTGAATAACCCATGTGCTCAGTGGATTCTCGCGGTACTGCAGACTAGACCAGACTAAATTCACGTGGGCTACCCAGAAATTTTCCCCATAGAATTCAATGCAAATTAAAACAGCTCGACCTCAGCTGACAGGGAACCTACAGCTTTCATAAAGGTCGGATTTTGTGGGGATTTTAGTGTCCCTTGTCATCCTGAACTTTTTTTCTTCTTAAATCCTTTGGTTTTGTTTAAATCCACACTTTAGTGCCACAAACTCTGCTCGTCCGGCTCTCGCTCTAACTCCCGCTCTGATGAACTGCTCTGATTGGTCAGAGCGCGGCCGAGCCCCTCTGTGCACGTGCGACGTGAGACCCGGTGTGAGACCCACAAACGCGTGTTTGACGCAACGCATTATGGGAGATCATCCACTGCGCAGAACCGGGAGGACCAGACAATGCCCAAATACAGGCGAGTTTCCCATAGATCTTTGCGAGTTTCAGGCAACTTCCGCTAATCTTTCAGCCCCCATGCCGTCACAAAGCGCCACTGAGCACAACCATTCATTTGAATAGGGCGCCATCTTGGATCGCCGGGGCTTGAACTACATGCACTCGGTGATCGAACGCAGCCTTCCATCGCTGCAGGACTTGTACAACGCCCGAGCTTGAGAACGCGCTGGTCGTATCACGGCCGACCCCTCTCACATGCACATGGAATATTCCAACCTCTCCCTTCAGGCAGAAGGCTACGGCCCATCCAGACAAGAACCTCCCGCCATAAGAACAGTTTCTTCCCCTCTGCTGTTGGACTCATGACACTTCATCACTGACCTTGCCTTTTATGACCGCCACTTTATGCTACCTACCTTTGCTTTGTCACTTTATAATCTCATATCTCTGAAAATGTATCAATTATCTGCACTGTTAAAGGCGCTATACCCGTTTCTGCAATGTTTGAATGTTTAGCACCGCCCCCCAACTCGCTCACAGGCTTCTCATTTTCCCTACGCTCTCATAACACGGAGCCACCTAGTTTTATTTGCGATCTGATACGTATGCTAACATTAGCATTAGCGCAACTTGTAAGCTGTGCAACAATGACTGATGAAATGGTACTAAAGCAATGCACTGCTAACACAATATATAAGTAAAAGAATACCATTAGTTTCGCGTCCGAATGTATTCATTTAAACATTAGAATATATTCTAATATTTAATTATAATTTATTATACAGCTCCTCACAGCAGCAGCACTCCATTGACTTGAATGCAATTCTTCCGATCATTTTTTCTTGATAACAGAACTCTCAAACCAATAATGACCGCAGCCCCAATGCAATCTCTGTTTGTAATTCAGGTGTGTAAAATACTGCCATTACTTTGCAAGTACAACAAGCTATCAGCGCCTGTCACTACATCGTGCAGTTTTTCTACACACTTGTCTGTGTAGAGAAGCTAGCGGAGCTAGCCACGCTCAATACACAAATACATATCAATCAATCAACACCATTAAACGTCAATCGGACAATACAGTACACATATACATCCTTAACACACATGCACGGACGATTTCAGGCCCTGTCCACACGAAGTCAAGCTCAGGCCTAAACGCAAAAATACTTTATCAATCCAGTGTATCGTCCATACGAGGCCGGCGTTTTGGGGGGGTGTAAACGAACATTTTTGAAACTAGGTCCCAGAGTGGAAAGATTTCAAAACTCCGTATATGCCGCTCCGTGGTTACTGCCTCTCCGCAATGTATCTGAGACGCTTGCGTCATCGCCCCGCCTCTTGTTAAAGCACGCATGCGCCGCACTCAGAAAATAATGACAACAACAATGTAGCTTGTTGGTTTTGTAATCCAGTGTGACCCGAAGCAACAGTTCAACCTCATCGTCCGTCCATACTAATGTAGTACCAGCTCGCCCACTCACCATGTTGTCTGTTTACAAAATTCCGCGCATGCCCAGTTCCCGTCACGGAAGTTTGGGCTTGATCCCGTCATTGCGTCACAGCGCCACCAACAGGTCTGGCATAGTTTCACAGCGTTTTCAGGCGTATTGACTACATTCATATGGATGCACACATTTACTGAGCTAACTCCGTGTTTACAGAAAAAGTTTCTGAAATTATAAGCGTTTTGTCTTCGTGTGGATATAGCCTCAGAATTTGCTGTCAACGTTTTCATGACAAAAATACTGTTTTAAAGTGACAAAAAGCGATTGCGAAAAACCCGGAAGTTACCATGAAACAGCTAGCTAGCTTGGCTGTTACCTGCCTAGCACGTCCCGGTGAAACCTTTGGGAGCTAACTATTTTATTTGCAGTCATTAAATACATTTCTAATTATAAGGGTTGTCTAATATTTGTTCAAATATGTATATATTTTTTATTTTAGAATTATATTCGAATTTTGAAGTTGAAGCCCTGGTGTTAAGCAGCGCTGTAGAGGCTAGAGGACGCAGACTGTTCGCTTCTTGTTCTGTGAGCGGAGGAGAACGAGCGGCCCGCTCAGACTCTACTCAGCACTTTTCACTGCCTGAATTTCATACACAGTGGAATCAATGACCTCAAGTTTTCAATTAAATTATGTATTATGATACAACTTGTATGTAGTAAAAAGCATTTTTATGAAGTACTAAGAATAAAAATCGGGTATAGCTTCTTTAAATGTCTATTTTGTGTACATACAGTAGATATTGTATTGTGATTGTTAGCAACATAATCAGTAAATCAGATTTGAAAAGCATCAAAGTTGATGATGTTCAACACGATGACACTGGCATTGAACTTCTTATTGGGACAGATATCCCCAAAGCAACAGAGCCTCGGGGCATTGTCAACAGGGAAAACAATGGGCCGCAGGCAGTTGAAACACTCCTGGGCTGGGTGATGAACAGTTTAATGCAACAGTAGAAGATTCAGGGACAATTGTTGAGCGATATCCTCACAAAGCAATTGTTAGTATTAGATACAGTAGCAATATGGCCTACGTGCAGGACTGTACAAGGACTCTGATGATGACTCCATGTTTTGACCAGTGGGGGAGGGTCCCAGCTCAAAAGTGGCCAAAATGACGTGTGCTGACATGCTTGCAATACCACCCCGGGCCGATGGGGGTGGACCCAGAAGTAGAATTAGCCAATGCTAACATATAGCATATAGACCTCTCAAAAACGTCTTTACAGGATGGACCAAAAGTTGGCTCTTGGCCCAAAGCTCCGTTCCACATGTGTGTCAATGCTGAGGGGGGTGATTTTTTTTGGTCCACTCTAGTTTACTCGCGGGGAATTTTTGAAGTCTCTCGTTCAAATGAATGGAGCTGCGCCGGCTGACGCATGCGCAGATGCGTTTTTTCACAATTTTCTTGTGGGCGGGACCACTCGCGGCCATCTTGGATTGCTCCACGAAAGCACTTTTCATGGCCAACTCCTATGAACGGCGGAGATAGGCGTGACTCTGTCCATTAACATATACAGTCTATGGTTTTGACTATGATGTGACTGTCTCTGTGTGACACGTATGTCTTTCGATGTGTGACGTGACATGACTATATAAACTGTGTACTGACTCCATTTTGTCTGAGAGAAAGAAACAATTGAAACCACTGAAACTTGAGAGAAACTTAAATAAACTTCCAGAGTTTGGCGCACCACAATCCGTCTTTGTCTGGTTCATTCCTGACACAATATCATCAGGATTTCTGTGAAAATAGATATGATGAGAAAAGTGCGGTGTCTGTGAAGGACAAAAAGTTTGGTTCAATTGCTTCAAGTTGAACATAATCCTAAAGAAAAATCAAGTCAAACACAGATTATTTCTTTAAAAAGAAACGGCAATAAAGAAAGAACGACTTTTTTCTCTGCTATTGCTTAATTTTATTGTGAGTTACAAACCTCCAAGAGAAGTTACCAAACAGTTTGACGCCTCTCACACTCAGACAGTTGCTGCAGGTGGCAAGTGTGATGAGTGTTGGGGGAGGGGAGCACGACATCATACTGACCAAGAGTAACAAATAAACATTGAATTAATACTAGTACATTATACAGATACTTTTACTCCTTTAAAGGTCAATTATACAGCAAGATGTTGAATGAAGTTACTAAACCTGTAATATATTAATTATTTTGTAAAATTCTTTGTAAAAAGACTTTGCTCTTTCTCTTAAATGTGTGACTTCTGATTGTATAATGTTTTACTTTTCAAGTTTCAGGTATTTCATAACACTTTGAGTTTAGTCATGATGAGTTTAACTTTAACCACAATTTCTATTAATTTAATATGCACAAGCCAGTACTTTTCCACTGGATGTTTTGGTCATTTCGAGGTTGAAGCTACAAGCACACTGTGGCAAACGCTGATAGGATGACTCCATTCCTCCATGCTGTATATTACTTGCAGTCTATGACATCTTTTGTTCTGTCAACCAATGACAATAAAACATGTCTTCTTTCTGAATTAAAGACACGATCCCAGACTTTGTCATCTTCTTCAAAGTTCATCAATGAGGACCGTGTGCTATCTTCTTCCCCTTCTGTTTATTCTAGCCTCGGGTGAGTTTTGTATTTTCATGTTTCTTGTTTAAATAGTTCATTTTCCTGCGGCTCAAATGTGGGCATCTCTCATTTACGTATACATTCACAAATTAGCCTTCAAATGCTCAAATGGACTTATATTGACTTGTGGGAAAAGTTATGAATTTTGTGTTTGTTTAATTGTTTGTTGAATATTATAATGTGTTTTTTTTTTTTTTTTTTGGGAATTGTAGCTGGAAATTGGTGCCCCTACAACTGGACATACTTTGGAAACAAATGCATCTTTCTTTATCCAGTGTGGGCCACATGGGACTCTGCAAAGGTATTCATTATTAAGTATTAAGTAACACTATTAAATACTATTAAGTGTTAAAATATGAAAAAGAAAGTTCACTCCACACCACTCAACTGTACGCCACTACTTAACACCAGATTTGTTTTCTTTCCGTAGACTCTTTGCTCTCTGTCGGACTCTCACCTTATCTCCCTCCGTTCCCATGACGATGTGGAATTTGTTAGTAAAATGGTGGTTAAACTTGGGGCCCCTGTTTGGACTGGAGGCCATTCTGTTGATCAGGTGAAAAAGGCTGGACCCAAACGTGACACATTTTTTCAAGTACTCCTATGCAAAACTAGACGGGCCATGAGAAAAATCACACTTACAAGTTACAGAAGTAAATAATGCATGAATTTTTCACATGGGAATTGGGGAAAAAGATACCCAAACAAGCTTCAGAGATATGCCCTAGTGGGAGATAGGGCTATAGTTTTCCAAAGGGTTTATTTTATATTTTTCCCAGTTTTAAGAGCCTGAGAATTTAGATAATACCCAAACTGTATACAGGAGATAAGGTATTCATTATTTATCATTTTGTCTTGTTTTTTTCAGAGTGCCTCATGGCTTTGGAGCGATGGGTCAGATTTTACGTTCAGATTTTCGACCAATCACACATCAGGGAAGAATAAGAGTGATGTCAGGTGCCTGGGCATAGAAAGTGAAGGTACTGTTTTAATTGGTAATTTCTGGGTTCATAATATATAGTCCGTACATTAGGAGTGGACTGATCGAGTGCTGATGTCACGCTAGTGTTAGCCTTAGTGCAGAAGACAATTTGATCATAAGTTAGCTGGAGCCGATTTCCTTTTATGAGTGTCATTGGAATGTTGTTTAAGTTAATAATTCATATGTGGCTAGATATTAGGTTTATTTAGGTTAGATTTTAGTTGGTAGAGCATTGGCCTTTGAGCCAGACGGTCGTGGGTTCGAGCCCGACTTTCACCATCAACACCCACTTTCTGCTGTCGTTGTGTCCTTGGCAAGACACTTGACCTCTGGGAACCCCAGCCACAGTGGGGCGGCTGCAGCTGTAAAGTGCCGAACTGCTGCTGTGTCCTTAGGCAAGACACTTTACCCCCATTGCCTAGAAAGAATCTAGTGTGTGTGTGAATGGTTGGTGGTGGTCGGAGGGTCCGGGGGTACAAACTGGTTGCCTCGCTTCTGTCAGTGTGACCCAAAACCGATGCATTATTATTATATATTGTATACTGAAATACAGGTAGATACATTTCTGGCTCCAGGAAGCCTAGTCTTAGGGGGTTCAGATGTTCCCAGAATTGGCTCTTTGATCTCTGTGGCTCCTTCCTGTTCTGTGACTGTTGATGTGCAAATATCAAAGATTTCATTGTGAGATTATATGACTGTTTGTGGAGGTGGAGGTGTGTCTTATCTTATCAAAAACAACTTTACAGCCTTTGTTCTGGCGAGAGCTGCTGGTGCTCGGTTCTCTATAGACATGTCTTCTTGGACGGCAACCAAGAATTAAAAAATGCCAGAACGATGTCTTTGTGTGTGCGATTTTGTCCAGGTTTGACTGTAGTTAATATCAGCATTCACAATGGGCATTTCTTGTGTTGCTATGCTGGTTGCTAAGACAAGCTGGAGTTTTCCCCCAGGAAAGAGGGCATCTGATTGAACAATGATTATATGGCTCGTAACTGGATTGACATCAATGTTAGATACGATAAGATAGTCCTTTATTCGGCCCGCAGTGGGTAAATATTCAATGTCATCGTTGCGCACGTTACAGCAGAATATAAGAAAAGAGGAAATAAGAGGACTCAGATTGCACACATCAAACAGGATTTATTATTTAAAATAGTAGATAATAAAATAAAATAAAGTAAAACTCTGGAGCTCTTATTGCACTTGGTTCAAAGATATTGCAGTAGTGAAGTATACACTGTGGTCAGCAGGAGGTATTTACAGATGTTTATTTTGTACAGAATATATATAAACAATAGTAACGATAACAGCAAGTTATGGGACTAGTGAATTTCCAGAATAGAAATATCAGATGAATGGAATATGTCACAATGTAAACACCAGGATCACAAAGAGCACAAAACCACAGATTTTATTAAACCCAAAATGGTGAGTAGTCTATGATGCCAATAGGAGTCAGAGCGAGTGGGAGCAAAACGTCGTCCATGAGTTTTGTTTTAACCTGTCAGGCTTTATAGAGTTCTCTATATACACTCTGGTTCATATAGAGAGTGTATATCTCTCTATACACTCTAGAGAGATATAGGATATATGGAAGTATTCGGCCCCCTTGAACCTTTCAATATTTTGCCACATTTCAGGCTTCAAACATAAAGATACAATGATGCTGCCACCACCATGTTTGACAGTGGGGATGGTGTGTTCAGGGTGATGAGCTGTGTTGCTTTTAAGCCAAACATATCGTTTTGCATTGTGGCCAAAAAGTTCGATTTTGGTTTCATCTGACCAGAGCACCTTCTTCCACATGTTTGGTGTGTCTCCCAGGTGGCTTGTGGCAAACTTTAAACGAGACTTTTTATGGATATCTTTGAGAAATGGCCACTCTTCCATAAAGGCCAGATTTGTGCAGTACACGACTGATTGTTGTCCTATGGACAGACTCTCCCACCTCAGCTGTAGTTATCTGCAGTTCATCCAGAGTGATCATGGGCATCTCTGATCAGTCTTCTCCTTGTTTGAGATGAAAGTTTGGAGGGACGGCCGGGTCTTGGTAGATTTGCAATGGTCTGATACTTCTTCCATTTCAATATAATTGCTTGCACAGCGCTCCTTGAGATGTTTAAATCTTTTGTATCCAAATCCGGCTTTAAACTTCTCCACAACAGTATCTCGGACCTGCCTGGTGTGTTCCTTTGTCTTCATGGTTCTCTCTGCGCTTTAAACAGAACCCTGAGACTATCAAAGAGCAGGTGCATTTATACGGAGACTTGATTACACACAGGTGCATTCTATTTATCATCATCAGTCATTTAGGACAACATTGGATCATTCAAAGATCCTCACTGAACTTCTGGAGTGAGTTTGCTGCTCTGAAAGTAAAGGGGCCGAATAATACTTTAAATAAAAATACAAATAAAAAACTTTTCAGTTTTTTATTTGTTAAAAAAGTTTAAATTATCTAATAAATGTTGTTCCACTTCACGATTGTGTCCCACTTGTTGTTGATTCATGACAAAAAATAAAAAAATTATATCTTTATGTTTGAAGCCTGAAATGTGGCGAAATGTTGAAAGGTTCAAGGCCAAATACTTTCGCAAGGGACTGTATCTACCCTTTCTTTTCTTTGCTGTTTCTGTAGATGGTGAAGCAAAGAGTTCCCCTTGTGGTGAGATGAGGTTTTACATCTGCTCCAGGAAGATGAGGTGAGAAAATTGCTGCAGTTTTTTCTATTTGTGCCACTGCAGTTATCAGAGCTGGTGCTTGCCTTGTTGGGGCCCTAAGCAGAAGTCAGCATAGGGGCCCTATACACCTAACTCAAGAAACCATAAAAATTAAAGCAAGCATAAGTTCCATTACACATATATATTATAAATAAATAATTCACAGTAATCAAGCGATATAAGACTTGATTAGTGATGGATTCAACCGAAGATAAAAAAACATTTGAACTTTTCACACACGATTAAAGATATGATAAGTAAGACTTTATTGATTTCACTCAGGAGAAATGTTCATGTCACATTTGGCACGGATAGAATAAATTGTGTACAAAAGACAAGTGTACAAACATGTTAAAATACAAAAATAAACAAAATACAAATATTAGCTATAATATAAGTATATATATATATATAAATATATATATATATACATACATATATACATTTTATATATAATAAAAATAATAACTAGTTTCATTATTATCACCACTAGTATTAATATATTACCTTAATATTAATATTAGTAGCGCATTATACAAACACTGTTAGTATTATGTCTAAATTACAAATGTAACAAAAGCACGTTTATTTTGAAGGTGTCCACCTTAACCACAACAAAGAGCTTGACTGATGAAGTTGTTTTGGGACTCGTTAAAAGCAGAAATAAAACATGTCAGACACAATATTCAACTTTCTTTGCAGACAGTCAATGCGTCGGGTCGGGAACCACACGTTTTTTTACCCGTCTGTTGTTCCCGCAGTTCGCTGTCTTTTTTCCTTTTTTCATCACTCTGCTTCAGCGTCTCTGCCTCTGCTGTGGCTGTGCGACTGACAACAACAAGGGGGAGGGAGGGGAGGGTTGAAAGTGCGACGTAAGGACGTAACGTATGAGAATCATGGGAGACAGCAAGTGACAACTTTAACAACCAATCAAATGGGTGATTCCGGATATGAAGGGCCTCGTAACAGCACGAGTGAGAGCCCCCGCACTCCGGGGCCCTTCCAGCTGCGGGGCCCTACGCATACTGCGTAGTCTGCGTATAGGAAGCGCCGGCTCTGGCAGTTATGGCCTTTGTTTGAACAGCTTCACTTCAATATTTACTTTCCTTTATTACACGGCTCCTCACAGCAGCAGTAGAATAATCCATTGATTTGAATGTAATTTCAAAACGTTCTACCGGTCATTATTTTCTATAACGGACCTCTCAAAACAATAATGACCGCTGCCCATGGCAACGCACTCTCTGCTTGCATTTCAAATGCGTGGATAACTCCGCAAGTAGTTCCGGCCACTCCGGAGTTAGCCACGCTCAATAAACGCAAATACCAATCAAAACTCTTAAATGTTAATCGAAGAATACTTATACATATACATTCTTCACACACGTGCAGGGGGATTTTCAGAATTTACTGCTCTTGTCTTCATGACAAAAATACTATGTATATGCGTCAAAAAGCGATTATGAAAAACCCGGAAGTAGTTCCAGCCAGTCCGGAGCTAGCAACGCTCATTAAACGCAAATGCCAATCAATCAACGCCATTAAATGTTAATCGGAGAGTACATTATACAGATACATTCTTAATACAAGTGCACGGAAGTTTTCAGAATTTTCTGTTTACGTTTTCATGACAAAAACACTGAAGTAATGCGAGAAAAGGCGATCCCGAAAAACCCGGAAGTAGATACCGGCACATTTTAGGACATTTCAGGATTTGCAGAGGATCGAATTATGGATTTAGGTTAGGTTTATGTATGGGTCACTCACCGCTGATGTTCAGAATTCTTTGTTCAGTTTTCATGCAGTTCCAGGGAGTCCTAGTTTGGAAGTTGATAGCCTAACTGTTGCTAGTCTAGATAGTGTTGTAAAATGTATTTAGCTCTGAGAGCACAAACGAGAGACTCTTTTCCAACTGCAGCCGTACCGGCTCTGGCTTTATTTCTCACATTAAAATCATAACAGCATAATCAAGGGTGGCCGCTTAACTGCCTGTGAAATCCTAAACAGTGTGTACATATGTCCCCCCCTTCATAAGAAACGTCCTCGGTTCATAAAATAACTCAGAATCTGCCTCAAACCAGGGCCATAATAAACAAAAACAAAAAAAAACCACACGACAAGGTCCTTGAGGTGTGAAGGGGCTTTAACAAGACGTCCCGACCGAGACTGCTGCGGCTGGGCCAGTGCTGACTCCAAACTTGCCTCCCCTCCATGCAAGAAAGGGTCCAATGCGACAACCCGACTAGCAGGGGGCCGAGCAGGGAGCGGCAGAGTGTATGGTTTAAGTCTGTCATGATGAACCACCTGACTCCTCTCCTGAGTATCCAGCGGATTAATGATGTCATAGGTCAGTGCCGGTTCACCCCCTGACGAGAATTCCTGCACCACCTGGTACGGGCCCCTCCAATGCGGCGCTAATTTAGTGCGGCTCTCCGTCGGATTGTTCAGCCACACCAACGCTCCAACACCGTACGGCCGATGACACACTGTCTGGTCATGGTAAAGTTTTTGTCTCTCAGAGGCCTCCAACGCATGAAGCCTGGCAGCACCAAATGCAAACTCCAACCTTTTAACTAACATATCTCCATAGTCAGACACAGATCCCGCCCCCACAGAGTTGAACACAGGGTTAGATACAAGAACATCTGCTGGGACCCGGGCCTCGCAGCCATGCATCAGATAAAAGGGAGAAAACGTTGTGCTAGCATGGGGTGAAGTGTTATACGCAAAAGCAACCTGCTTTGTAAATCCATCCCATTCACCCCCTTGAGACAGTAACATCTTAGCAAGTTGGTCAATCAATGTCCTGTTATGGCGCTCCGCCATGCCGACTTTGGGTTGTACGCAGTCGTGTGAGTCTTCCTAATACACAGTAGTTTACACAGAGTCTGGATGACCTCAGCCTCAAACTGGCGACCCTGGTCAGTGTGGAGCATCTCAGGAACCCCATGTACTAACACATAGTCATTAAACAAACAGGTAGCAACAGTGTTAGCTGTCTGATTAGGCAGCGCATACAGATCAACATACTTTGTAAAGTAGTCCTCGACAACTAAAACATACCTATTTCCCCGAGAGGTTACAGGTAGCTCTAAAATGTCAGCCGCCACACGCTGCAGAGGACGACACACCTGCATAACCCCCATGGGCGCCATAGGCTTAGGAATAGGTGACCTGCGAGTCTGACAAGCCCTACACTGCTCACACCACTGTCTTATGTCTCTAAGCATAAAAGGCCAGTAGCAAGACTGCCTCGCCTTCTCCCAGACCCGATCCACAGAGAAGTGCGCAGCAGCCGGCCCCCCGTGAAGATGCTGGAGTAGATCAGGGACCAGAGAGGACGGGATGACAACCTGCAACCGCTCCAGGCCGGAGACTGTGGGGCTATCTGTCCTACACAGCAGTCCCTCATTGATAGAGAAGCGACCACACTGACACTTCAACCCCTTCAATGACCCCCCGGACGTAGGCAGTAGGGTATTTTTCCAACCCCACATCTACATCATCTGTGAACATTGGGCCCTCCCGAGGAAAAGCCGGTGTTTGGGCCATAACACCAGCTACTGGAAGTTTCCCTGATGCTCGGGATCCCTGGGAGAACTCTGCTGCTGGAAATGAACTAGCTAACTTGTTTTTCAGTTAACAAGTTAGCTAGTTGGGAATTTTTTTGTCATTTGAATATGTGTCTTTTAAAATACAACAAAAACTATTTCCTCAAATACTATTCATTGTCCTATACAAGCCACCGCCGTCATGTCACAGTTTTATTGATAATTTTACCGAGTTGCTTTCAGTTGTATGTACAGATTTTGATAGTTTGGTTATTACAGGTGATTATAATATTCATGTGGATAATGTTAATGACAGAAATGCAAATGAGCTGAGTTCTTTACTTGACACCTTTGGTCTCACTCAGCACGTGAGTGGCCCCACCCACAGCAGAGGGCACACTCTAGACCTGTTAGTAACTAAGGAGGTGAATATTTCAAATGTAAACGTGGTCGATGTTGCTCTTTCGGATAATTTCTGTGTATTTTTTGACATGTGTTTCACTAACAAACCACCAGTGGACTCTGCAACTGTTCGAAGAAGACACATAAATGAAAATACAAGTGAACTATTTATGGGAATGATAAACTTTGAAAATGCATCGTATTCTACTGTAGATGAACTGTTTAACTCTGTCACCTCTAGTGTTTTGAATGTTCTGGATACCGTTGCCCCTTAATAAAGAAAAATAAGCAGAAGGCGCCGTGGGCTAAAGCAGACTCGGTCAGAGCACAGAAGAGAAAGTGCCGGGGGGCCGAGCGGAAGTGGCGCAAGTCCAACCTCCAGGTTGATTACAAGATATTCAAGGATAAGTTGTGCGAGTTTAACAGGGTGCTACGTAGTATGAGAGAAAGGTATTTTTCTGAAATGATTGAAGGCTGCAGTAACAATCTGCGTGTTCTGTTTTCAACAGTTAATAGATTAACAAACCCCCCTGTTCATATAACATTAGAGCTTACGTCCAAATGTAAATGCAATGAGTTTGCACATTTTTTCAATTACAAGGTTCAAGGCATCAAAAACGCCATTGTCTCCAATCCACAGAAAACCAACCAACAACCAGAAAGGCTCTTTGAGCTAACTCACTTTGCACCTGTAGATGATAAAACTGTCCAAGAGATAATCACAAGTTTGAGCTCCTCCACATGCAAGCCTGGATGGCTGCATGTGGAGGATCTACCCACTAGATTATGTCTAAATCTACCCACTAGATTTCTGAAGTCTGTTCTGAGCAGTCTGTTACCTTCACTCACACAGATAGTAAACATGTCCCTTCAATCTGGAATATTCCCAAAGGCCCTGAAAACTGCAGTCATCAGGCCCCTGCTAAAAAACAGCAGTCTGGATGCTACGGTATTTAACAACTATCGTCCCATCTCAAATCTGCCATTTATGGGAAAAGTCCTTGAGAAAGTTGTCTACCTACAGCTTACTAGATTTCTTATAATCAACAACTCATTTGATATGTTTCAGTCCGGCTTTAGACCCCACCACAGCACTGAGACTGCTCTCGTCAAGGTCACAAACAATATCCGGCTGAAAACTGACGCAGGCAAAGTCTCAATCTTAATCTTGTTAGATCTGAGTGCTGCCTTTGACACCGTCGACCATGAGATCCTCTTACAGAGACTAGAGGACTGGGTTGGTGTCGCTGGCACTGCCCTAAGTTGGTTTAGGTCTTACCTTGAAGACAGGGAGTACTTTGTGGAGATTGGAAACTGTTTCTCAGATCATATGGCCCTGACCTGTGGAGTACCACAGGGGTCATTCCTGGGACCTCTTCTGTTCAATCTCTACATGCTGCCGTTAGGTCAGTTAATACACAGAAACCAAGTGCCCTACCACAACTATGCAGACGGCACTCAGATCTATGTCTCACTGACTGCAGGAGAACATGGACCAGTGGACTCGCTCCTTCACTGTATCCAACAGATCAGTGAGTGGATGCAAAACAACTTCCTTCAGCTAAACGCGGACAAAACTGAAATGATTGTCTTTGGTCCCCAGAAACAAAGAGAGAGCGTCATCTGTCACCTACAGTCTCTCTCCCTAAAACCTTGCAAGACAAGGCAAGGCAAGTTTATTTATATAGCACAATTCATACACAAGGCAATTCAAAGTGCTGAACAAAACAAGAAAGCATTAAAATCATAAATAATCACAGAACATTAAAAAGAAAGCTAAAAATATAAAATCCCTCAGTTGTATGCACAGCTAAACAGAACTGTCTTTAACCTGGTTTTAAACATTGTCAGAGAGGAGGCCTGTCTCACATCTTCAGGAAGACTGTTCCAGATTTTAGCAGCATTAATCTGAAAAGCAGCCTCCCCGTGTTTAGTTCTGACTCTGGGCACTAACAGGAGTCCAGTCCCTGTGCTCCTCAGAGTCCGGGCTGGTTCATATGGGACTAACATGTCACTAATATATTTTGGTGCGAGGCCATGGAGAGACTTGTACACAAGCAGAGCTGTTTTAAAGTCTATTCTCTGAGCCACAGGAAGCCAGTGCAGAGACCTGAGAACTGGACTAATGTGGTCGTACTTCCTGGTTCTTGTCAGGACTCGAGCTGCTGCATTTTGAATGTACTGCAGCTGTTTTACAGCCTGTTTGGACAGACCTGTGAGCAGGCCATTGCAGTAGTCTAACCTACTGGAGACAAATGCATGGATAAGAATCTCCAGGTCTGCTTAGACACTATGTTTTTGATCCTGGCAATGTTTTTTAGATGGTAAAAAGCTGCTGATGTTACCGATTTGATGTGGCTATTAAAATTTAAGTCTGAGTCCAGTATTACCCCTAGATTTCTGACCTTGTTTGAAGGTTTTAGGGAGAGAGACTGTAGGTGACACATGACGCTCTCTCTTTGTTTCTGGGGACCAAAGACAATCATTTCAGTTTTGTCTGTGTTTAGCTGAAGGAAGTTGTTTTGCATCCACTCACTGATCTGTTGGATACAGTGAAGGAGTGAGTCCACTGGTCCATGTTCTCCTGCAGTCAGTGAGACATAGATCTGAGTGTCGTCTGCATAGTTATGATAGGAAACTTCGTTTCTGCGCATTAACTGACCTAACGGCAGCATGTAGAGATTGAACAGAAGAGGTCCCAGGATTGACCCCTGTGGTACTCCACAGGTCAGGGCCATATGATCTGAGACACAGTTTCCAATCTCCACAAAGTACTTCCTGTCCTCAAGGTAAGACCCAAACCAACTTAGGGCGGTGCCAGCTACGCCAACCCAGTCCTCTAATCTCTGTAAGAGGATCTCATGGTCGACAGTGTCAAAGGCAGCACTCAGATCTAACAGGATTAGGATTGAGACTTTGCCTGCGTCAGTGTTCAGTCGGATATCGTTTGTAACCTTAACGAGAGCAGTCTCAGTGCTGTGGTGGGGTCTAAAGCCTGAAACATATCAAATGAGATGTTGATTATAAGAAATCTAGTAAGCTGTAGGTAGGCAACTTTCTCAAGGACTTTGCCCATAAATGGCAGATTTGAGATGGGACGATAGTTGTTAAGTACCGTAGCATCCAGACTGCTCTTTTTTAGCAGGGGCCTGATGACTGCAGTTTTCAGGGCCTTTGGGAATATTCCAGAATGAAGGGACATGTTTACTATCTGTGTGAGTGAAGGTAACAGACTGCTCAGAACAGACTTCAGAAATCTAGTGGGTAGTACATCCAGGCTGCATGTGGAGGAGCTCAAACTGGAGATTATCTCTTGGACAGTTTGATCATTTACAGGTGCAAAGTGAGTTAGCTCAGAGAGCCTTTTCGGCTGTTGGATGGTTATCTGTGGATTGGAGACAATGGCGTTTTTGATGCCTTGAACCTTGTCATTGAAAAAATTAGCAAACTCATTGCATTTACGTTTGGAAGTTAGCTCTAATGGCATCTGAACAGGGGGGTTTGTTAATCTATTAACTGTTGAGAACAGAACACGCAGATTGTTGCTGCAGCTTTCAATCATTTCAGAAAAATACCTTTCTCTCGTACTACGTAGCACCCGGTTAAACTCGCACAACTTCTCTTTGAAGATCTCGTAATCAACCTGGAGGTTGAACTTGCGCCACTTCCGCTCGGCCCTCCGGCACTTTCTCTTTTGTGCCCTGACCGAGTCTGCTTTAGCCCACGACGCCTTCTGCTTATTTTTCACTATTTTAACCTTCACAGGGGCAACGGTATCCAGAACATTCAAAACACTAGAGGTGACAGAGTTAAACAGTTCATCTACAGTAGAATACGATGCATTCTCAAAGTTTATCATTCCCATAAATAGTTCACTCGTATTTTCATTTATGCGCCTTCTTCGAACAGTTGCAGAGTCCACTGGTGGTTTGTTAGTGAAACACATGTCAAAAAATACACAGAAATGATCCGAAAGAGCAACATCGACCACGTTTACATTTGAAATATTCACCCCCTTAGTAACTAACAGATCTAGAGTGTGCCCTCTGCTGTGGGTGGGGCCACTCACATGCTGAGTGAGATCAAAGGATTCAAGTACAGAACTCAGCTCATTTGCATTTCTGTCATTAACATTATCCACATGAATATTAAAATCACCTGTAATAACCAAACTATCAAAATCTGTGCATACAACTGAAAGCAACTTTCAGTTGAAAGCAAAATTATCAATAAAACTGTGGCATGACTGCGGTGGCTTGTATAGGACAATGAAGAGTATTGGAGGAGATTGTTTTTGTTGTATTTTAAAAGACACATATTCAAATGACGAAAACTTCCCAAGAGACATTCTATGGGAGACAAAGTGGTCTCTAAAAATGGCAGCTAAGCCTCCTCCTTTTTTGTTTCCCCGTATTTCAGATTCAAATTTCAAATTTGGTGGTGATGCTTCTATTAAAACTGCATTTCCTGAATTTTGGAAGTGGGGGTGGAATGGTCATGAGGTTAGGGGAGGGACTGGCTGAGGTGGTTTTTGTAGGTGAATTGGAAACCCTAGGTGGTTTTGGAGGTACATATGGGGAGTGGTTTAGAATGTTGGACAGGACCCTAGACCTATCTAATATGGGTGTGAGAGGAATAGTCTTCATCGCCGATTTTATTAGCCCTGCAGAGTGTTCAGGTAGGTCTAACAGTGAAGGCGGGGATGAAAAACAAAGGGACGTGTCCCCATTCTCTCTTGATGGAGTGGACGTGGCAGGGGGGACCCAAGACAGGTCCATGGGAGGTGGCGAGGGAGTCTTTGATGGAGGGGCAGGTGGTTGAGGAAACCCCAGCATAGGCCTGTCTGCTGTAGGCTGGGGTGAGGATGGGGGCTTCAGAGGCCTTCAAACAAGGTCAGAAATCTAGGGGTAATACTGGACTCAGACTTAAATTTTAATAGCCACATCAAATCAGTAACACCAGCAGCTTTCTACCACCTAAAAAACATTGCCAGGATCAAAAACATAGTGTCTAAAGCAGACTTGGAGATTCTTATCCATGCATTTGTCTCCAGTAGGTTAGACTACTGCAATGGCCTGCTCACAGGTCTGTCCAAACAGGCTGTAAAACAGCTGCAGTACATTCAAAATGCAGCAGCTCGAGTCCTGACTAGAACCAGGAAGTACGACCATATTAGTCCAGTCCTCCGGTCTCTGCACTGGCTTCCTGTGGCTCAGAGAATAGACTTTAAAACAGCTCTGCTTGTGTACAAGTCTCTCCATGGCCTCGCACCAAAATATATTAGTGACATGTTAGTCCCATACGAAACGGCCCGGACTCTGAGGAGCACAGGGACTGGACTCCTGTTAGTGTCCAGAGTCAGAACTAAACATGGGGAGGCTGCTTTTCAGATTAATGCTGCTAAAATCTGGAAAAATTTTCCTGAAGATGTGAGACAGGCCTCCTCTCTGACAATGTTTAAGACAAGGTTGAAAACAGTTCTGTTCAGCTGTGCATACAACTGAGGGATTTTATATTTTTATCTTTCTTTTTATTGTACTGTGATTATTTATGATTTTAATGCTTTCTTATTTTGTTCAGCACTTTGAGTTGCCTTGTGTATGAATTGTGCTATACAAATAAACTTGCCTTGCCTTAGAGCCAGGCAAAGGTGACCCACTCCATCGCTGCACCCGCAGTGGAGAAAGTCCTCAGACCCTTCTCGTTGGCCCCCTTGGGACCGACCCTTTGCGATGGGGTGGCTCCAGCGTTAGGGCCCCTCCTCACACTCGACTCTATGGGCCAAGGCGTGATGCCGCTCTGTGTCTCCATCTTGGAGTTGCGATCCCTCCTCATTGAGAGGTTGGTCCTGTTTCTGAAACAATGTGCAGAAGGGTTATTTGTCCCCCCTTCAGCCCGACCTCTGGGTCAATGCCGCCAGTGCTTAGCCTTAGTTTAAGTGGAAAAATAATATGAAATAATAATAATTATGGTCTTGATATAACTTTACTGATGGGTTATCAGTTTGAATTTCCACAACACCCTCCTCTCCGACCTTGGAGAGCAGATAAGCTGCCTCTGCTGTCTGCTCTCCTCCATGTGCAGGCCTTTCACAGTCAAGCCTCATTAACTAATTAATTTGTCCGATACTTTCCGGCCATGGCTTTGGTCACCGCGGTTTGTGGGATTTCATCCCGGTCAGTGGTCAATGACCCCTGATTTTGATCCATCTTGACCCAAGATGGCTGTCTTTTCTCTCTTGTGGGGAAAGACTATGTCTGATTAGGAAAATTAAATACCTCTGAAATCAAGACTGCTCCTCCCTAGCTACACATACACCCCTCTATCTCTGTGGGGACAGACACTGTCTGACCAGGCACAATAAATACCTCTAGCTCTGTGGCCACACATACACAAGAGAAAAAGACAGCCAAGGCCTAGCTGGGCAGAATGGGGCTTTTTAGTTTTGCGTGGAGAGATAAAATACGGGTTTCTGACCACACTGGTTGTTTAAGGTGGTTCGTTTGGTCACCATGTGCTGGACGGACCCGCCAGGTCCAAAGTCAGGAATCTCCTTTTATCTCAAACGTTGCGCGGGGAAGACCGAGTCAATGAATCTCTTTATAAATAAGGATTACTTACTTACTTACATGTCTACTTTAGATATTACACAAATTATGTCAGTATTGATGTGTCGCTCAAGGCTTCTCTTTACGCTTCCTTACCCTGATACAACTCTGATATTATGGAAAACAATCAGGGTGACCCTGGACACATAGTTCTTCGACACAGATGTGGTCAAAGACATGTTAAAGCACGTCTCCCATCCATCAGCTGACCTGCTGCCAACAGATCATACAGTATGTGCTGTATTGAACTCCAGAGTTGGGAATTAGTTAATAACTTACACTTAACTATTTTTTGTTAATTCAGATTGATTTACTATAAGATTTCTATAACAGAAGGAAATACTGCGCTTACACTAAAACCGTTTGACGCTTGAATCATCACAATGTACTTTCCTTTACTAGGAATTTACCAACTTACCAAGGATTGAGAATCTCCATCACTCTGTCAACCCTCAATTTTACCACAACTGTTGCTTCTGGTCTTTAAAAGTACATTATGTAACGTTTTATGTGGATAAAATATGTACATATTTACATAACTTATACCCCATGGTAGGCTATTGTATAAACCTGAACTGACAGATTCAAATTTGTATTTATGTTGATAAATTGCATTGTATTTTGTGTATTATTGTGTTGAATTGTGAAAGGGGGTTTGGAACAAATAAGCAGGTTTGAAATAAATCAAATTAACTAACTAAATATTTGATCGTGTAGTCCCCAGTGGCTGTAAGAGTGGTCAACATGGTGCCTTTGCCTTCCATGACAACGGTCTCTAGGATGCTATAGGATCAAATGTTTGAGCAATTGTTTTGAAAGGTTTTATGTGGGACACCAGCACCAGAAAAACAAAAATAATGCTGTCCACTGCATGGGTTGAATATACAAAAACATACACTTGTTTCACATAAAAAGTCTGGGATACATGTCAAATTCAAGAAGCAGACATTTTTGGCAGACAGTGATTTCTTGTAATTTTGCTATTTTATTCCGATGATGTTTACGGATAGGCCCACTGTAAGTAATCATTATGTAAATTTGCAACGTGGCTTGTTTCTTTTATGAAGTTGTTAATATTATATGTAAAATATAGAAAAGTAATATAAAATGTTACTTTTTGTGATTTGCAGTGAGCAACATAATGACACTGCTGTGGCTCATTCAGGTGAGTGCACGGCCCTTTTCAGATAAACCTATTGATTATTGAATGATGAATGCATTTTAACATTTTAAATAGGTCGTCAAATATTGCACATTATTATTATTTGCACATTCATTTCACTTTTCTGTCTTTCAACCAACTTTCAATACAAAAAAATCTAACGACAGTATGTAATAAAACCAATATAAATAGTTCCTCTCTTTCAAAACAGTGTGGTTTAGAAGTCAGGTGCACCAGCTTTAAAGTACATCTGTGACATATTAGTCCCATATGAACCAACTCAGACTCTGAGGAGCACAGGGACTTGCCTCCTGATGGGACTCTGAGGAGCACAGGGACTGGTCTCCTGTTAGTGCCCAGAGTCACGACTAAACAAAGAAGGCAGCGTTTTAGATTTATGCAGCTCAATTCTGGAGCAGTCTTTCTGGAAATGTGAGACAGGCTTCTCTCTGACAATCTTTAAATCCAGGTTGAAACAGTCCTCTTTAGCTGTGCACACAACTGTATCTTTTATGTGCTATGAATATTATGCCTTTTTTGATGGTTTCTATGTGTTTTGTTAAGTTGCCTTTGGTATCAACTGTGCTATACAAATGATATTGCCTTAGTTCTTATAAAATGCATGTGCTAAAATATGCATGTGTGTATTACGAAGTGGACTGGTTCTCTGGTTCAGCCCTGATTCCTGGGGTGAGTCTAGTGGCTGTGATGTGGGCGCACAGTGAGTCAGTGGCAGAGGACATCCTGCACTCCTCCTCTTTCCTTCGTCAGCTTCAGTCTGGGTCCATCACAACGAACTGCTACGACCTGTTCAGACAGCAGGAGGCGCTCTACATGGGGCTGCTGTACAAGATGCTCGAGGTCAGTGTCATTTCAAGGGGAGGTAGCATCATGGATCTATGGTATGGAGCTTCATGGAGAGTTACAACAATTATGACTAAACATTCAAAGCTTGTTTGGTGCTGATAAGTGATGAATAATAATGTCTGACAAAGTGGAAAAAAGTGCAAATCTTCTTGGAAAGTGAGCTCGTGTGCTCAAGTGGTGAGAACGGTTGTTTTCTAAAATTTGGCAAAATCCTCCAATGTACCTTTAACTGCCTGTACAATAAAAACACAAAGCTGTGTTTGCTTTAGCTATTGAGTCATTACAAAGCATCTTTTCAGTTATGTGTTTTTATAGGTACTTTATGGTGATATATTTGGAGGACAATTAATGTGTGTAAATGTTGTGACTTGTCTTTACTGTTTCCACAAATGTAATTTGAATTAAAGCAGGCTCAAGACACGCCCCTTTAGATTCGTTTTTGATTATATATAATTATTTTTAGTGATGGGCAAACAACACCGAGGAAAATCAGGAACTGTGAAAACCAGTATTTTTTTTATGGTTTCCGATTTCAATTACATCTGGTGTCAAATACAGCAACAGGTTTGTGAAGAAAACGATTAAGAAGTGTCATCAGTTGAAGTGCTCTGTATTATTAGACACTTTCACAAAGCAGAGATGTCAGCTGTGTTGTTTTAAGTTTTTACTGTCCTTCCTGTTTGTGTTCACAGGCGCTTTACATACAGGACACGGATCCAGACGTGAGGACTCTGCTCCTCCACGAAAAGCAGCGCTACAAGAAGAATTACTCTAAACAGGTTTGAGTAGATTCTGCCTCATCTTCAACTACAAAGGACAGAGACAACTATGATGATATGTATCGCTCTTTCACCAAAGCATACCACAGCCCTGACCACAGTGGTTAGCACGTGTGCCTCACAGCAAGAAGGTCCTGCACTGTAAACCCAGATAGTGGGCAAAACTAATGTTTCTTAAGGAAACTCGTTCCCTCAATAAAGATTAGTTTTATAAATACCATAAACATAACAATATAAGTTCATTAAACACAGTCTTTACTAACAATCATTAGCTCACTAAACTAACTCATAAGTTGTTTGTACTAATCCGTTTTAGTTTTGAGTGTGTTCACATTAAAGTGACAATTGAAGTATCTGGACTTTAAAAGGTTATAACTTAAAAACTAAAATTACTTTCATAGATTGGAAAAAATATTTCAAACACAGACAGATTGAAGAGATAGTGTGGAAAAAATCAAAAGGAAAGATTGACATAAAAATGTTCAGCAACATTTTAAACGACCAAATTAGCCTCTGATTGGACCATTCTACTGTGACGCCAGTTACATAGAAAATAAAATGTCCTCAGTCTGAAAAAGCAGAAGATGAAATCCCACAAGATTAATACGGTTAACACAACAGAAGGAAATCTCTTGATATAAAAAGAAATCGTAAAAAAATACAAATTAATTAATTAATTAAATGACCCCTGAAAAATGTATAACGGACGTGATGAGGACGGTCCTCTTTTCTCTAAAAATTAAACTTGAGAAAAAAAAAAATCTGGTCTGTTTTCACATTTAATTGGTTGACAATATGAAAGTATCACTTTGCATCTACTTTGTGTAAAAAAATAGAATCTCTGAATCAAATGTGGACATCTGAAAATACCTATCAAACTTCCACAAAGCTCATTCCGTCAAATCATCACGTCCGTTACATAAAATAAACAGGGCCGCTATAGGAAACTTGTCTAATGTATAAAACAGTTATGTTCTAGCAACTTCTAATGGACAGAGGAGGTGCTTAGAAACATGAAAAACATAAAATATCTTCTGATTATTAAAATAAAATTTTTGGCCTTTTTTCACACTTTTGTGCCCTTTAGTGTGAACAAGCCCTTTTATAAATACCTTGAACATAACGATACAAGTTCATTCAACAGTTATATACTAGGCTTAAGGTCATGAACTCTATAACTCCAAGATTGAGTAACAATAATACAACTCAATTAGAACTAAGTTTCAGTCAAGTATTGCATGGAAGCTAAGTGGCCTTTAAATAACACTTGAACACTCTCAAAATGTGACCCAGGCAGTATATGGCTACTTTGGCTTGGCCCTGTCGATTACGGTTGGTAAATATATAAATACAATGATTTATTTGGTCAAATTAGTTTATTCAAAATGCTGCTCAAGTATTTTGCTTTAGGACTTGCTCCATATTCACTCTCAAAATGAATGCTCAAATGTAGAATTTTTCAGAAGTTTGTTTTTCTCTGCAATGCATTCTGGGTAGCGTCACTGCTTCGCCCAATAAAATAGTAACGTAATAGGACAGGAAGTATTCACCCTCACAGTCTCAGGTTAGAGGATCTAGCACAGCCACATTCTCCATCAAGTCACAAACAACAAACAATTTGTATTTTTGATTGTTATGGTCAAAGAAGCTACATTTTAAAACATTTAACTGTAAAGAGATTTTAGAGTTTAGCCATCCTTTAAGTAATACATTTTCATTTTAATAATTTGATTGTTTGTCACTCCGTTTCTAACTAATCAGCATATCCTTTGAATCAGAGGGTTGTCAGAGTATGAATTAAAGAAAGGCCCAAGGGGTATGTTAGACAAAAGGCTGGGAATCACTGCATTAGGGTACAAAAATAAAAATACTTTTGCTTATGAGCTGTGACCAACAGAACACAGGCTTTCCAGAGCAACTTGCAAAAAATAAGTGCATTTTTTAATCTGGCAACATCAGAACATAACTGTCGGTGACGGTGCGTGACCTGTAGAGTGAGTGATGTCATGACGTAGGCCAACTGTGGAAAATAGACCCCGCCCCTCTGAGTCATTTTACCTGGTTCAGTAATCAGTGCTTAACGTCATTATTTCAAACCAGAGTCATGCCAAAGTAGTACAAACAGCTCGTAAAGATTAGTAACCAACTATTTTGACAAAAACATATGAGAGTAAGCAATGACTACTAAACAGTTCACAAGATTACAAGATCCGGGTTTACAGTGTGGGTTCGATTCCACCACCAGACCTTTCTGTGTGGAGTTTGCATGTTCTCCACTTGTCTGCATAGGTTTCCTCCAGGTGCGCCATGGAGTTTGCATGTTCTCCACGTGTCTGCATAGGTTTCCTTCGGGTGCGCCGTGGAGTTTGCATGTTCTCCACGTGTCTGCATAGGTTTCCTCCGGGTGCGCCATGGAGTTTGCATGTTCTCCACGTGTCTGCATAGGTTTCCTCCAGGTGCGCCGTGGAGTTTGCATGTTCTCCACGTGTCTGCATAGGTTTCCTCCGGGTGCGCCGTGGAGTTTGCATGTTCTCCACGTGTCTGCATAAGTTTCCCCCCGGTTCACCGGTTTCCCCTACCACTACAAATAAGTACAATAGATCTGACATGCACCTCTGACCCTGCTCCCATTGCTGTGTGGACTGAGAGACAAATGCCCACAACAATTGTAACCGCTTTGTGACTCTGGTCTGTGAAAGGTGCATAGAAATAAAGATTACTTATTTACTTACAGTATACAGGTGAAACTCAGAAAACTAGAATATCAGTTTGATTTCGGTCAGTTTTTCTTAAGTTAACTTACAATGTGAAACTAATCTATGACAGACTCAGAAAACAAGATATAGATAAGACATGTCAAGTCTTTATCATATAATGTTGATATTTGTCTCACAGCTATGGGAGGATTCAAAAGCAGTCCCTCTTGGAAAGACCATCATCAGTTAGACTCAAGGATTTGAATTCAGTGCGTCCAAATAAGGAACCTCTGGGGGCGGGTCTACCTGGTTCTTGTTCGAAAAAAGTCATCTCTCCATCTTCACAATTTTTAAAGTCATTGACCTTCACTTAAAAAAAAAAATACTTAATTCAAAATCAATAAAGAAATACATGTTTATTTATATCACATTCAGGAAAGTACTTTACACAAACAAGAGAGAGAGCTTTTAAAACAGGGCTCTTCAACTTGATTTTCCTGATTTTCCGGATTTTTCATGCAGAGATCTCATCTTTATCAAGTCGTCCCACACTTTGGGCTTGTACACTTGTAACTTATCTTTGATGTCAGGTTTAACTATAGGCCTTTCAAATTAATGTAATTCTGAAAAGTTTCCCCAAAAAGTTAGTTTTCCACCAGTTTTATTAAAAGTAAGTAACACTCAGAACCAGAACCAGTCCAGGACCAGCCTGGAGGCATCATGGATAACTGGGATTTAAACCTCCTGTTAGTATTAGATAGCAATATGGCCTAATGCAGGACTGTACAAGGACTCTACAAGGACTCCATGTTATGACTATGATTTGACTGTCTCTTTGTGACACGTATGTCTTTCGATGTGTGACGTGACAATGACTATAAACCGGTAAACTGTGTACTGCCTTTATTCTGTCTCTGTCTATTCAGTCAAGATATCACTGCAAAAATATGATCAAATTTGAGTGATAAAAGCTTGGAATCCAGTGTTTAATCTTTAATCTTATTCTGACATATTCTGATTGTGTTTTAAAATTATTATTTCCCAGGGGACAATATATATAGGCTTATTTCAAGAAACTGCTTATTTTCTTTTCATATCTTTTTAAAAACAAGATCTTTTTGCCTTTTGTCCGTTGGAAAATCAACGTTTTAAGGCTCAGTGAGAAATAGTGCTGAGATTAAGGGGACACATTTGTCAAATTTGAAACATGTTTGATTTGTTTTTGCCTGACTACATTTTATTATAATCATTAATTATTATTATTCTCTTTATTCTCTACATGAGTCACAGCTGTGATGAAGAGGCTTGGTTACAGTTCTTATTTCCATCGTTTTTACCAATGAACAACGAGTTTGATCCTAATTCGGATAAATACTTAATATGTGTAATCTGAATATGTGATACTCTCATAAGTACTCAGTAAAGTACTGTGTGGTGTACTGAGTTAAAAAGTACTGTGTGTGTTAATGAAGTAAAAGTACTCTGTGTTGCAGATAAAACTCGGAAGCTGCCGGTGGATGAAGTGTTCGCGGAGGTGGCGAGGGCGGGATCGATGCTAGTAGTAAAAAGATGTAAAAACATTCTGGTCTTTGGATGTTTTCAGTTTAACACTGTTCCTTCTGCTGGGATTAAGTGCTTTACAAGACAAGTTACGAATTAAGAAGATTCTTGGCAGGAGGTTTGCACTCCACGAGTGCTTTATGTAAAATTCTGACATGGAATGTGGGTCAATCAAATGCAGAGTGTTCTCAACGGGGAAAATAAAGTCATCAAGTATAAAAAAGTTTCTTAATACATGTCATTACGGCATTTGTCATGAAATATTTGATGGGACGGTTCATATTTGCACATTTTAATGGCAATTAAGTCATATTAACCAAGACATTGAACCTAAAACTTATATTTCACATGCCTTTTTAAATGATGATAATAACAATAATAAATACAGCATTGTACAAAGAACGGTCTTGGATTGGTCCTGAACTGGTCCTAAACTGGTCCTGGACCGGTTCTGAACTGGTTCTGGTTTAGGACCTGACGTGAGTTCATATTATACTTTCATTCTCTCCACACGATGAGACAGCAGATGAGGACGCTTGAACACACACTGGTCCATCAAAGCTCTGACCAAAACACCCATTCACTCCTCGTTACATTCAGACCTATTGTAACATGTATTTAGGTTAGGGGAACCGAAGCACTGGAGGAAACCGGAACACTGGAGGAAACCAGAGCAGGCCTTGAAGATCATGTAATCCCTGAAAAAGAACCTGGAGGTGGAGACGAACCCAGGACCTTCTCACAGTGAAACCAAATAAATAAAAATAACGTATTTTTTATAAGGTTGACCATTACTCACACACATCTGCGTGGAAGCGCAATAGAAGGAGACACGGCCCCAGGACCAACGATGTGTGTGCGGCAGACACACAGGATTGAGGACGCGCTCCTCGCTCGTGCTTTCGTAACCTTAGAGTGCGACACATCTTCCCTTTCGAACATTGCAACCACCGCGGCTCGGCCGAAGCCAACAGCGGCGGCTGAGGTATCCGACTATCTCAGAGGGACAGATTCGGGTCCTGGACCAGAGCGGCAGGAACAGGAAGTGCCCCCGATTGTGGTCAGTGGAAAGTCAATCTGCGCGGGGTGTCTGCACGTCCTCCGCTCGTCAGGGAATTCGCTAACGACCAAGAAGGGACGAGGAATAATGCGGCTAGCGACACATTAAAAATGTAGCGTCTGACAAAAACTAGTGTACGTTTGGTGCGGATGTGGTTGTTTGATGTTTTGGGTTAGAACCTGTATGTGTTGTGTACCAAGTATGTGTGTCCCATACTTTACTAAGCAGGGCCGGGCCGGTTAGTACTGTGATGGGAGACCTCTGAGGAACGCATGTGCCACGTGGCGGCGGCTGTGGATGTAAAGTGCCAAACTGTGGCTGTTGTCCTTATGGCAAGGCACTCCCCCCCCACATTTAGATATGGAGGTCTTGGTGTGTGTTGGTGGAATGGCTTGGTGTGGCAAACAACAGGTGCACGTGCGTCTCCCTCGACCTTTTCTCAATGGATTTACACATTTTGCATAAATGTTTTTTGTATGAAGCAGACAGACCGGCCCAAATATGGGCATCGGCCCTTCGGTACGCCCGATGGCCAGTGCAGGCCTGCTCCTCGGTGATACTTGCAGCGGATTTACACAGATTTACACTTCACGCAGCCTAAAGGATCCTTGCAGTGACTCGGCTTCATGGATCTATATTAATATCTCGCCTCTCAGTCAAAACACATTGGAAACATGTTTGTGCTGACGGTCCTTGGCTCTCGATCAGCTCCACACACACACAGCACTTGTAAACTTGTAAACAAGTATGATATTGCGTAATTAATAGTTACTTAATGTAACTTAAGTTCTACGAATAGGTGCGTAGTCCCTTAGGACTTCGCTAGTGGGATATCACTCGTGACCCCCAGGTCACACGCCAGAGAGATCAAAATAATTTGCTCCAATCACCAGCCACCTTCCTCTATAAATGCCCCTGCACAAGGCCGCACCCCCTCTTGAACTCTGCCAAGCCGGGCTGGCCTGATGGGCTCGTAGCTAAGGGACTACGCACCTATTCGTAGAACTTAAGTTACATTAAGTAACTATTAATTCTACGTCATGGTGCTACGTCCCTTAGGACTTCGCTAGTGGGACACAACGCGGAGGCCGTAGGAAAATGTACTCCCAGCAGGCCAGCGAAGGGTGATTGGAGCTCCGCCCGAGCAAGACCCTCACAAAGTGAGAGGACTCAGGGCAGAAGAAACAAGCGTGTTACGGGGCCACTCCTACCAAGGATACCCCCACGTAACACAAACCGTAGGCCATCCGTAGTCACAGGACGCCTCACCCAAGAGCTCCTGACATGGACTACCAGACCGACCAAACACACAAAATGTACCGCACCTGTAGGATGCCTCTCCCAAGAGCTCCTGCACCAGGGCGGAAATAGCCCGAAGGCCCCCTCAGGGGAGGGACCCAACGGTCTAACTCAGTCCGCTGCACTCAGCACGGAATGGGCCACCGACCGGTCCGACACATCCGAAAGATAAGACCGGACGAAAGAGGAGGACGACGCCCAAGAAGCCGCACGGCAGACGTCCTCGACCGACGCCCCCCTGAGAAGGGCCGTAGAGGCCGCCATCCCACGCGTGGAATGCGACCTGAAACTCACCGGGGGGGCCAGACCCTGCGTCTGATACGCCCGCCGCACAGCCGTGGCGACCCAATGCGCCAGCCGCTGAGCCGACAGCGGGGCGCCCCTGTTCTTGGGGCCCAGACACACAAACAGCTGACCACCCGACCTGAATGACGACGTCATGGCCAGGTAATGCCTCAGCATTCTGACAGGACACAGAAGGTGCTTGCCGCTCCTCCTCGGGGGAGGCATGCGGCGGCGGGTGGAAAGCCCTAATCCTGATCACTCTCGACCTAAAGGCCGACGTGATGACCTTGGGGAGAAAAGCCGGATTGGGCCACAATTCCACCATGCCGTCGTCCTCTCCAAAGGACAGGCAAGACGCATGGACAGAGAGCGCACACAAATCGCCCGCCCTCTTAGCAGACGCCAACGCCAGCAAGAGGGCCGTCTTAAAAGCGATACACTCGGGACTCGCCTCCGCCGCCGGTTCAAAAGGCGGACCCGACAGCCCCCTAAGGACCACCCTGAGGTCCCAAACCGGAGGCGTTCTCTGGAGCAAGGGCCTCCTCCTGCGCGCCCCCCGCAGAAAACGTTTAACCAACGGATGAGAACGGGCTGTGAACCCCCCGAATCCGTCGTGACCCGAAGTAATGGCTGCCGCGAACACCGCCAAGGTAGCGACAGCCCTCCCCTTGTCGAAGAGCTCCTGTAGGAATCCCAGGACCCCCTCCAGCGGGCAACACCTGGGATCCCAGGAACGGGAATCGCACCAGACACTGAATAGCCTCCACCTCGTGGCGTAGGCCCTCACAGTGGACGGCGCCCTCGCTCCCTGAATGGTCTCCACCACCGCAAGGGGAAGACCCAGGTCTACGAGGCTCCGCCTCTCAGCCTCCAAACCCAGAGCCTGCGGCCGATTATCGGGCGTGAAACAGGGCTCCTGCCCCCTGGACTAGAGCCCCCGGCTCGTCCGGGAGGGCCCAGGGCTCCATCACCGCCATGCCCCTCAGGAAGGGGAACCACCGGGCATGCGGACTGTCCGGAGCCACCAGGATCACCGATCTCCTCTCCTGTTCGATCCTCCGCAGCAGGACCGGCAGGAGACGCACCGGTGGGAAAGCGTACAACAGATCGCCTCGCCATGGGTAATGAGCCAGAGCGTCCACGCCTAAAGGCGGCTCGTCCGCGGCCCTTAAGGCGAACCAGGACGGGCACTGTGCGTTCTCTGCACTGGCGAAAAGGTCGACCACTGGACGGCCGAACCTTCGCCAGATCTCCGCAGCTACCCGTGGGGCCAGGCCCCACTCGTCCTGGAGTGGGCCCCCCCCTGGACATCCTGTCGGCTCCCACGTTCCGGACTCCCGGGACGTGGCGCGCCCTGAGAGACAGGGGGTGAAGCGCCGCCCACAGCAGCGTCACCGTCGCCATGCGATGGAGAGCGGGGGACCTGGTGTCCCCCTGCCTGTTCAGATAGGAGACCACTGTGGTGTTGTCTGAGCGCACCATCACGTGTCTCCCCTGCAGCTGAGGGGCAAAGTGCAGCAGTACTCTGTGCACTGCCTCCATCTCCAGCAGGTTGATGTGACGGGCTGAGTCCGACCAGCAGCCTCCTACAGAGCTCTGGCCGAGGACCCCGCCCCATCCTTCGAGCGACGCGTCCGTGAACACCTCGACGTGAGACACGGCGCAGGCCAGAGTCACTCCGTCCCGCAATAGACCCGGAGTGAGCCAGAACCTGATGTCCGATGCTGCCACTTGGGGAACCCAGATCAGCCTCCCCCCGTCCCGGGAGGGGTGAAGCCTGAGGCACGAGAACCACCTCTGCGAATTTTTCATGTGGAGCAGGCCTAGCCGCACCACAGCATGAGCCGCCGCCATCATTCCCAGCAGGGACCTGAGGCGCCGAGCGGGGACTCTGGGGCCCGCCAGAACCTCCCGGGCCAGACGGGTAATATTCATCCGTCTGTCCACGGACAATGCAGCACGGAATGTCACAGAGTCTAGCTGCAGGCCGAGATAGATCATGCGCTGAGCCGGTTGCAGCCTGCTTCTACGTCATGGTGCTACGTCCCTTAGCGGACTTCGCTAGTGGGATAACACGTGCACCTATTCGTAGAACTTAAGTTACAATAGGTAACTATTAATTTTCTCCCTGTTCACCACAGAGCCCAGGCGCTGTATGTGGGACAGGACCCAGTGCGTGTGACACTTCCCTGGATGATGCCAGAATTAACCAGTCGTCTAAGCAGGTTAAACTCCTACCTCTGCGCGTCTGAGCGGCTCCAGTGCCGCTTCCACGCATTGGAAAAGTCCGAGGCGCGAGTGCATAAGTACTCGTAATGCCTCTCTCCCACTGCGAAGCGCAGGAACCTCCTGTGTTCTGGCACTATGGGCATGTGGAAGTACGCATCTGTCGGGTCTATGGAGGACATCCAGTCTCCCTCCCTGACACACTCGAGTAGCTGCTTTGTGGGCAGCATCCGAAACTTCCGTTTAGAAAAGCACTCGTTCAACACGCGCAGATCCAGAATGGGACGCACCCCGCCTGACTTCTTTGGCACTAAGAAGTAAGGGGAGTACAGCCCCCTGGTGGCGTCCTGCGGGTCTACCTCCACTGCTGCGCCTCGACTCAGCAGAGAGGAGACCTCCGCTTGCAGTGCCTCTATTGATCCCCGTACCTGAGAGCGTACTGCCCGTACGCCTCGGAAAGGTGGTGGCTTTCGGGAAGAATTGCAGTGCGGAACCCCTGCGCAATGTTTTCTCCAGCCATATACTGTCATCCAACCCAGCTCCCTCCAGATGCTGTAGAAGTCTGTGAGGGGCGGAACGGGAGCTGAAACACGAGACGTCACGGCCCCGCCCTCTCCTGGTGTTCCTAGCAGGGAGGGGGGGTGGCCGAAAGGGCCGGGGGGGCCCCTGCGTCACACCGTGAGCGCCGAGGGCGGTCACGTGTCCTGCAGGCCCGACGTCATAAGTACGGGACTGCTCACCACACGTGACTCGGCTGCTGTGCCCCCCCCTGGCTCTTGCCTCGAGGAGGGGGGGGGCGAGCCCCTGGAGTGGGAAACCCCGTGTTAGCCCTGTAGCTCAGAGATGCTAACACGCGTTCGGCCGAAGCACACACATATCACTCACCAGATCCCTCCGCCTGACCTCTCTCTGGGAGGGCATAGTATGGATCAGAGAAACCGGAGCTCGTAGTTCGCGTAGTGCACTGCACGCCCCTCTCTGGGGCTGCAGGCCTAGCGAAGCAACGTTATGTGCCCGGGAAGTAACACAATCAGAATTCACAATATTTGACATGTTACATACCCCCAAATCAGACTCAGAAAAGTAATGATGAAATGCCGGTCGGCCTTTATTGAAGGAAAAATTTTTCCACCCCGGCCTCCTCTACCATAGGGAGGTCGGTGGTGGGTGCGTTGCTCCCGCGAGCCACCCATGGGTCTGTCTGGACCCGGGGGCCTCGTCGAGGGGGGACGATGGATAACAGAGCGCGGATACGGGTCAGGATGCCTCCCGGGCCAACGCTCTCTGCCTCTGTCCCGGCTCCGTAATGGCTGGTGGGCCTCGCGCCTCGGTGCTAGGTGCGGGGCTAGCCTAGCCGAGTCTTTAGCTGCAGACTCCAGTCTCGCCCCCCAGGCCTGCATGTCCGGGCCGAAGAGGGACATCTGAGAGGTGGGCAGGTCCAGCAGCTGCCTCCTCTCCGCCTCCCTGATATTAGCCAGCCCAAGCCAAAGGTGCCTGGCCCGACTTGGGCTGCTGCCATGGAGCGGCCACCATCCACAGCTAGCGTCTGGCACATGCGCAGAGTCGCCGCCGAGGTGGTCCTCGCCTGTGACAGGAGGTCTCCACTGAGCGCCTGGTCAGAAGAGAGCAACATATCCAGGGCCCCCGTGATGAATGCCATGTTGTTAGTCAATGCGAGGACCTGTGCTGCAATGGCATAACATCTATCCGGCATCGCCAAGACATCCTGTCTCGCTCGGAGGGAAGGAGAGGTCTGGTGCCGGGCCACACAAATGCGGAGGGCTGCAGGGCCATGCGGACTGAATCCTCGGTGTCCTGGCCACCATCCACGGCTAGCGTCTGGCACATGCGCAGGATCGCCGCCGAGGTGGTCCTCGCCTGTGACAGGAGGTCTCCACTGAGCGCCTGGCCAGAGGAGAGCGACCTATCCAGGGCCCCTGTGATGAATGTCATGTTGTTAGCCAATGTGACGACCTGTGCCGCATTGGCATAATATCTATCCAGCCTCGGCAAGACATCCTGTCCCGCTCGGAGAGAAGGAGAGGTCTGGTGCCGGGCCACACGGATGCGGAGGGCTGCAGGGCCATGCGGACTGAATCCTCGATCACCGGTCCAGGACCAGTCCTGCCCGCTGCAGTATATGTCGTACCCCAGAGCAGGCCTCTTGGCTGCTAGGGGCTTAGGCCACTCACGTGTCGCGTAATGGACGAACGGGTCCATCCGCGGGCACAACGTGGGTTGCATCCTCCTCCTTCCTCGAGTGGTGGCACCCACAGAGGTGAAGTCCTCCACCGTCTGGATCCAGTGACGACGTCCGACGCCGGAGGGCGAAGGGAACTCGGACGAACAAGGAAGACATCTCAGAATGAAGTAAGTACTGTGGTAGATCTCAAACGGCGCCAGAGTGAAAGAGGGGGTGCGGCCTTGTGCAGGGGCATTTATAGAGGAAGGTGGCTGGTGATTGGAGCAAATTATTTTGATCTCTCTGGCGTGTGACCTGGGGGTCACGAGTGATATCCCACTAGCGAAGTCCTAAGGGACGTAGCACCATGACGTAGAACTCTTTGCGGTCTGGATAATAGCCATATTTCATACGTGAATTTGCCTTTGTGTGTATGTAATTGCTTAAGGTGTTGACTAAACATAATAAATTAACTAAAATCGTTTTGGTTTCTCTTATGCCTCAGTCACAGTCAGAAGTTCTCGAGACTTCATGGGATTTTTGCTCCAAGCTCGAACTGCGGAGCGTCCAGGGCTGTCCTCCAGGATCCAGGGTGAGGATGCAGCCGTGCAGAGCAGGCCGGGCGCAGGGGGGCTGGGTGGCATCCTGCTGGGAGGGTCCTGGACTCTCACTCCGCCCGGAACACACACGGTCCGCTGCTTTTCCGACGAAGACACAGTGACGCATTCTGACAAACAACCGAAGAGGAACTTGTCTTTTGTTTGGAGGGCTCCGGACCGATCCATAGGAGACGTGCGCTTTTAGTGAGTGGCAAGGAATACTACCAAACAATTCAATACTGGAATGGGGAGAAATGTATTGCACAAGTTTTTTTTTAAAACAGCAAACACAAACATTTTAAACAAGCCTTTTGGAAAAACCTTGGTCAAATATTTGAATAATACATGAAAACAAATAAAGTGAGGATCAATGTCACAAGAGATAAATGTACTCTTTGTTTTTTGAAAGTCTAATAAGGGAAATGCCATGTTTGTAGGCAGAGTTTGCGTGATATAGAACTATAAATTAATGAATTAAGAAACTGTCATTGTAGAGAGCCTATAGTTTTAAATTGTGGTGGAGGGCAACTGAAAAAGTGTCAAAGGTTTTTAGCTTATTTCTCTGTATACCCTAGCCCCACATTAAAAACCTGTATTGAGCTGGGAAAACACTTCCTTTTTCAATATTTCTATCTAAATAATCTCCTGTCCCTGCCCAAACATAACAGTATCCAATGGGGTATAAAGTGCACCACTCCACTCAAACCATATAATAAATTCAATGGTGTGGATTCTTGTCTCATTTTGTTGACATCACTTCTTCGTGGTTTAGTTTTAGTTTTACTTCCTGTCCTGTTCCATAGTCTTTGCTTGTTTTTGTTTTCTCTGTTTCCCTGGTTGCTGAGTTTTGTTTGGATTTTTGGTTCGTTTTATTCATGAAATCATTATTTTTGCTTTCCCACATTTTGGATCCTTCCTTCACTTCACCACACAACAATAACAGTGTGTGTGTGTGTGTGTTTTTTTTCAATATTAGCCTTGTAATAGGAACTCATAGAACACACTAGTTACAAATAAGCACATGTCTCTTCACTATCGATGTGTGTGTAAAAATGTGTCTGTGTTTCATGGTGTCAGTCTCACGGTCGTGCAGTCCTACTTCGTTTACTGGACTGGAATCTCGTCCAGAGTGTTGCATGATGGGACTCGTGGTCGCTGGAGAGGAAACTCCATGAGACAAGGTTTGTTCCTTCGACATGCATTCACCAAAATACATCCAAGCTCAATATTGTGCTACGCTAATTTCAATACAAGGCAATATCATATGGCTAATGCTATGGCTACGCTAGGCTTTGGAAATAGTTGAATATGTTTAGAAATGTGCACAGCCTTAAATAGGACGCCCTCTGACCATTTTTTTTTTTTAACAGCTCAACTATATGATGAAGACTTTATTCAAGATCAACAAGAAGTCGCCCAAACCATCAAAGCCAGCACCATGAAACCAGATGTGTACAAGCTAACAGCCACCGACAAAAGAAAGGCAACTCCATTAGGAATTCAGACGCAAAACATAACTATGTCACCCGATTTTCTGCGCAACAACTCCAGAATATCTGGTGCAAATGTGAAGATCCAGGGAAAGAACCACAATGGAACACAGTATGATAGAATTGGAACATTTGTGAGGTGGGAACATTTATTTGAAGATAAAGCAACGCAGACCGATAATCAGGATGATGAGAGTAATGGGTTAGAGTCCAGGGCAATGAATTCCAATGAGAACAAAGACAGTCAAATGTCGGAAAGATTTGTAAAGCATGGAGATTCAGGGCATCCAAAAATAGGTAATTTTGGCAAAGAGCAAAAGCCGTATTTTGGAAAGTCAATGATAAACGCTAACAAAAGCCAGCAAAACTATACTATAAATGTAGTCGATAGTCATGACAACACAGGAGTCAATGAGAAAATATATACAACTTTAGCTGATCAAAGCACCCACTACCCTTTTTCATTCACAACAGCAGACAGCAATGGCGAAATTGTTGCATCTACAGCTAAATCAGCTATATCAGCTCAAGGAAATACAACTTTTTCTTTGACTTTGAGTGATGTTACTACAACTAGCTATTTGCAAAACCAAACACTCGTAAAAGAGCAAACTGTAAAACCAAATGCAGTCACTATTACCCCGATCAAAACTGATCCGACGCCAATAACACATTCCGCAGTTCGAGACAAATTGTTAGCGACGCCAAAATCTCCACCGGCCAAAAGTATAAAAGACTTACTTCTTCACTTGGATTCTTTGATAGTTAAGGACATCACTTTCAAAACTTCTAAAGCTGAAGAAACCCAGTCTGTTACAACAACATCTGACATCCATTCTTCAACTGCTAGCCAAACATTTTCAACCATGAATGATCTGGAAAATGTAACATTAATTGAACATAAACCGACAATAAAATCCAATATGAATCAATTATTTTCTATTGCAAGTAGTTCAGAAGATTCAAAGCTCCTTCGTTCAAATTCTCAGATAGATGCATCCGAACTTTATCAACCATCCACTTCACCAAGAAGGTTTAATGCTACAAAATCAACGTTAGACATTCCCGAAGATGCCACGATTATAAGAAAAAGTCTAGTGCAAAATATGACTGATAGCATGTCAAACAAAACAACACATTCTTATGAAGTTACGATGGAAGGAGCAGTCAGTCAGTCTGCAACTTCAAAGAATATCCCTGTACCTAGCTTGATTTTTGAGTCCACAAAACGCTCCCTGACCCGCCCAGCCACCACTACCTCAACATTCTTTGCATCCCAATCTAAGCGTGAATTCGCCTTTACATCCCAAAATTCAGTTAGTGCATTGCCAACTAATACAAGTGTCCATATGAACCCAAAATGGACAAATTCTTCAATTCAAAGTCTGCCTACTACGGCTACAACTCAACCTACAAGGCTTTCTCTGCAAACTATTTCGGAAGATTACAAAGCAACCTTTTCTAGGTGGCAAAGTCAAACATTACACACAAGATCTACAATCGCAAGCAAAGCAAGTGCAGCCACTGCTAGTGTCCAGCCTCGATATTCTACTCCTATGCAAACACCCAATGCAAGCCTTTTACATTTAATTTTAACACATTTTTCAACCGATTTTCCGTCTAGTTCAAGTCCGGGGCAGAGCAGTACATTGACCAAACCAATGTACCATCCTGTTACATTTCCAAATAGACAAGCCTCTACTGTTGTGCCAGAATATACAACCCACACATTTTCCACTGATCTTAGTTCAGTTTCTTATGACAATATCGCTACTGTTTCCAAACCACCATCAAGGATTCGTTCTGTTGAGGCTGCTACAAGTGTCCCATCATATATTGGTGGTGCCTGGTCAAAAATATCGTCTACTTTTGATGAATATTGGAAGATAATTGCTAATATTTCCAAGTCATCAAATATGTCAGGCGAAGTGAAAGGAGTTGAAGACAGAGAAACCTCTGTGGCTCCATACGACACCACACAAACGGCTCCGTTGTCACCTGATACGATTTTATTCAAGTCTAAGCAAAGTAATAGACAAACAAACATGCTAGCATTTTCTACTCCCAGTGTCACACCAGCAGCTGCTCTTTTTAAAACAACTCATTCAAACAATTTCTATCAACAATTTATCTCTTCTGTTATAGATATCTCCGAAGCTTCCAGAAGTCCTCAAATCATTGAACCAACAACTAATTTGGCTTCAGAAATGAACGACAAAGCAAGCCTGAACAGCTGGACCACTTCTTCAAATACTCAATTAGAAAAATTCTCGTCCACTTTTAAAACAACAGATTCAAATCAGAAAAATGTAACGTTTCCTACTTCAAGTAAAGACAGCATTCATTATGTTATTACTGGATTGCCCAAGAAACAAATAGTTAGCACAGGATCAAGATTAACAACCGTCGGCCCAACAACAGAACAACATTTTTTACATTTTACTGTGAGTGGGATTACAAACAAAGACACAACCGGTCTGACGGCAGAGAACTCGTCAACCGATCAAATCTCTTCTCATACCACAGTGGATGATACAAATATCCGTCCAATTTTTTCAATTGTGGCAAACCGCAATCAAAAAACCTTTTCACCGACAAATGTTCAGAGGAAATTGGCAACAGGAAGTCTTATCTCTACAGATTCCCAAACATCAGATTCCAAGTTGCATCTCGCCATTTCAACTCGTCCATTTCCAGTTCATTTATCTAAAAGTACAACCGACATGTATGCAACACTTCCAACCCATAATAATAATGTCACCATTAACCAACAAAATCAATCCAGCATTCATGCGTCTTATCAGAATGTCAATACAACACCTGTCCTTGTGCCAAAAGGGGACATTTTTGCTCATGAAATGGAAAGAAAAGCAAAAAGCACTCAAACTGCAGCCCAGTTTAACAAAACAATGTATGAAGGAGGAACCTCTCCAAATGAGGCAACCACTGTATCTACCATTTTCGCTTTTTACTTTAATACAACCACCAAAAAGTTATCAACAATTAGCCCTCAATTAAATGAGCGAGAAGATACAAATGTATACCAGAAATTACCACCTCACTCTATGACTTTTGTCACACATGAAGGAACGACATTGTATTCAAATTCATCACATTCAATTTCTTCCACAACTTCAGATACAAAATCATCAACTGCTTTGAAAAGTACAACCAAAATCTCACCCATTTCCATTTTTCTCAACTCTTCAACCAAAATGTCTCAATCAACTTACAGCAGTTCTTCCAACAGGCCAAAAAGCCATTCACAAACTTCTTCCAACGCACCCACGTCAGCAAACCTTTTAAAAAGTACTGTTCCAATTGAAAAGGTATTGACGCTAACTATCAATGCTGACAAAAGATTAACAAAAAGTAACACAAATGTTCTAGATCTTCCGGCTCCTTCACCAATTTCAAGTCCTCCAAATGTGGCCCTTATCACTTCTTCTCAAACGTCACCACCCTCTTTACTTTCCACCAAATTGGATTCTAGTCCGATAAAGTTGCAACCGTCTGCTGCTCGACAATCTCTCGTCAACCACGTCACGACTTTTGCACCAAGTAAAGCTCAAAAACCGCTCATTATCGTCGCTTTGCCGAACCACAGCGTAAAACCGAACCTGCCGATATCTCGAATTTCCCAAAACACAAACCCAAATGAAAAGCCAAAAGTTGAAGTAAAGGCTAAACTTCCGCCTCACCTGCATCCAGACAGAGGGGGGAAGTACCCAGATATCATACCCAGGCACAGTGCATGGGAGCTGGGCATGTTGCTTGGGTGTTCGGCCGGTCTGGGGATGATTTTGGTGGTGGGGATCAAGTACGTTCATCGGAAAGCGTGCGGTAAGCGGACGCAGGTGACTTTGCACGATCGGGAGCGCGAGTACGGCCGAGGGGACAGGGGGCTCATTCATGTCCAAGAGTGCGGAGACTTGGTGCGAGTCCGGAGAATCAGGGAAAACAGTTTTGTTCTGTTGGCAGAATACGACATCCTCGCGACGCCAGGGGATTGAGAAGCAGAGGGCGGCCATTTTGTTTTCATGTCTTGGTCTGCTAAGTGTATTTTTGTTAAATTCCATTATGATGTGTAGAAAAAGGCATATACAAGGCATATACAACAGTTGACGACTTTTGCAGAAACCAATAATGGCCTTTTTGTACGAATAAGTTTAAAGGTATTCTGTGTATTTTTTAGTTTTCCAAATGAAAAAAAACAAGTTCACTAATAACTAATGTGACCTTTCTAAGAATATTTACCTCTACCAAGTTTTTTTTATTTGTTGTCAAAGGCTTAGAATTTGACTTATGTGTACACGAGAGCCGGAGGACTCTACATGTCATTGCGCCATCTTGAAATACAGTGGCTGATAAGGGACAAAAAGGAGTTTGAGCGGGAGTTGTTGACCACAGTCAAAAACGACATATGCGAAGTTATTGTTGTACTGTGTAAGGTGACAAAGAGGGCACGACTCAGCAAACACGGCCCCATGGAAGACGTTAACCAGTATGCGGATAAAGTAAACATGCGATCTGGGAATGTCCATCCCAGAGCTACATCCGAGACATAAAAAGGGTCGAATGGAGGACTATCATTAGTCACAAAGATAACAACCGTCAACCTGGGACAATGAATCGACCACAGAACTAAACATCTCTGCCCTCCTATCCGGCGAGATCAAAGATCAAATCGAGTCTGCACACTCTCTAAGGACTGAGAACATTCCTCCCAGGCAGACTGGCGATCCACCAACGACGTTCTGACGCCCCCCAGTGGACACTGGACACTAGCACACCCGAGAGGGACATTCGAAAACCATCGCTCTGTGAAGACATTATTCTAATAACCTTTACTGGCTCTACCCGTGTGTAACATTGTCTGTAATGTAAATGCGCTGTGTGTCGGTATATGTGTTATGAACGTCAAAATGTGTGTATTGTGTGTACATAACATATCTGTCTAGGGAGACGCACAAAGATGACGTCATAGACGCGCCTCCTTTGGACACAACAAAACCACAAGCCGCTCAGAGAAACGTTCTCTTGGTATTCCCGTAATCAACGTATCAACCAGGTACGCGTCTCCTACGCGACCTCTGGCCTGCAACAACTTGGGCCTCTCTACCTCCACGAGGACAGCTCACAACACCCGCTGCCGGAGACCACGGGCTCTCCTCCACCAGCCACTTTCCGGCTCTCTGGACGCCTCCACATGCGACGCTTTTCCTAGGCAGCGTACGTGTGTGGGGATTTAAAGTTGGATTGGACCGGCTGGCCTGTGCCTCTCTCTCTCTTGCCCAAACAAAGGAGCACGTGGACTGTTCAACCCCTTTTCTTCATTCCTCATCCCTCAATACGGACTACGTCAAAGTAAGACTGTTCTAATTGCCACGTTAATGTGTGATTCACGTGATATGTTTAACATCTCTGTTTAATGTGACCAAACCCCTCCTCGTTGATATTTTTCTATTTTCGTATGTAGTCAATAAACCCACGATAAACTTAAGTCATCGTCAAAGTGTCCTTTTTACCAATCTTTTGATATCCCTGGCTGATTTCGTACTCAAAACCTATCAGATTGTGAGACTGATCGAGGCAGATTAGTATTGGATCTGTTGCAGACTTTCACTGTTCTGCTGGTGCCCCTAAAAATAAATTCAGATCCCCCTCTGTGGAACGGCGAGGCTCTATCCTGGAGACTGGCTCTTCCACAGTACAATTTTCTTACCCTACAACTGTAATTACAATATATGATATATATGATATATGATGATGATGCTAGATGGGATTAAAAATTACACAGTGTGCCTTTAATGCTGTACCGTGGAACCCATTCGGAACTTCTTGTTTGCATGTATACTGTTCTAGCTAGTAAAAATACTGACAGTTGGAAAAACAAAACTTTCATTGGTGAGATTTTCCAACTCCTTCGCCAATCTCAAGTCAGTTTTTTCTGCTCTTGGTGGAATATAACAAGCTCAAAAAGCCAGAGAATTGAAAAGAATAGAGCGGCCATGTTGCTTTCATGTTTTGTAACTAAATATATTTTTGTCGGTGAAAAAAGTGCTTGTGTATTTGTGTAGGTATAGCCTAAAGATATACTACTGTTAATGAAGAAAAAAGTAAATATCAAATTAAATATTGTTGGAGAAATCTAACTGGGATTATAAATCAATTTAACTTAAGAATGAATCTAATGATGAATTAGGATATCTGGGACAAAGTTCAAAGCTAATCAAGCTATTCAAGCTAACTAATCTGTTGTTCTGTAGGGACGCGAGGCCAATGACGGGGTGGAGACAGATACTAGCTTGATATCGGGACAAGAGGAGCGTGGTCCAGTGTTGCCAACTCCTCAGTAAGGAAAGTAGCTATTGGCTGTCCCAAAAGTCGCTAGAAGTCGCTAAATGACGTCATCGCCTAATTTGCATAATTGGCAATTTGCAAATAACTGTAACGGACGCTGTAGGAGAGAGGAATAATGTCGTGGGAGAGACGAAAGTGAGTAAAAAACACCCTAAATATGTTTAGAACTACAAATGTACAAACATAATTTCAACATTTAATGATTTTAATGCTTTGTCTAGATCTGTCGCTAGTCGCTTTTTTGAAAAAAAGTCGCTATAGGGTCTGAAAAGTTGCTAAATCTAGCGACAAAGTCGCTAAGTTGGCAACACTGGCGTGGTCACCGGTCATACTGACCATTCTTCGTAGTATCAGAGTAAGACGTCAGAAGAGAGGGGGGTTTGGGCTACGGCTACCACTTAATCTCGGACTCAGAGACGCCATAGATAGACTCTTATGTTTGTTCCATCCTATTAATATGAGAGAGAGTGAGCACTATTTAGCAGATCTATCTGGGACCTGCCACGCGGTTACACGGTTGTATTTCTTGTATATGTATACATTTACTGAAATAATAAACCACACTTTGATTTGTGTTACAGATCTTTGTTGTTTATTTTATATTTAATATTGTGTATTTCAATCCTTAGAAATTTCACAACAATATTCACTTTGACAAACACTACTTTGGTGGAATGAATAGTAGCAATTCCGCTTCCCATTGTAATTAGTTTCAAATAAAGTATTTTTAGCGCACTCTCCCCTGACTATATCGCAGGCGTTCATTGGAGGAACTTCTGAATCTTGAGGACGCATGTGACGTGTCTTTGAATAATGTTGGCACGTCTCAAAGTTCTATTCCAAAGTGTGAGAGTCACCATCTGTGCAACAAAACACTTCTCCGTGTGCACAGTTTGAGACGGTATCCTGGTTTTCCAACGTGCAAAAGATCGACACGCTTCAATGAAATGGACTTACAAATATGACCTTGTTTCCTTATTGTGTAATGATTAATCTTGGTCTGCATTTTGTGTATTTTTTTCCGGCAAATTTATGAGGTCAAAAGATATAGGGCCACAGCTTCACATAGACTCCAACTCTTTGCACTCCAAAGGGTTCATGGGTTGAAAAATTGTTTCAATTTGAGTGTTTTTCAGATTTGTTTCAGTCATTTACAGACGCCATATGACAGCTGGAAGGAACAGCAGTCAGGGTAGTTTGTTCCACTGTAAAAAGTTAAACAATTTCCTCATTAAAAAACAGCATACAGGGTTGATAAAAAAAAAAAAAGAAGCTAATTTGTTGCAAACAAGGCAGCACGGGGAGAAGGAGAAGAGAGAGAAATGCAACTCCACCCCTTCTGTCTAAAAGCTCATGTCTCCGCCCTGTATTAGTACAGTATGTTCTCCTCGCACCGCTGTGACATCACACGGTAGAATTCTGAACAATGTCCAAAACTGGATCATCCAAACACACCTACACCATTATATTTCTACTTTGTATCAGACAGACCTACAGTGTGCATCATGTTTTTAGTTTGATGTGTGAAATAGCATGTTTTTTAGTGGATGCTTTATGTAATATTCTTGTATATAGTTCATTTTCTCAACACTGAGCTCCTACAGAGTCAACGAATGAGTCAATGGAGGAAACCTACGCAGAAACGGGGAGAACATGCAAACTCCACTAAGAAAGGCTCTGTTCCGACCATATTCCAAACAGGGTGCTTCTGGATGATCTGTTTGTGATGGTGTAACAGGTTTGTCAGGTCGAGTGGCAGCTGTCAGTTTCACAATAGGATAGACACTGCTGAGGGCGCATCTTTTTTTTTTGACAGGTTTAATTACACTGTGACAAAGAATGAAAACAATTCTGTCATTGTTTTTCACTACATTCACTGGAAAAGTTTGAAGGTTGAATATATAATCTTATCTTGAAGCCTTGACTCTCTGCAATTATGTATCGAGAAACACACACACATCACGTTTGATTATACTCCAACGGGTTTTCCAAAAATAGATTCAATTTGAGATAATAGGAAAGTGTGAAGTTACGGCATTCCCTCCGCTTTCTCTTGTGACTTTGGTCCTATCCAGCAGTCATAGGCAAAAACTAAACATTAAACCTCATAAAAAGGCAACAAACCTGTTAAGAATGTCCCTCCCGATGCAGAACGCAGACTTGTTTCACCATATAGTTTCAACTGACAAGGTGCTTTCACATTCTTAAACATGAAATGACAAAGTAAAGAGTCTCATAGGCTTCTTTAACAACGTGGATATGTTTGAGTTCATAATAAATGCTTCTTGACCATTTCAAGAGAGACTGCTCACAAGGGCGTGTGTCAGAAACATGTTTACACCACATCATTTCCATACACGCACGCACACACGTGCTTTTTTAGAAACTCATAAACACGTCACACGCATAGACTATAAATATTACATGTCATTACCCTTTCACTCCATGCACGGTGGTCACACACACACACACACACACACACACACACACACACACATTAGGCAATGAGTGTCTTGCCTGAGGATACAATGACAGTTAGGCAGCCTGGTGTTCCCAGAGGTCTCCCATCACAGTACTGACCAAGCCCTGCCCTGCTTAGTTTCAGAGGTCTGACAAGATCTGGCTTTCACATACAGGTTTGGCTTTAGAATGCATAAGAGTGGTGAGTGGTGGTACATTGTTTGATTCCACCTATTCTTATTGTGGAGTTTGCATGTTCTCCCCATGTCTGCGTGGGTTATTCCTCCGGTTTCTCCTACAACTTATATACAATAGGTCTGAATGTAATGTTTGAAGGTGAGGGGCTTCGAAGCTGCGATTCTCTTCTGCCATCACCGTGTGGGGAGTCAGTGGAAAGTGACCAGAACCACCAATGTTTTTGTTGAAGTGCTTTGTGTGACCTTAGTCTATGAAACGTGCCTGTGGTATTGACATAAGTAATTAATGGGACAAAGTATCTCACTTTGTCACCACCCTATATAAATAAAATCACCTATTCATTGCATATTGGAGACGTTCCATTCCAGGTTCTTTATCATACTTTTCATTTTATTCATATATTCACAGTTCTCTGGACAGAATTGTTTTCATTCTTTGTCACAGTGTAATTAAACCTGGCAAAAAAAGAAGATGCGCCCTCAGCAGTTGATAAGAATCAGACTCAGGCAAGTCTATCCTATTGTGAAACTGACAGCTGCCACTCGACCTGACAAACCTGTTACACCATCACAAACAGATCATCCAGAAGCACCCTGTTTGGAATATGGTCGGAACAGAGCCTTTCTGAGTGGAGTTTGCATGTTCTCCCCGTTTCTGCGTAGGTTTCCTCCATATGCTCCGGTTTCCCCTACCACTAAAAACATGCACAATAGCTATGAATGTAGATGAGAGTGGATGGATGGTGTTGATTGGGGGCTTTGATGCTCCAGTGTGTTCGGCGTCTCGCTTCCGTCATCACCATGTGTAGAATGAGTGGAACAATATCTGAACTCTGAACATTGTAAAGCGCTTTGGGTGACTTTGGTCTGTAAAATGCGCTATATAAATAAACATTACTTACTTACTATTCATTAAGCTCATGGTTCATTCAACCTGTATTCATTCTATTATACCTTGTTTACTAGTACGTTACTTTAGTATTTGAAGGGACAGTATGTAATAGTCTCATCTACATATTTTCTGTGTGTCCCCAGATAACCTGCACAGATCATGCTTTGTCTTTTCAGAAAAAAAGTTGAAATTATAATAAATTTTCGGCTCTCTCTAGCGCGACACATTTGCAACTAAAGACAATGTGTAGAAGCTCGTGTCACCGGCAGCAAGATTCTGCTTTTAAAGACCTTTATGTTTAAAAAAAAAAAAAAAATTTGTGGGTATCAAAATTGCATGACAATGTCAATCTGAAAGAGATTCCGGCAAAAAAAATCCTATATTCTATAAAAAGAACGTGTTTTTCATGAATTTAAGCTGTCTATGCTCTAACCTGTGTGTGACGTCACAGCGGGTAACGCCCATGCATTGAAAACCATGGATCTATGCCACAGGACTGCCTGTTCTCTCTTCTCTCCACTGATGCCCAACACAATACTGCCCTCTACAGGTGACAATTGCTCACTACACATAAATTGCCGTTTGAGAGTGAAAAAGTGTCTGAGATGGGATTTGAACCCAGGTATCTGGATTAGGAGTCCATCGACACAACAACTGGACTATCTCAGTGCCAACGAAGTGTTACAATCTAGTATTTATGTCAGACTCGCTGTACACGGCCTTGTCATCTTGAATATCCGCAAACAAAGAACGAATACCAAATTGTAAACAACTTACAGCATTGAAACGTACCCACTCTGACGTCACCAAGGGCTGTGAAGTTTTTTTGTCTCTAAGGGCGTTGCTATGGGGTTATTTCGATTTGGGGGGATCAGACAAAAAAAACAACTGATTTTGAAACCTTTAGTAGTTCTCTTCTAATATAAAATGGTATTAAAACTGTATTTCTAAATAAATCAAACCCGTCATAAGGTCTTTAAACAAAGAAACACACACAAAATTCTTTCCACTTTTTAAATATTCAAAACTCTGTAACAGTCATCCATACTGTAAATGCAAAAATAACATATTTCCAGTAACATTTCATCTCTGGAGGTTCTGTACTTTACATTCAAGTATCTAAATAAACTATTAAAAAAATAACAAAATACTTTTAAATACAAACTCATGCCAATATGAGTTTTCCATTGTCCATTTGAGGTCATTTTGTTTTGGAATAAGGCACAAATAGGTCCATGAAAAGCCCTTGGAATGATTCAAACGGGGTCCGAAAACGAGAGAGCCTGAAAAACAATAGAACAATCAATATTAGTCGAATTAGCAAAATGATCCAATCCATGACAGAAAACCACTCTATATTCAAAACATAATTGTACGTTTGTGAATTAACACCCTAAAAATAATACTGTGCTTAAACGGTGAGTACATTTTTGATCCCAGATAATTTTCCACCGCAATTGTGCTCCATTGTGTCCGAGAATCCAGCAATTCATTTCACTGTTTAACCTGAGTCTAACAAGATATGCTGAATAAATTGTGATTTACCGATGGGTCCTTTTCCTTTTTAGACCAAATAGAATTCCAACCTGGCCTTGGTTAAGAAGTGTACAAAACAAATTACTGGATCCAAGAGTAAAAAAAATGATATAAATTACTTAAAAATTACTTTAGAATTCAGGATAAAGACCTGTGTTTGAGTCTGTGCGTCTAAAAGCTGGGATAACTAACTTTTGTCTTAATTTTTCTTCTGGGAAAGTAAAACATATTGAAGGAATCAGACCACAGCATGCGATTGTTTGCATACTTTAAAGATCTAGCCCTGTGAGTCACAATTGGAATCTTGAGGCTGAGAGCTGATTGGCTGAGTGAGGGTGGTCCTCTCTTTTTCCCTTTTCAGTTTGTAAAAGCTGATCTAAAGATGTGACAGAGAACAAAAATACATTCAGGTTTTTAAAACGTGGAACCAGCTTGTTGTATTTTTATTATAGCTAAATTTTTATGTTTGAAAGTTAGGTACCCCAGCTTTAATTCTTCGTTTGGTTGGAACAGTGCATGCCAATGAACACACCGGAGCAACCAGAGGAAAACTTGGCAGACACAGGGAGAGCATGCAAACTCAACACAAAAGATGTTTATTTTGAATTGATTTTTAACTTATGTCGATAAATACTTCTGTGGTCAATTAAGAAACAGGCAAAGAGTTTTTTTTTACATTAAAGTACATATGACATTTAACCAGACCATGAAAATCATCATCTCTGAGCTCCATATTTTCTTCAGTCTTAAACTAGAAGATCCAGTCATCTTAAATTGCCATCTCCATATGTATCCATAGATGTAAAAATTGTACTGCTTCCAAAAAATGATAATAAAATGGGCCAAAATATCACCTATAAACAGAAACCACGACCTCTCTCTGTATTTTATACTAACAGTACGATGCCGGTCCCAAAAAATGTGGTCATAAAAAATGTCATATGTGCTTTAAAGCTTGAATTGTCAACACTTGTTACTCACTGGAGACAGAGCAGCCTATCTCAACAGTAGACTAGACTGTAGGCATACAAGCAGGAGTTAGTCACGACACCACACAACGCCACACAACACCACACAACCTTCATCCCAATGGATCAAGAGATTTAAGAAGAACATGAACTGTAACTCTTGGCCCATAAGAACTCATGAGCCAAACCACACCCCCCGAGAAACTGAAATGTAGAAGAGACATGTTTTAGGAACAGCTTTTGACTTTTATTAGAATGCGACATTTATATAACTTTTAAATTGTTACTTTTTGTTCTTAAATTCTTACTATTCTTATTTATAATATTTACTCCTTCAATACAGTTTAGTTCAAGACATATTGTTTATTTGAGCTTTCAGTTTACAACATACAAACATATAGGAAATCTCAAAACAACAGAAAGAGTAAAAAGGAAGAGAGATTAAATCCGCAAGCGGCATTAAACGGCTTGCAGGCTTTACTCAGACCCTTCTTACCCACAACTCCCACAGGAGGTGGAGCGGATGCACCCTCATCACGGCTCTGATGGAGGATAAACTAATATTATAAATAGCGTAATGAATATGATCTTTGGAAACAACTAAAACGTACAGCTTTGCCGCTTGTACTTTCGATGGCAATGTGGACCGGTTTTTAGCCCTGTCCGTCAAATTCCTGAGGTGAAATCGCCCCCACCCCCTCCATAGGATTGTGGAGTAGACTAATGAGGCTGAAGACATGGGTTCATCAGTGGAAGGGCATGTGCAACATAAAAGCAGCATAAAGCTGGGCCCATGATCATAGTTTAGCATCATGTTTTCAGCTGTGCCTGAAGGTTTACACACGAGGCCTTGGATTTCATAGATTTGGTCACATTCTGGAGATTATGAATGATTAATAGTGAGCCATTATATCACTCGCTGTTAGCTTTTGTGTAAAGCCATGCTTTAGAACAATTACAACATCATAGACACTAGGGCTGCAACTAACGATTATTTTGATAATCGATTAATCAGGCGAATATTTTTACGACTAATCGATTAATCGGTTTATGTACTTATATTTTAGTTTTGCCAATTTTTTTCCAAGTAAATTGTTAACAAAGGGCCTTCATCATTCAACATAGACTTTTTAGAGATTTTAACCATTTTACATATTCATATCCACATCAAAAACATATCTGGAGCTGTTTATTATGTCTTTGTAATCCTTTGTTGAACTCAATGTCGACCATCAAAACAAAACACTGACCATTACATACTCTAGCAAATTTCACAAGGAGATTTCCAATAATGTTTTCACCATGAAAATCCTTAGGGCTTCTGAAGTAGTTTAAAATCCCGAACAAGGCTTATTTAAGTTGATAAACTGGATAAATGTTTTTTTTTTTTTTTTTTACATCTTTGTGCAAATTATTTGAAAGATCAACTTTATGCCTAAAACAGTGAGTGTGGCGCCATCTTTTGCAAACAGTCAGTACTGCAGAGAGATGGTTTAAGGTGCTCACGCAGAGACGTAGTACTCCCGTGCCAGGCCAAGTCAGTAGCGCAGAGTTTACAGGTTACTCTTCTTTTTTGAAGGTTCAAAGTAAAGTGCTCCCACACTTTGGATGACTTCGTTCGATTAGGTTTGTCTTCTGCTTTTTTCCTTTTCTTTCTCGAGCTTACTCCACTGCCGCTTGCCTCCGCCATCTTGCTGTATGCTGAAGAGAAGCTGTGCGCGAAGCATGTGACATAAAAGGAGGCCAGCTATTGGCTATTCGCTACTTCTCCTGCTGTAAAACCTCCGGTGGCTCATTACTGCCACCATTTGGTCACCGCAGAGTTAAAATATGCACGAAATGAGCCGCTTACGGCAAAATAAAATTATCTAGCAACTAATCGATTACTAAATTAGTTGACAACTATTTTAATAATCGATTTTAATCGATTACATCGATTAGTTGTTTCAGCTCTAATAGACACGGATCATGTCTGTGATCTCAAATGTGAGGTGCATGCAAGGCAGCCCGGGAATTTACAGGAATACATTTTTTCAATGAGAATGGACAGCTTTAACACCAGAGAGGATAGAGGACCTCATCCACAAACTTCCACAAAAGACTCTGAGCTTCACATGTTATAGGCTCAGACTTCTGGAAACGTCTGATCATGGTCTGTTTCTGTGGTCTTCACACTTGAAAAGGTATTTCAGCATAAATGGCTTCCCACAACCAACAATGAGTGAAAGAAATATTTGCCTTTTAGTCCATAATCTTGTTTGAACTTTCAAGCACAACTGTTTCACTACACAGTCGATACATGTAGCTTTTATATCTCCATCTTTCTTATTTTTCAACTTAGTAATTCATTTCTATATGAACATACTCTAAACATGTTCTCATATCTTGTTAGTTTTCCCAGAAAGTGCCACAGTATACCATGACCCATCGTACGATAGCTGCCATAGAATCTTTTAGTCATTGTTAAATACAAAGAACAACAGTGAAACATGCAGAAGACAGGTCCTCCAGCACAACATACACAGAGCATATATTTTGATGAAGTATTTTTGTTTCTCTTTTACTCTTTGCAATGTCTCTCAGTCCTGTTTGTATGAGAGTGGAGATCCCGGGGGTACCTTCTGTCTGGAGGTCATCCAGGTCCTGATGCTGGGCACGAGCACTGAGCCCAGCAGGATCTGAGCCGGGTGGTAGATCAGCAGCGGGACGGAGATGAGGGAGAGGTGCTCGAAGCCCTCAAACACAATCTTCAACATGGGAATGCCTGGAGCCAAAGAGATTGCTGTTTAAAAGCTCATAAGGAAGATTTGACTTCTCCTTTTAGCTTTGTCTGATGCAAAAAGTGTGTTTCATGACTGCCCCCGTGTTTGTAGACAAATTGGTAGTTAATAAAGTTACCTACTGATTGAACCTCGGCTGCACATATGACATAGATCATGGGAGCCAAAGCCAAGTGAATGAATTATCTTGGCCCATGGAATGATATTTGGTTAGTATTAGAACTGGCCCACACAGAGCATTGAGAAAATATTGGATTATTTATTTAATTATCAAATAAATTACAGTCCACTGTTTTAGGTCTTTGTTCTAACACAATGCAATCATTTTAATATGTTTTAATTAAACATTGAACCAGTCCGGCCCTGGACAAATTTAGTTTTTTGGCTCTCTAATGTAATTGACTTTGACATCCCTGACATAGAAACCACAAAGTAACAAGGGATAACTGTCTAAACCCGTTTTCTTACAATTTTCTCACATCAAATAGAGGTGGAGATCACATTTTCCATGTTTAGTAAAGAGACTTGACAGATATGGAGGACCGTGGCTGCCATACAGAATTAAATAAATAAATAAAATAAATTTAAAGGCACACCGTGTAACTCTTGGCCACTAGGGGCGCTAGACCTGCAACTTTCACGTTTAGCGCCCCTAGTGGCCACAAGCAACTCAGCACTGTCGCAAAAGTCAAACAGTCAGCCGGTGTCTTTTGAGTGTGTATTCAGACAGCATGCACTGGTGTGTGTGTTCAAACTGTAGAGACATGCCTACAGATATTGAGAGACTCTGCTGTGGTCAGCCTCCAGACCGCTGCATTAGTAATCTACCACACATGGACTTCTATATCCTGGATGAGGGAGTTCTGCGTCTAGCTCGTGCTGCGTGGAATGACATCTTTGCAGTCGATGACATCCAGGAACCAGGTGAACAGCAGCGCTCATACAGACATGCAGCTTACAGCACGATCCCTTTCGCGTTTCCTCTTTTTAGCCTCCTCCGAAGGTTTAAAATTTTTCCTTGCCTCAGCCATGACCAGGAGTCGAGCAGGTGAAAAATGAGTAGCAAAAGCCTTAGCTCCATGAGTATATCAGCGCCTGTAGCCGTAAAGCAAGTCTTTCTTCCAAGTCACGTGACCTGGTGGCAGACGGTCCGTCTGCTCGAAAGTTACATGGGCGGTATTTCAAGAGGGCAGCCCCGCTCGGAGCATTGCAAGTGTCAAGCGCTGTATATTGGCCCAAGTATTCATATAAAATAACTCATATGTGTCAACTCTTTAGGTCACAAAGTCCGCGGTGTGCCTTTAAAAAAGATAAAATTTGCAAAGAAATGCATGCAATTATGAGTATAAGTGCATTTATTTCTGTATTTATTTATTTATATCTTTATTTATTTCTGTATTTATTCATACATTTATTTCTGCATTTATACATTTATTTCTCTATTTATTTATTTATTTCTGTATTTCTGTATTTATTTATCTATTTATTTATTTATTTTTGCATTTATTTATTTATTTATTTCTCTATTATTATTTTTTTCTCTATTTATTTATTTATTTCTGTATTTATTTATTTATTTCTCTATTTATTTCCGTAATTCTCTTAATGATATGCAAATCATGGGGTGGGCGGGATGCCTCTGCTTTAAGCTCATTGATGATGACATGGCTATAGCGAGAACACAGTGATCTCAACATGACCGCCTATGCTGGACAAGATATGGAGCAAGGAAAAAGATTAACCAATGAGCTTACAGCAGAGGCATCCCGGCCCACCCCATGATTTGCATATCATTAAGAGAAATACGGAAATAAATAGAGAAATAAATAAATAGAGAAATAAAAAAATAAATAGAAATAAATAAATAAATAGAAAAATAAATACAGAAATAGAGAAATAAATGTATAAATGCAGAAATAAATGTACTTATTCTCATAATTGCATGCATTTCTTTGCAAATTGTATCTTTTTTTAATTTATTTATTTATTTCTGTATATATTTATTGTTTTGGCAGCCACAATCCTCCATAGACAGACGTAAAAGTACAATCATTAAAATACTATAGCTTCTGTCTCACAAAACTAACTTCACCAAGGAACTCAAAGGAGAACGTTTTCTTTTTATGACATATTTATGACTCCAAATTAAGTGGTAGTTTTGATTCTGTGCATAAACTGTAGATTATCATAATGCGGTACCATTGTAATAGATCTATGGGTGCTACGCCCTTCTAAGTTTGGAGAGACTAGTGGGAGAAACTTCTGGAATACGACTGTCGCTTCTGCTGCTGATGCTGCTGATAGAACTCCGAACTCCAAACTCCATCATAAGTTCCTTTATTGCTTTGATTTGAGTTGTGCTCTGGGACACTAAACTTTGAGGAGGGAACACCTTTGGTTTTTGGGAGTAGTCTATTTTAAACTGGATGAAGCAGAATTTTGGACAGTACACTTTGTTTTGCATAGATTTTTTTCCCCAAGTTGTGACTTTAGTGCCAAGAAGATATGACTATTATCCAGTAGTGACTTATTGCACCACACTGATAGCAATGGGTTCATGTTCATGTGTTCTAGTGACATCACAACATTCCAAAGAACCTATAGTTTAACATTTACAGTATATATCAACTAATCTTATAATGATCTGATTATTTTCAAATGACGATGTCTAGAAGTCGTGACAATATTCCACAAACGTCTTCTTTGCTATAGACTTATACTGGCACCTACCCTCCAACATCAATGCAATCTATTATTAAAAAAATACAAAAACTAAATTATTTACTTTTTGAATGAATGAACCAAGAAATTAAGATAGTTGATCAAGAGCGTGTACTGTACCTAAAGTGAGGGATTTGTGTGTGGAGCAGAAGACGATGGCCACAGTGTCTGCAGGACTAAAGCTGGAGTTTGCTCTTTGAAAGAAAAACGTTAGAATTGTGTGTTAGTGTGTGTTAGTAGTTACATGATGTAAACAAGTGAGACACAGACCTGGTGGAAAGTGTGAAGGTCAGGAGCATGAAGCTGATCTGAATGGAGAAAACTGCAAAAACAGACAACAACAGACAACAGATATTTTACATGCTGTTACATGTTAGTTTAAGAATATTGAAGTAGTAGAAGTAGGCGAGGTAGTAGCAGCAGTAATAGTAGTAGCAGTAATAGAAGCAGCTGTAGCAGTCTTAGAAGAAGTAATAGTAGTAGCTGTGGAAGTAGCAAAAACAGCAACAGAAGTAGTCACAGCAGTAGTAGTAGCAGCAGCAGCAGTAGTAGTAGCAGCACCAGCAGCAGCAGTAGCATCTCTGTGCAGCACTTTGGAAACTTGTTTTATAAAATGTGTTATATATATATATATATGCAGTAGCAGTAGAAATAGCAAAAACAGTAGTAGCAGCAGCAGTTGCAGTTATGGTCTCAGAAGAAGTAGTAATAGTAGCAGTAGCAGTAACAGCAGCAGCAGTAGTTCTTACTGATGAGTGATATGAGCAGCAGGCTGGTGGGCTCCAGCTCGATACTGGGGTTGCTAAAGGTGTCGCAGAAAGTTGTGTAGATGATCATGAGGAGCACGCAGGAGCTGACCGCTCCAAACGGAGGTTTTCTGCGGTCCAGGAACTCTCGCAGGAACCCACGGCACACCTGCCACAAGAGAGGACCCGCTGTCACAAGTACAAGTGATGCACAGAACAACCAACGCAGTCAAGAAGATACAAACATCTGTGGTAAGAAAATGCACAAAATCAATGACATACTGTGGGAACTTGTTTTGTGTTTAACTTGTATGAGAAACCACAACAACCCAAGTAATTTACAAAAAGAAGACAGTAGATTTTTTTCAGGCTGGATGTGAGCTTGTAGTGAGTGGACAAAAGCTGAAATCAAAAGTATAGCATCATGGGTTTAACTGTGGCTCAATGATCCCATAAAAAGAATCTTTTATCATTCATTGACAAGTAGAATCAGAAAGTTTACTGGACGGGAAAGAGGAATGACCGTTAATTTGCTTAAACACAAAAAATAAAATAGTGTTTACTTTATCTATTGTGTTTACTTTATCTACTTATTATTGTGCACTTTATGTACAGAACTGGTATTGAAGCATTTTCAGCATCTTGTGTGTGCTCCCTGTGTGTCCTGTATGTGCGCTGCAACATCAACATTTTCCCACTGTGGGACGAATAAAGGAACTCCTATCTTATCAAACAACATGACATTATAAAAAGAGATGGCAGGTACCTGTCCGAGGATCAGGGGCACCACCACGGTCATGAAGAGCTGAGAGAAAATGGAGGAGAACGGAACAGAGGACGACGAGCCCAACTGGAGGAAACATACACACATAACTATAACAGAGGTTCATATCACATATAATCAAATAATGTCGTGAATCTACAGTATATAGGATTACATTAAGAGTAGTTTTACAAATACAGTCATGAACTTACAAACATCAGCAGCAGCACCGGTGTTACAACGATCCCCTACAAATAGGAACATCTTTATGGTTTCAAACAGACTTTTATGAAAGATTTATTAAGATTTGTGCTATTGTGTGTTATTGTGTTATTCTCTGGCATTCAAGTGGCCATTAATCCAACAAAGCTCGTTTTTCACCTCTGCAGTTTATTACTTCCTCCACTTGTTTAAATTTGATTCTTAGTAATAAAAATAACAATAATAATCTCTGAGGATGGATGATTTGGCAGAAAAAGCGTGAATGAAAATAAAAGCAGCTTGTCTCTGTGGTGATCTGACGGCACTTTCTAGTTTCACATCAATACCATCCTATCAAAATATTTGCACACTACATTTATTTTACAAGCACACGTACTCATACTGTTTGTGTTCTCACCAGGAAGCTCCCAAAGGCCGAGTTGAAAATGGCAGCTGCCTGTGACACACATGAAAAAAAAAAAAAGAGTCTTAGTAGGTTTTCATGAAATATTGAAATGTTCCGAGGTTGACGTGTGTTACCTCGTTCCCTCCCACGGCTTTGGTCAGGATCACAGCGGAGGAGACGGGAGGCGGCATACAGCTCACCGTCTGCAACCTGGACGAGGGACACGGACATGGAAACACTGCTATAGTCTTACAAGCCTGTATCTATTTGTAAAGGGTCATCTGTGTTCTTAAATATGGATCTAGAGTGTGAATACAAATATGAGAACACTCCCTCTCGTGGTCAGAGAGAGGGTGACCGGTGATTTTATAGAATGGTAAACAACAAAGGATAGTATCTAGCTTTTATGTCTGTTGTCTTGAGTTGTTAAGGATGTTATATACTAAACCAGCAGGACTATTGCCCATCAAATGCACTTTAAATTGAAAGGTATGGACAGAATAAATTAATATAAAATCCATAACCACACTAATAATATATACTATAATAATGTGATCTGGGAACCATTTATTCAGAGATTTTGATGTCCTGCTACACCTCGTAATACTGAACAAGAAACTTCAGCCTAAACCCTTTCAGTCTTTAGATTAAATTAGATTCTGGTAGATTTTGTACCGGAATATGGATATTTGTCTTATCTTTTGTTGTCGACCAATGACCGGAGACGTAATAATCAATTGAACTAAACTAAAATAGATCAAATGAATACCGAATCTGTAAAAGCGGGCAGCAATTCAAAATATAAAAAAATCATATGAATTAAAGCGTGTCTCTTGGTGTGGTTGTGGTAACTTGTTTATTATGGAATGGAATTAACTGATCATCTAGACTTCCGACCCTTTATGCACTTCTGTTGTTAGAATAAATGCACACATAGCTCAGACTTTTCACCAAACATTTCTCCCTTTTTGAATCCTCACTCGGTTTAACTGTTCAGGCCTCACTGTGAATGCAGCTCTTTATGTTCTCTCCATACCCCTGCACACATACTGCTCTGTGCTGCCATTAAGGACCAGCACTATGCAATGTTTTGACAGTAGTAGCAGCAGCAATAGTAGTAGTAGCAGTAGCAGTAGTAATAGTAGTATTGATAGTAGTAGTAGTAGCAGTAGCAGTGGTAATGATAATAGTAGTAGTAGTACTATTGATAGAAGTAGTAGTCATAGCAGTATGGTAGCAGTAGTAGCAATAGTAGTACTAGTAGCAGTAGTAATAATAGTAGCAGTAGTAGTAGTAGTAGCAATAATAACAGTAGTAGTAGTAGCAGTAGTAATAACAGTAGTAGTAGTAGCAAAAGAAATAGCAGTAGCAGTAATTGTACAAGCAGTTGCAGTTATTTGGGATAGTAGCAGCAAAGAACAGAAACATGGTAGTAGCAGTTATATTGTTGTAAATATTGGCAGCACTAGGGGAGTATTAGTTGTCGTGAAAACAGTAGTTATTAGTAGTAGTAGTAGTGGTAGTAGTAGTGGTAGTAGTACATTGTCACAGTACCCTCGCAGGAGCCATTGGTCGATGTTGGTGAGGGCCAGCACTCGCAGCAGCAGCCACACAGACACAGGGAAGAACACTAAGGTGAAGCCTTGAACAAATAAGTGCAGCCGGAAATGGAGCAGGGCACTGGTCAACTCCTAAACACACACACACACACACACACACATGCGCACAAAAACACACATGCCCACACGCACACACACATAATAAAAAATGTTTAGTCATGCATTAGTACATTTATATTGTGTGGCACGCAATTACAAAAACAAAATATGAGCTTTCAACATAAGCTTTAAAAACATAAAGGAATACATTTGTTTTGTCTCCTCCAAAATGACTATGGCAGGACTCCCGTACGAGCTCAGAAAACCGTATCTGTCTACATAATCTTCCAACTCTCCAAAATCAGAGCGTTCCATGGATTCTCTTTGCTCATTCATGAGAAAGGCACAGAAATATTCACTGCTGTGATCTGAGAAATACAACATGTTGTCCCTTAATAATAGGGATATAATAAATAATAGTAAAAACATGTATACATTTAAAACCATAGATATTTTTACATTCATTTTGGGCATAAATGTGTTTATTTTGCAGAGTAAAACCATGTGATCACAATCTGACACACACGTCACAGTTAAGTTGTGTGAATGTGAGTTGAGAGGTGTTAATTTCTATTTCTCCTAGTGGGATTTCTGACAGAAGTTCCCAAAATTAGCGCTGATTGATCAAAAAACATCTCCAGGTCGGTTTTTGACGAAACAATAACAACAAAAAAATGTTTATATATTTGTCCTTTAAATTTTGAATCCCTTTCTGACAGTAATTGGCAAACTCTACACAGAAAGACCCATCTCCAGAGGGGAACAGAACCAGATACCTTCTTGTTGTGAGTTATTATGCTATTCATGCCATTGTAAAAACTCTACAACTCTAACTTTCATAACATTTTCCTCACCTCTGTTTTGAGAGACAGCCCACTGTTAAAGAAAATGATTGAAACAGCGATGTAAGAAACTGTGATTTCTGGCTTCAGTGGACCTGAGGACAAAAAGACACATGTACATTTAACATATGTTTTGAGTTTCACACTTTCACATCCTTTCCATTTTTACAAAGTAAGATATTCCCAAATTTGAGCCACTGATTGTGAGTAACGATCAAATTAATTGAATACCATGAATCCAGTCTATAATAAGAAGCAGTCAAGCAACATAGAAGTGTTATATACTCCACTGGGAAGCTGTATAACCAGTAGCAGCCTGGCGTAATCTAATCGCTGAGATAGGACATACGTTTTACTGCAACACCTGTATTGACACGAAGAACTGGAATCACCACCAAACAAAACAGACAGACATCGCTGTGGGCGTAAAATATAAAAGTATCAAATAGAAAAATGACGTGTCCTTATCCACCACCACCAAATATTTGTTGGCTTTCCTTCAGACATGGCTCTTAAACGTGGACTCATGACAACTTTAGTAGACTATAGTACATTGTTTATAATTAACCAGTAAAAGAATAAATGGATTTTAGACAAGAACTGTATGTATAGCCATTGGATTATCGTTTTTATTTATTCAATTAAATTCACAGCTGCTTTCTTAAGAATTGTGTAAAAGAGTGAAGTGATGACAAGTTGTATAGCAAACATAGACTGTATATATCTATAGCAAATCACACATTTAAATCTGCACTAACTGACTTTATTTTTGTATTCATTACGAAAATGCTATCCATGTCCATGTAGTGCATTGGGATATACATAATTTTGAAGAAAAAGTAGCGCAGATTTGTGCTGGCGTGACATTATACTTTAGATCGAGTTTTGATGAAACAAGGAAGAGAATGTGTTTCGGGTCGCGGATTGTGACCAATAGCAGCGCACCACTGGCCCCCACTTTCGTGAGAAATCTACAGGTCCGTTAGCATAGACGGCTGAGTTAGCACAACAAGCCGCGGAGCTAACCTGAAGCTTCGTGTCTTCGTCACTGGATACTGCTTACACAGCGAGACAGCCATCCAAAAGAAAGTCCTGTTCCTCCGCTCTTCCCGGTTCTATCGTTCTATGGTCACGCCATCCACGTGCAAATCCATATCCATGTATTATCCATATTGGGAGACACTAACTCCGTCCCAACAGTGGGTGTGTGTGAGGGGCGATAGCTTCGTGGGTGCGGGGAGGGGAGCAGAAAGAGAGAGGCCAGCGGGTCTGCGGCTTCAAAATCCCAAAGTCAGTTAGTGCAGCTTTAAATAAAATACAAAAAGTACATTCTTGTTTTAATAGAACTATCCATCCACGCTTCCCACCTCCTTTTACGCCGAAGCCCGGGTGAACTTTGGCGGACAGGATTACGAGCAATATCCCGATGATGAACCATTCCTTCCTGATCCTGGTGAAGAGGCCCATGTTTCAGAGACCAAAGCGGGCCGTGACTCCTCTCCACGCCGGCCTCCAGTGTCCTTCGGGCGGCCTCCACACCTCCAGCTCCCGCCTGGGTGCTGTGAATGCGGCGGAGGAGGTGGACACTCTCTGATCTGAAACATAGGAAGCAAAACACAACACAAGAGCGGGTACTTCCGCACACGTGGGCAGCGGCGTCACCGTAATGACGACAATGAAAGACAGAAAGAAAGAAAAATGAATACACAAAAAAACAAATTTATTTGTGGGACTATGTAAATTTGATACACCAATATGTTTTATTATGTTTTAGCTTAAAACTCTCTTTAAGATAAATATAGAAATTTTATTTTATTGTTAAGTGTTGTGCTGTACTTAATATTGGCCCTATATCTTGTGTTGTGTGTCACAAAAAGGATCTCTAATCTTATAAAGCAATAACAATCCAGTGCAATACAGAAGTTTATTAAATGCTTATTGGCAAAGCACTTTAAAAAAAAACAAAGTTTACAAAGTGCTGAACAGTCACCACAGTCAGTTATTATAATATTCTAGTTTATAATTGGCATCCCAATATTTACTGTTTAACAAATACACGTACTTTAGCAGTGATTTAGTGTTTTGTTTATCCCCGTTAAACTCTCCACCATAATCTTCACTAAATAGCACAGTTCCAGTTTGTTTATTGTCACCATTTATTTCTGTTATGCAGCCACTGGTCAGTATGTGTTGTAAGTTCCTAAATTATAGACATTGTGTGGTTTGTTTCTTGTTATAAATGGGATGAAGTAACTTCTTTAGTTGAATTTGAAGCTGGTTGAACGCTCTCGTCCCACTCTCGGTTTTCCTTCCAGTACAACAGTTTCTGCAGTGATGAGCGAGAGTCTGTTTGTACGTCAGACCTGAACAGTCTGTTCAGAGCTTTGGCTCGTCCCAACAGCACCTAAACCAGACACAGATCTGTCACATCACCTCAAAAGGTCATCTATAAACGCAAATGTGAACAGCGATACATAACGCTATGAAACTGTGCATACACTATCATTTCATAGATATAAAATTCCACTTAAAAGTAGACATGTAAACACAACACCTGCGTCTTCTGGAGCAGAGAGAAGTCCCCCAGATTCACTGCTCCTTCATAGCTCCTCTGGAAATACTCACAGGCCTGAGCATACTCTCCCTGAAGGAACAATAAACGTAAAAAATCATAGTATAAAATATAACAAAATATTGATAGAGCAGATAGAAGCAGAGCAGAGCATCACCCTACAAATGTCCCTTTATGAATGTGTTCAAAACATAACCCACCAATTTTCAGTTGAATAGAAAGCAACATAAATAAGCAGCTTCTTTACATGTTTTGTCTAATTAAAATAACCTTCTAAGCATGAGTAGAAAGCAGATAATAAAATTAATTATTATTATTGTCTCCCGCATGGACAACAAAGAAGACTAGGGACAAGACAAGCTTTACACAAATACCGCATTCACCGTTGAAGGGCAAACGTAAACAAAAACTATAATGACAAAGAGGGTCATTATAGAACAGAATGTGACAGCAGGAAATCAAGCAGAACTTTGCATCTTACAAGTGCACTTTCCCCAAACTTAATCCCCAACAGTAGTTATCTCGGAGGACTTTACAAAACCGTTGATTCTCCAGAACAGAATCAGAGGCAAGTACAAACTGATTGTAGGAGCTATTTGCTTGATTGATTTAATTAATTTGGGGTTTTGTATATTTTTCTATATTTAGTTATTTTTTGCTGAGGTTAGTATTTTTGTTTTTTGGTAATTTAGATATTTTTGTAGATTATTTTGGGTTTACTTCAGTTTGGTTTAGTTTTTAGTTTAGTGGCACCTAGGGGATATAAGGGGGCAGTACAGGGCGGGCCTTCATGCACCTGGGTGGGCCTATGGTTTTTTACCAGTTCTGGGAGATGCAGTATTTTTGTATTGTTTGCCTGCAACTTGATGAATAAACCCTTTTTGAACTTTACATTTTTGGAATGGACAATTGTTTATTTTTTGTACTGCGTAAACCCATGGTGCATTCTAGTGATTATTTGAGTTTGTTCTTAAGTTTGGTTACATTTGGTTTGATAGTCTTATTTTTTGACAAATAGTCACTACACTGATGAGTGTAAAGTATGTAAAATGAACTCAATTATAGACACCAACATATTTCACACATGTATATTACTGGATTATGCTTTTATTGACATGAAACTGGCAGCGGACAATAAGCATGTTATTGCCGATTAGAAACATCATAACATTCACTACATTGAATCATCTCAAAACACATGAATGTAGACTTTTGCATATCCCAGTCATGTCAAACCATTTTTAGTGGCCCCTGAAATAATCTTTAATTATCATTATTAAATTATGACACTACCTTGCAACATTGATCGTAATGGAATATTACTTAATTATTACTTAATTTAAAAAAAAATTGGGCAAACAACCATATAATTGAGTCTGTTCTAAAATGATAAAATGTGTAAAAATTTTCTTTTTTAATATTTGGCCCAGTTGTGATTGAATTCAAATCTACAAGTAAATTATATAAACTCATGTCAAATAAAATGTATTTGTCAATATAAAAAAATATGTAAAAAAGATAGAGTAAAAGATAAGAATAATAACGGTAAACCATTCATACGTTTGGCCCCAACCAGCTCTTATGGTTTTAAACTTGACCCCAGACCCAAATGAGTTTGACGACCTTGGCATATCCCATTAGGATTTATTTGTGTCTCTTGCGTGAATAGTGTGAGGCCGGTACCATGTCAGAGTGGATGTTCCCTAAACTGAGGCAGGCGTCGACCAGGTCACAGAGCAGACTGTTCACGGAGCCATCTGTGAGTTTCTTCAGACACCACACCATCTCCTCTGTGTTTTTCTCTCTGTAAAATAATGTGGAGCTGAAATGTTTGTCCGAGATCCAGCTTCCCACCAAGCCTCGGATAAACTCATTGTGTCGAGTACCTTTCTAAAGATTTGGCGATTGCTCTGTAGGCCTTTCCTAGTCCAGATGCATTATCCAGCTCCTGGCAGATTTCCATGTACTTGTTAAAGTGCTGAAAGAAAGTATACAGAAGAAAAGTATTCAGTGAAGTGAAAATATTTAAAAAGACGCCAGTAGACATCACCTTTTTAGCTATGGTGTGGTCTCCGGAAAGCTGGTAGGACACACCCAGGTTGTAAGTGGCTTCTCCTTCAATGGATTTGCTTCCAGCTAAAGTGAGAAAAGAAACATACAGCATACATTACCTTTTTACATTTTAAAACAAATGTACAGTATAGATGCTTTACACAGCTTTTAAGTGAAAGGTCCAACTGATACTGATAGTGTGCATTTTTGTAAATGGCCAAAGAGAAAAGGAATCAAAATAATTTTCAAAAGTATTTTCTTGATGTTGTTTTACGAAATAGTCAACTGAAAATGTACTTGTCACACAGGGGATGAGACATAATGAATGAATCTATTATTTGGTCCCAAAGTCACAATTTAATTTAACCATGTGACATCTTATATTAGAAAAAATGTGTCTTTTTAAAAATACCTTCAAGCAAAATAGAGAGACATGTTTTAATTTGTGCACTTCTAAACCTGTATTTTTCAGGCAAAATGCAGCGATAAAAGGCAAAAATCCCTCCTGTCATTGTGATCATGTACAATAATTTTAATAAGTAAATGATAATGAATGATATGTTAGAAAATCCTATGTACTGAAATGTTGATGTACATTGAACTCCCAATAAATAAACACTCGAGTCACTCATTGCTGAAACATATTCTGTATAAAAACTGGAACAGATAAGTTGTTTTGAGTACATCTGCAGGGGCATGGGAGACAGGTTCAAAAAAGCCACAGTATAGAGCTCCTAAAACTAGACCAAACCATTGTGTGCTGTATGTCTGAAAGCACGCACAGTCTTTGGCGATGTTCAGAGCCTGGTGCAGGAGCGCGATGGCCTTGGCGTAGTTCTTGGACTGCAGTGGAGCGTCTGTCTGTCGCGTGATGGTTCTCCACAGCGCATGTTGAGCTCTGGTCTTTAAGGGGAACCCAGAGGAGTCCTGCCAGGCCCCATCCTCTGCCTGACGAAGACACCGCTCCGCCTGCTGCAGCGCCACACTCAGGTCACCTACAAGACCAGCCACATGAGATCAGGGAGAAGATGAAGGTAGCATTATCTTGAATAGATTGATAGAGAGATACTTTATTGATCCCCGTATTGTTGAGTTTTTGCCTTTCAAGTTCAACTGGTCAAAACTTAATAATTCAAAAACATAACAAGGCAAAAATTATAAAGCAAAGGAAAAGACTAAATACAAAATAATGATAATAATAATAATAATAAATTATGGGGTCCAGCAGCAGTGTTTTGCCTAAGGACACAACAGTTTGTACCTGAGAGCAGCTGCCGTCGTACCATGACGCTAGGACTGTACTCTCAGCCAGCCCAACTTGCTTTGTTTTTGCTAGAATGCATGGCCTCAAACTATGCTGTTTAGTTTATGAAACGAGAGCAATTGAATAAGAATAACACTTCACCCACATTATAAAAAATATTCTTTGTTATTTGTGTCATTTCTGGTTGTAGGTTGTACTTATGTTCAATAATTCTACTTTCAAGAATTCTAGTTTACAGGGTGCTTGCTCTTTTTCCAAATTAAAATTCCAGACGTTGTCCAAACTTTTTTTAAACAGATTTTTTTTCCCCAAGACCTTAAAATCGAAAAAAACATAAATTTGAAAACACACACCGACCCATTTCCGTTAAGACCTCAGCAGTGCCATCACAAAAATGTGCCAGACTAGGCTAAGCAAGCGTTGATTGGACATCATTCCATTAGGCTAATACAGTACATGACCAGTTAGTAAAATTATAGTTTTACAGCCTACCTTCCAATTTCTCATTTCACAAAGCCTTTGAGCATACTGTGAAATTCTACCATACATTTTTTCCCCATACTTTATTAAGACTTTCACACAAAATTCAAGACTATTCAAGGTCTGGAAAACAGTGTTTCATAATTCCATACTTATTAAGACTTTCAAGACTTAAGCAAGCACCCTGAGTTTATGATATTTAATTATTTATTTGATATGGACACAACAGTTACATTGGACAGACCAGATGCACTGCCTTTAGTGTTATAGCAAGACCATGCTAATTTTCAATAGAAGGATTTTAGGACACAAATGCACACATTTAAAATTTGCAAATATTAAAGTAATTAAATATGCAGTTCATTAACTATGTGAACAACGTTGCTCCGATTTCAGCCACAGTTTCAGACGTCTGACGAAGATGTTTAAGTCTGTTTGTATTTTTCGGTCATTGGGTAGAGCGTTCCACAGTTTGGCGAGCAGGTGCCCCCAACAACAGATTAGATTCACAAACCTGCTATACAGTATTACTTTTATGACCGAAAGTTCTTCCTACTGGCCAACATCATGCATGATTTTGTTAATATTGACATCACTTCTAGACACCTTTATGAGAAAATACATAGACTATAGTTAATGTATTGACAAAGAAGATGTCAAACTTTGGGACAGGATTTTTCATGAGGACTGGCCCTGGCATAAAAGAAACATTAGCTAGACCAAAACTACACATTTCCCATAAATTCCAGAAGTGATTTTTCAACTGCCCTTTAATGATATCACATAAAGGCAACATATTCAGTAGATCAGTATAGTACAATAGTTAAGTAGATCCTCTGGTTTATTTGACTTGTGGATCATTAACACTGTTTAAATGTGCAGTACAGCCTGACCTTGTTTAAGATAGATCTCGGCGAGTTGTGCGCGGGCTTCGGTGGCGGCTCGAGAGCTGCAGCCGTGCTCTCGGTCGCAGCAGATGTGGAGGAAGTGCAGCCGGAGCCACAGGTCAGAATCACTGGAGAAATACAGCCCTAGAGACAGGTACTGCTCACACACCGTGGACCAGCGCCCTGCAGGACATCAGGGCCACATGTGCTCAGTTTAAAATCTAAAGCTAGAACAACAGTCATAGTCATCAAAACTTGGGCAAAAATATTGAATTGTTGAGTAGTTGTTTAAAAGATTGAACTCCAGCCATGTAAGCAGTTGGTGCATGTATAAAAGCCCTGTTTGCACCAGCCCAACTCTACTCTTCTTTACTCTACTCTACCGGTTGCGTTTCAGTTACGCTTTAGTGTCTGGTACTGTATCCCAGCAACCTACCCGCAAACCAATATCCGTGGAAATTCCTAACCATGGCTTCCAACAGCACAGGCCAATCTGTCAATTGGAAAACTTTAGGACCAGCTCTTCTTGGTCCCGGAAACACAATATTCATATACTTCTTTGTACCTGAGACCTCGGCTTGCTCGGCCTGTGTCAGATGCTCCTTCATTTTGTGCATTTTTTCGGGTTGATCCTGGAGCGGTGCTGGCTGAGTGTGGCCTCGATTGTGTTCTTGTCCGTCCTTTCGCTCCTCGTCCAAACTCAAAACATGGAAAAACTTGGAGAATGATCTGAGAAAGAGACATAAAGGAGATTGGTGCTGAGAGAAATATATCTCCATCTACCATTTCCTCTCGTGCGTCCGGTCTGAACCAGAAACCTGAGAGAAGGAGTGGAGTATGCTGTGCTCTTGCTTGGTTGGAATGAAAACCTGCAGTCACACAGACCTTTGAGGACCTCAGATCTACATATTTGGATAGCATCATTGTATCATTAAAGTCACCTGGGTTTTCCATTTTGTAGCATCTCCACACAAATGTTCTGCTTCATACTCTTTGTAACTCTATGAAAAGAAGTAGAACCCTTATTTATAATAAACAATATCAATAGGAAGTAAATGTAATTGCTGTGTACCTTAGAATATCTTGTCTTGAAAGAGGCTTTGCACTCACAAGTTGTTGTCTTAACCTGTTTTAAAAGCCGAGAGGAACAAGGTTGAATTCCACAGTAAAATCACAGAAGCAGATCAGTGTTGTTTACCTGTCATGATTCTTATGTTTTCCTTTATTGATTTGAGGAAGAAATGATTCATTGTGGAATGTTGTTGTTTCTGTCATCTTCTTTAACTTGAAATAGACAACAACAATTACAAATACTACATATTATTCATCATTTATAATTAGTTAGTCATATTCACCAATCAGGTTAAAAACAGTTCTGTGAATACAACTGAGGGATTGCAGCTTCGCGATTATTTTAGATTTTAATGTCTTTTTTAATTTTTCTATCTTGTTTTATTACGCACATTGAGTTTCCTTGAACTGTGCTATACAACACTTGCCTTGCATTTACAGTAATGGCTAACTAATATTATACATTATCACGTCTTAGGATAAGGACAGAATAAATAGCAGACACAGAAACTGTACTGACAATTGCAATAAAGGTTACACGAAACGTTGAGTTAGAAAACAGGACAAACATTTGAATCACGAGTTGGTTTGTGTTGGTTCAGTTCAGTTTAGTTCAGTTCAGTTCAGTTCACAGGTGCAGACAGTCATCAAATCAAATCCCATCATGTTAAAAGTTATAACGCTACATCTGTACTAAAATCTGTTTGTTTTTTTATATTGTGAAGATGCAAACTTTTACAGAACGATGCAAAACAATAACATGATGAATGCTAATGCTAATGTTAGCTGTTAACTCACAACAAATCTTTACGAGCTCGTGGATCTGTGCAACGCTACACTCACATTGGCCTCATTTATGGTAAAATACTCACAGAAACCATACGGAATCAGTACGTGCATAAAGCGGTATATCTTCTGCGTCTAAATACACGTACAAGGACACGTTTGATGTATTATTAGTTAGTTTTTCATAGTTTGTTAGTTCCTCTACAGCCGAAGTACGCCGTCGTCATGGTAACGAGGAAGCACGCATTCTGCACGAGCTCGCGGATTCGAGTCTCGTTGTGGACAAGTGTTTAACCCTGTTTCTACTTTTTTATTATTATTTGTTTTAAATGTAGTGTAAATGTGTTGAAGCCTATGTCCCAACCTGTATTAATGTTTAAATACTTGTTAAATTGTGTTCTGCAGGTTTGAAATACATCCAACTAACAAATAAATCGAACAAACTAGATGTTTTTTTGTTACAAATATTCTTTCCTTGGTCCCAACCCTACATACTGAGAATAATGAATCATAATGAATCCTCATGAATAATGTAGATTCATTAGAATGCAGCTTATAATTCGGCATTGCATACTGGTAACTTAAGTAGTTCTTTGTTTATCCAGTGGATGGATGCCAACAAGCTCTCTCTGAATTTAAGCAAAACGAAAGTTATGATGTTTGGCAACTACAAAATCAAATCAGATTTATTTATAAACATAGATGGTGTCAAAATTGATAGGGTGTCTGAAAACAAATTTCTAGGTATAATAATGGACGACAAATTGAACTGGAAACCCCACATCAGACACGTACAGACCAAGATCTCAAAATGCATTGCAATAATAAATAAAACCAAATATATCCTTGATAGGGCTGGGACAACGCGTCGACGTAATCGGTGACGTCGACGCAAAAAATACACCGACGTATAATATGCGCGTCGGTGCGTCACACACAAAACAAAGATGGCGGCGAGCGGTAGCAATGCGAGTGCCGAGAAGTGCAAGCCGGCACGCGCTCGTTCATCCAAAGTTTGGGAAATCTTCAGTTTGAAAGGGAACAACGCAGTAGTTTGTCGTTTATGCAAAATGGAGATGGCTTTTCACTCCAGCACTACGGCAATGCACCAGCATTTGAAGAGACGCCACCCGGGAGCTGCTGCAGCAGATGAGACGAGAGCACCGTAAGTTTTTTTTCAACTCCCCACTTTACAACGTATTATAGCCTACTCCGACATCGAGTGCAGAGTTACCTAACGTACAGTGTATGTTTTCTATGTAATTAATTCATGTATTCACAATGTGAAATGACACGTTTAAGCAACCTAAGTCAACAAACGGTTGTAACGTTATGTCTTCATTGCTGTCGATGGGTCAGTATTAAGCAGTTACATGCCAGGACTATTACGGTTTCAAACGGAATATTGGCGCCCGTAATAGCCCCTACATGTATTATTCACTGTCATGCCCGCCGTATATGGACATTTTTCAACATGTGTTCAATATCCTTAATGTGTTTAACTGTTGATTGATTCTCTGATCTGTGTTGGTGACTTCAATGTTGTTTTAAGTCCTCTGAGATGACTTCTGTTGTTATTTAGGACTACACAAGAATAAATTATATTGTATTGCACAAGTGACGTTTATGTTACACACACATTAGATTTGATTTGCCTACTTGGTGATATTCAATCAATGGGAATAGGCTGAGGTTGATACATAATAAAATCATATTGTATTTCTTTGTTAGTGTATTATTATAATTATATAACGTGTATGTGTGTTTTGTTTTCAGGGATAAGAAGAATAGTGTGGGAAATTACTTTCGCAAGCAAAATGCAACCCCCTGCACTCCCCAGGAGGCTGCCATACTTACTGAGAGCGTCGTATCAATGATTGTTAAAGACATGAGGCCGATTGCTGTGGTTGAGGGCGAGGGATTCAAAGAAATGTTGGCCACCTTTCAATCAGGTTACACTCTGCCCTGTAGGCGCCATTTCACCACTATTATCGAGAACAAGTACAAAACTTCAGTGGAGAAACTTAAACTCAAACTTCAAATGGCCACGTCCAAAATCTCCCTAAGCACTGATGCCTGGACAAGTATGGTCACAGAAGCCTACTTAGGGGTCACTTGTCATTTTATTGATGACAATTGGGATCTCGTCTCATTCAATTTGACAACCCTGCCTGTTGAAGAACGCCACACAGCGGAAAACATTGCCTCCTGGCTAGAGACTGTGGCAGAAAAATTTGACATTTCGTTTGATAATGTTCTTGCTGTTGTCCATGACAATGCACGCAACATTGTGGCAGCTCTCCGAATTTTGAAAGAGAGATTTGGGGTCGTATCCCATCGGTGTGCTGGGCATACACTACAACTGGTAGTCAACCATGCAATGGACCACCCTGAGATTAGCAAGGCACTCTCAGCCACACGGTGCCTTGTAAAACACATCAAGAAAAGTGAGCCGGCTACCACTAAACTGAAGCTAAAACAAAGTCAGATGGGCACAGTTGAACATAAACTGATACAGGATGTAGCTGTTCGTTGGAATAGCACATACTATATGATTGAACGTCTTTTAGAGCAGCGATGGCCAGTGGTTGCGACGCTATCAGATCCAGAAATCACACAGCGTGGAAAGCACTATCTTGATCTGAAAAGCGATCAATGGATTCTTCTGGAGGAATTGGAAGAGATGCTCAAGCCCTATGAGCAAGCCACAGTTTTCCTTAGTGGTCAATCTTATGTCACAGCCTCTGTTCTCCCCCCCCTGCTGAAGGGTCTCCTGAAATCCACCCGAAATAAATCATTTGATTCTCCTGCCATGATCTTTTTCCAGACCAAAGCAGAAGAGGGGATGATGTCAAGGTGGCACGAGGACGTATTTGTATTTCAAGAGGATGGGACAAATGTGTCTCTCATTGCTGCTGCTCTTGATCCCCGTTTTCGGAAATTGAAGTTCCTTTCAGCGGATGATGGACTCAAACTACAAGTACAAATCCAGACTGTTGCTCTTGAAATCGAAAGGAAGAAGAGATTGTTACAGCCAGCTGTGGGGCAGGAAGCCTCAGCAAACTCCCCACCAAAGAAGAAGTGTTCTTTGTTGGACACTTTGTTGGGCACAGATTCAGAGGGGGAAAACTGCAATGAAGAAAACAGGGACCAGGAGAATGGTGACAGGGCCGGGGACAGTGAGACAGTCAGGAAAGAGGTGCTTATGTACTTTGGGGAAAACCCTATCCCAAGGGATAGCAACCCCCTTTTATGGTGGAAGAGTAACGCCATAAGGTTTCCTGCCCTAGCTGCAGTAGCCAAATCCTATTTGTCCATACCAGCCACATCCACGCCATCTGAAAGGCTTTTCTCAGTTGCTGGGAACATTGTTTCTAAAAAAAGGGCAAGCCTGACTCCAGAGCATGTCGAAATGCTCACATTCCTCCATTTCAATTTTTGACTGTATTTTTTCCCTCAATGACAGACACACACTATTCTAAAGGGGAAAGGAAAGTGACCAGGTCTAAGTTGTAGTTAATTTTTTGAAGGATGATGTTCCACATAAATGTTGAATTCTAAATGTTTACTTTTGTTATTTTTGTTTTGTTGGAAAAGCACTTTCTATATTGGCTAAAAGCCCCCAAGTTTACAATAGTTACTGTATTCTTGCTGTAAAGCATCAAATGTTTTGTTTCAAGAATGATAAGATGCACTTTTTTCAGTAAGCTGTGTTTAAGGCTTTAAGGTTTTATGCTACCTCTAAGAATGTTTTATTTTTTAATTTTAAGAGCAAACAATAAATATTTTTTGTGAAGGAATTCATGTTTTTTTCATTAAAATATTTAAATCAACATGTATACATCAATATTAGTAAATTAATGGGGAGATAATCGAGAATCGAATCGAATCGAAATCGAATCGAAGCGAAAAAAATAATCGTTAGATTAATCGATGCATCGAAAAAATAATCGCTAGATTAATCGTTTAAAAAATAATCGTTTATCCCAGCCCTAATCCTTGACTATCATGCTTTGAATTTATTGTATTGTTCGCTTGTGCTGCCCTACTTAAACTTTGGTATTGAGGTGTGGGGAAACAACTATAAAAGTCTACTACATCCCCTCAAAATATTACAAAAACGTGCAATAAGAACAATCAACAAAGTGGGCTATCTCGATCACACTAATGGTTTATTTTTAAAATCAAAACTCTTAAAATTAGAAGACCTGGTTAATCTTAACACTGCACAACTGCTGTTTAGAGCTAATTCAAAAACTCTACCAGCCAATATTCAAAAGACATTTATTAAAAAAGAATATGAGCGTAACTTGAGAAGATGTAGTAACTTTAAACTCCCAGCCGTCAGGACCACAAGGAGGAGTTGGTGTGTATCTGTCTGTGGGGTGAAGCTCTGGAACAGCCTGAGCCAGGAGCTGAAGCAGTGCTCAAGTATCCAGCAATTCAAATCACATCTTAAAAAGATGATATGGACAAAATATGAGAGAGAAAAATACTAACAAATCACTACAGGGTCAATAGTAACTGTTTTGGGTATTACCAGTATGGGTATAAGAGCATTCATGATCACCATTAAAATAAAATACATAAAATAACAGGGTTACATATGTAGTTATGTATATGAAAACAGGTATATGTATGTTGTTGTATGTGTGTCTGTATAGAGAACATTTAATATTTAATTTGTAGTTATGTATGTGATAATATGTGTATGTCTGCTTGTATGTTTATATTTCTGTATAGAGAACACTTAATATTTTATATATTGGTGTACTAAATGTAGAAATACGTGTGCAGCAGTGATTGGTGTTGCTTTGGTGGGCATTGGCGCAGTCTCTGGCTGGTTCTGTGTCTCGGGAGGTGGTTTCTGTGGTGGTGGCTGGTGGTGTGGAGGGGCAGTGGACCCATGTCATAGTGGCGTTCTGTGGACACGCAATCAGGAATGACCTCACTGTCTAGAATCCATTTGGACATACAAAAGAGTATGAATTGAAAATAAAATATGAAAAAAAAAATATATATATATGTGTAAAAGAACAAAAATTAAAGAAAGTATCTTCTGCCTGAAGGTGGAGCTAGGACAGTCACGGTGGTGATAATCGGCTCTATCCAAGGTAAAGGAACTGTAGAATTAATCAAATGCCTTTTCATTTGAAAGAATAAAACAATGGTATGAATGATCAGTGAGGTGGTTGCTCATGGTGTAGTTGGAGCCTGCTGAGCGTTGGACTATTGTTCCTCTGCATGATTGGTCTACTGCTGTGCGTTGGACTATTGTTCCTCTGCATGATTGGTCTACTGCTGTGGCGGCTGCTTCTTGTGACTGGAGTTGGCCTGAGTTGGGGCGCTGGGCCTTGCTGGGGCACAGTGATCACTGTTACAGATGTAACTTTATAAAAGTATTAAATCGCACTGAACACGAGAAATTATTATTAAGGTATTATTTATTCAATGCTAAATAACAACATTCTTGCATGTTTTTGAATTACGTTTATGGGGTGGGAGTCGACAAGTTTTTACTTCCTTCCCACTCCATTTCGAGCTGACAAATTGTAAATAGAGGTTCATTTGTGTATTGATATTGCGATGTATAACACATGGTGTAACTAGGGAAACTATTGTTGCTTGATTGTATAGTTTGTTTATATATTTCTATGTATAAGTATAAACTGTAAGCACAGCAGGCAACATGTATGTATAAAGAATCATCTAAGGAATGTAAATATTGTAAATACTTATGATTGTAAAATTTCTGCTCGAATGAATAAAAAATCAGAATCAGAATCAATTACTGTACATTTACAACAAAAATAGGGTAAATGCAATATTTTCCATTCAGGACAAACTGACCAAAAGAAACAATAAATGAAACCTGACTTGTACATGACCTGGGGGAGGACCCTCAAGCTGTTTCAAGTAATCCACCAAAGTATGACAAAAAAGAGTGTTGGATTTTTGACACAAACACAATATTCTAACCATATTAGTCTATATATCAGTGTCACAGATGCCACTGGTGAATGGAAACTCCATCAGAGATTGAGTGGTTAGTGTGTGGTTTCTTCAAAGTACTGAAGTTTAAGGTTCTAGTGGAAATTGGAAGCAGCTGAGAGCCAGTTTCCTGTTGCTTGTGGCTTTGTAAACTCTTCCAGGATTATTGTCAGTTCATGTTTTTTCTTTAATTTGTCCAATAACAATTGCAGCTTTTGAGAAGTAAATCCGTTTAAAACAGCAATGTGCTGACTCTGAAATCAAGTGTGTATCATTAAAAGAGGTGTACATTTTTCATTTGTTGCTTTGGGACTATAGGCCTTTAGGAATAGCACTTACACACTGTAGCACATATAAATAGCTCATTACACCTAATATTCAGACTTCTAATGACATTTCTAAATGTTTTAACTAAATTAAAACTTATTCATGTGTTTTTTAAACAGTGGGACAAAGTTTATTATTTCTTTTCATATTTCTTTTCACCAGTTTGTGGCTGACTTTAGGATTGCTGGCCTCGAGAGGGCAGCTGTGTGTGTCCACTCTTATCAGATCATGTCCAGTCACGTTCACCTCCCACATGTTTATGTGATTGACATCCAGACCTCTGCAGAAGCACTCACTATGAATGTGATAAACCTCCTGTCTAAACCAGTTGGTAGATCATTTGTTTTATAGATAAATGTAGCATTTTGTGATATTTTTAATAATATATTGTCACAGTAAACGTTTACTAGTGTTTACGTTTTTGGCCATGTTTTTTAGACAAAAAAACGTGAAAAGCTAGCCCTAAGCCCAAAGCGTCAAATAGTGATTCACTGGACTTGTTCTGTTGGTACAGGAGGATTAGTGAGGGGCTGGGGCTCTGTGAATTGGGTGGCAGCTCTGATTGCCACCCCCCTGACCCAGAACTGGACAAAAGGGAAGACAATGGATGGGTGGATGGAGTTAGATACCCACCTGTAATTAATTGTATTAGAAATGGAGATTAATCTATGTTCTCACCTTGATGCTAGTGAGGCTTAGGGCCACACAACATACCAGAGAGAGCCCCGTTTTGCCCACGGGCCTTTTTTATTGCCTGTTTTATTGTAATTCAAAGAGTCATTGCTTTTGTTCAATGAAACTAACATGCAGACAGAGTTAACAAGAGACTTCAAATGCTCCAGTGAAATGCCTGACGCTTGACACGGACGTTTATAAACTGCAAATGGAAAATGATGAAAGGACAGTGGTAAAGTTTATTTTTTTTAAAAAATTGTTTACGAGACAAATCTAAATGAGATCTGTGGTTGGAGCAGTGGGAGGAGGCCAAGTTCATATCAGCAGTCGACCAATCAACAGAGAGGAAAGGCACAGAAAGGAGAGCAGAGATGTGGAGCAGACTGGGATGTTGTGAGGCTGTGGCGATGGTTTGGACGTTTCAAGACTGCATCGAGGTGAGAACATAGAACTATCTCTTTTTCTAATACAATGCATTAAAGCTGGGGTACTGAACTTTGTTTTTAAAATTCATTTTGCTTATCCCAATGGAAAAAGTCCACTATTCCACACTTACATTTGGGATTAGAGCTCTTTGGCTTTTCACTTTTCTGTCTCTTTTGAAAGAGAGGGACAAGTTTGAAGTATTGTAGTACATGACTTTTTAAAGTTAGGTACCTCAGCTTTAATCGTTGATGTTTCATGTTCAGCATAATAATGAGTAAGCAACTTGTGTCAACTTAACACTGAATATTTTTGATGTAACTGGGGATTTGACAAACATGACCCTTTTCCCCACAGTTCTCATGGTCCATTTAGTCAAGTTTTATTAGTAAGTGAACAAAATAGTTAAGAATGCAAGCATCTTTTGATTTTATTACAAGATAAAAGCAACAACAACAAAACACATTTCGATAAGCCTGGATTGGAACAGGCCAACTTTTGTGTTTATGAGGAAATGGCCAATATGGGATTTTAGAGGTTATAGCCCTCATGGAATCACAATGAACACATTTGACATTGAAAAATATATTGAAAAGACTTTCAATGGGACAACCAGACCATTTTTATTGTACAAAACACAATTCATGCAAAATAAGTTATATGTTATAAGTATATAATTATTTGCAAATGTTTATTTTGTCTTTCAGAATTGATGACTATCTCATCTGCAGTTGGACAGCGCCTACATGCATACAAACATTTACATCTTCATTAAATCTACCTTTTTAAAATGGAAACTGGTCTGTATAGTTGCTCATTACTGTTGAAACTTGGCATTTTGATCTCTGTTTTTGGAATGATCTTTTTCAAACCAGTTTCATGCCATAACAACTCTATTCTGGATGCTGCGTTTTTTAATTTGCCTCAAGAAGATGGCATCAATGTCTTTAGTTCCATTTTTGAGCAAGAAACAATAGACAAATCTCCTTCTTCTTTGGATATCGGACACAGCAAATCAATAGAAGATAACAAGCTGAAATCCAAGTACAAAACAAACTTCTTTCCTGCAAATGCGTCCAACCGATTTCGCCCATTGTCACCTCCTCGCTGCACGCAGGAGACTTCTATAAAGGCAGCGTTTAAGTACATCAATACGGTGTTGTCCTGCCTGATTTTTGCAGTTGGAATAGTCGGAAACGCAACACTTTTGAGAATTATCTGTCTGAATAAAAGCATGAGGAATGGACCCAACGCCCTCATTGCAAGCCTGGCCCTGGGAGACTTGATCTACATCACCATAGACATACCCATCAACGTTTATAAGGTAACTGTGGCTCAATTTTATGAATTTATTTGGACTGAGATATTGCATACAAATTGCAAATCATATTTCTATATATTTTGGAAAGTCTCCTAGAAAGACAGTTTGAAAAAGTTATATTCAGTTTCCTCCTAAGTTTACTCAGCATTGAAGAACATGAGGCCATGAGTCGGAACATTCCATTTACAATGAGCAACATGGGAGGAAGCTGTTTCTCCTACATTTACACGAGTAATGGCATTGCGCTTTAGGTCCAAGGATCTGAGACTGCACACGGACTCAAAACTGCAAAGGATACATGATATAATTGATAATCATTGATAGTCCAAGCCATTACTGTATTCAATATACTGTACAATGTTCATTAGATGGAAAAATATAGACAAAACTAGAAAATTAAGTTACAATATCCACAAGTTTCTGTATGATGAGAAATTAGAGCCATTTTTGAATTATATTTTTACATTTTTAATTAGCCACATGCTTGTCTCCATGGACACGATAATGCTTTGCCTGGAATGTTCCTTAGTGCGACATTAAACATTTCTATCTTAATATTATGAAAAACAATATAAGTAACTATTTCTAAAATCAGTTGTGCATTTTTTCGGCTTCTGTCACAACTTTACACCAGATTTTTCCGACAGAAAATCGACAAAGACGGGGCCACCCTCTCTCATCACTTTCACTTTTACATGGCTCCTTCTATTGGCACAAACTAAATGTGTTATTATGGGGGGAAGTTACGTACCCCAGCTTTAATGCCATCTTCCTGGCAAAGCAGTAACATCTGCAGCTGGTGAATGTCTGCAGCAGTGTCTTGAGTGTCTCTCTGATAAACGCTCAGAAATACTCACTGCCACTGATACGTTCTCTCCTCAGGCCCAGATAACTCACTTCCCACGATGATAACATCCCAGGCCATAATGGGACTTAAACTAAAAACTAACTATCTGAATGTGCTGATCAAAACTCTGTGTATGTTGTGTTTGCAGCTCTTGTGGATGCGTTGGCCTTTTGCAGACTCCTCCTTGGGTTTATTCCTGTGTAAACTCTTCCCCTTCCTGCAGAAAGCATCAGTCGGGATCACGGTCATGAACCTGTGTGCTCTCAGTGTGGACAGGTCTGTACAATGTAAAAAAAACTTGGGAATTCTGCTTTGGAAAGACATGTCACTTAGGAAGCAAAAAGAAAAGAAAAACAGGCCAAAGGTTGAATGACAAATATGTTATGCATATTTTTTTGATATGTAGAAAGGATATTGCTATGCCAAATGTACCCTAACCCTTGCCAATGAGACCTGCTTGATGAAATGGAAAGCAAAATAGGTATTCCCTACATCTCCATTGAGACAATCAGGAAGTTAATTAAATATACAGTATATGTCAGAAGTGAAAGAGAAGGTTCTTTGGACCCGGGTTTAAAACGGAGACCACTGGATTAAAAGCGAATTACAAAGCATTTATTATAGAATACATTAAAGACGAGTAAATTAATAAAAGCAATAAAACCTAAGCTAAAAGCACGGGATGAAAGTTTAAACAGAGGCTTCTCCTGGCCACGGCCTGGGCCGCCAGACCACAGGGCTCTCCTCTCACCGTGTCTGGCGTTTGACCCGTGTCTCACTCTCCAACTTCCCCATCATCCGCCCCCTCCCCATCTCCTTTTGTACGCAAGGCACAAGTGTTCTAATTGTCATCACGTGGGGAGCCGGGGTGCTTCTGGTGGTGCAAGTAAAAAAAACATGTTAAAAACACACACACATACACAACATGCATAAAAACAAAAATAAAACCCACCACCCGTTTTGCACACACCGACATATACCTACATCTTTTTTGTTCCTTGCTGATGCTATGAGGTCTAAGGATAGACATTAACATTTCTGGACAGTGGTCATCTCGCTCTCGATGGACAAATGGCTCTTATTTTTGTGTCTCATGTTTATTTCATGGGCCATTGTGTTTGTTCCAACTTTTGCAAATGTTGTAAAATGTGGTGAAAAAATCCAACCACAACTTGCTGAGTTAATCTTATTAGATATTAATGTTATCTTACCTATGTTATGCACACTGAAAAAGAACCACACAAGTCACTATTTGACACTTTGGGCTGAGAGCTGAGAGTGAGGGCGGTCCTTTCTTTTTCACCTTTGCGTCTGAAAAAAATTATCGAAAGATGTAACAAAGGCTAAAAATACATGCATGTGAAAACTGATAAAAGAACCAATCTGTTTTGAAGGACAGAAAGGCTAAATTTTCTGTAAAAAACTTGGTGAATTTAACATTGCTTTTGGAAAGACAAAATATATCTGAAGCAAAAAATACATGGCCAAAAGTTGAATGATAAATATGTAATGTTAATTTTCCTTTCGGCCTTGTATGGAAAGGTTATGCTTTGTCAGAAATGTTGCACACTGTGTCATTTTCATTCCATCGAGACCTGCTTTTTGCTATGGAAAACAAGAGTGATTTGCAAGTTACGTATCCCAGCTTTAAAGAAATAACAAACACATTCAAACACATGTTGCCTATCCCTGCTCAGATACCGTGCGGTGGCGTCCTGGTCGCGCGTGCAGAGGACCGGCGTTCCTCTCCTCACTGCGGTGGAGATTGTGGTGATCTGGCTTCTGTCTGTGCTGCTGGCTGTTCCTGAGGCCGTGGGCTTCAACATGGTCAACTTCGAGTACAGAAACATCAGCATGAAAACCTGTATGCTGCAGCCCAGGGGCCCCTTCATGTTGGTGAGCGATGAGAAACACAAGCAAGGATTCTATTGCGCTCTTTTTAGAAGTAGAAACACACAAGCTGGTCTTCCATTGTCCATGTTCTCCTCCATAAATCAAAAAAAATATGGGTACATTTGTGAATCACCATTTATATTGTCATTTCTAGTATTTTGTGGCAATATCTGCATGTGAAAACCAGATCTCATCAGACCTCTGAAGCTGTGCAGGGTAGGGACTGGTTAGCACTGTGATGGGAGACCTCTGGGAACACCAGGTGCCACAGTGGAGCGGCCGCGGCTGTAAAGTGCCAAACTGTCATTGTGTCCATAGGCAAGACACTTCGCCCACATGGCCTAGAATGAGTATTTAGTGTTTGTGAATGGTGGTCAGAAGGGGTGATGGCACATACTGGTTGCCTCGCTTCTGTCAGTGTGCCCCAGGGCAGCTTTGAGTGCACTAAAAAGCGCTGTATAAAGCTGTATTATTAATCATTATTGTTATTATTTTGAATATATCCAACCGGTTTTATAGCTGGGACACCAAACTTTGAAACCACAAAACAATTAACTATGTAAAAAAATTGTTTGGTTCTATCACTGGTTTTTGCTTATGTTTTTGATCATCTTTAGATCAGATTTTTTTTAGACAGAAAATAGAGAGGACCACTTTCACTCACCAAATCAGTTCTCAGGTCAAAGTTGTCAATAAGGGAATCACAGGGCTCTTCCTTTTAAGTATACGAAGATAACACGTTTTCTAATATGATAGAGTCAACGACTGTTTGGTCAAAATATACTTTCTACGACCAATACAATAGATAGAAGTGTGACACAGCCGATTAATCGGGTATGGAGAGATAGTATTCACGTGGCATCATGACATCCCAAAAAAAGAGAGGGATTCCAGCTTTAACAATGACAGACCAGCTATCGGGCTAAGCATGTGATATTACAACATTGCAAAGAGCCTATACTTTTTAAAAATGCAATGGAGGGGAGCGGAAAAATCTGTCCTGGTGATTGATTGATTTCTTGTCTTAATTTTTTTTAGCAAATTCTGTATAATTCTTGAGCCAATACATCTTATAAAAACACCTGGTATGAAACAAATTCTAGAACATGAAGAAATCCTATTGTGGTTGTCTTGCAGTTCTACAGTGACGTGAAGGACTGGTGGCTGTTTGGTTTTTACTTCTGCGTGCCGCTGCTTTGCTCCGCGCTCTTCTACACCCTTATGACCTGTGAGATGCTGCGGCAGAAAGGAACGCTCAAGATCTCACTCAGCGAACATCTTAAACAGGTGAAAGATATTATTAACAACTCACTCACACACTCAGGTCGAAGGAATGTTATGTCTTTCTATTATACCAAATTCATTTTCATTTATTCATTTCAAGCTTATAAAAAGGAATCATTTGTTGTGATTAACAGTAGTAATAATACATGCTACAAACATATGCACATGATCATACATACATGTATATTATAGGGTTTCCTTTGTTCACTCTTGTCAAACCCCGAAATGGAATGGGAAAGAACAGAATTGACATAAAATAACATTAACATTAATAAATAAATAAATAGTGATCAATTATTCAATGATTCATTCTTTCAAGAGCAATCACAGCATCAGCCCCTCACAGCACCAGCCCCTCACAGCACCAGCACCTCACAGCACCAGCCCCTCACAGCACCAGCACCTCACAGCACCAGCCCCTCACAGCACCAGCCCCTCACTGTGCCCCCACTGCAGGAGGACCCAGCCTTTGGTTTAGTAATTATTCATAAAATAGGTTTGAAATACTTCTCGTGTTGACCTCTTTTTTATGCCCATCTGAAGTGCTATTGATTTACGTATTTGAGATCAACTGAGATTATCGATGCCATTATTGAAATTAAAATACAATCTTGAAATTTTGCAAATTGACCATGTATTTTTCAAAGTTACAACAGGATATTTGAATTACCCACATTACATTGTAATGGGCAGACTCAAGTAGTAAATCCATCTCCTCTCTTTTTGTTTGTGATTATACATTAAACTAGAATTAAATGAAATAGATCAGATCACATTAGTAGTGAGAAGATTTTTACTCCAAAAGTGAGATTAAGTACATTTCATTTTGGGTTTAATAAGTATTTTACAGACTGTAACGTCACATATTTTCCTTGTTCTCAGCGCAGAGAAGTGGCCAAGGCGGTCTTCAGTCTGGTGCTGATCTTTGCTCTGTGCTGGTTCCCTCTGCACCTCAGTCGTCTGCTGAAGAAAACCATTTACAAATCCCACGACGAACACCGCTGTCAACTGCTGAAGTAACATATGTTTAATTTACTACTTTTACTACTTTTTATGCATTTATCTGGTATGTCCAACAGATACATTTGACACAACAGTCTTCAGTGTTGTGTAACCCCATACTAATTTTCCACTCTAGCAATGATACAAATAATCACATTTACATTCAATATACGTACACTTTATTAAGCCAAGAGCGGCCAACACTCTGGCTCTATTAGAGACGATGGAGAAAATGTCCAGAACTTTGGAACCACACAGTTCCAACCAAACATTTCCAAAGGAATGAAGGAATGTTGATTGAGTAAAATAAAAAATGCAGTTTTTCTCTGCTCCTCTTTTGAACGGCGGCACTGATTTAAAGATGCAGGATTTTGTTCTTTTTCTATGGTTTTCAAACATATAATTAATAATAAGTGTTAATGTGTTTTGTATAGTAAATGGAATACTTACTATAGTATTAGATATTGTCATAGTTTGCCAACGTTTGTGGCACGGTGGCGCAGTGGTTAGCACTTGTGCTTCACAGCAAGAAGGTCCTGGGTTTTGTTTCCGCCTCCAGGCCTTTCTGTGTGAAGTTTGCATGTTCTCCCTGTGTCTTACATACTGACTTATATTACTGATAATGCTCATAGATTTCTGATAATTATTAATAGCTAGGGTTAGGGTTTGAAAAAACACACAATCCAAGACTTGTATGAGTTATATGAAAACACATATTTTGTGCGAACGTGCGTAAGAAAAGCATTAACAGCAACATTAAGTGTGTAGCTCGGATCACATTATTTTTACTTAAGCATAATAAAGTCTAGATAAGAATTATGATCTGACTTTCTTGATTTCTTAATGTGCCTCAAATATTTCTGTTTCAGTTTCTTGTTGGTGATGGATTACCTCAGCCTCAACATGGCAACAATCAACTCCTGCATCAACCCCATCATCCTTTACTTTGTGTCCAAGAAGTTTAAAAACTGCTTTAAGGTAATCACAATTCACAATATTATGTTTATGTGAACAGTAGTGTTTTGCAAAGGAAGAATGTTGTGTGAAGAGGTATGAAGTAAAAAAGGGGTCAAAGGAGTCAAAAGATAAATAGATAAAATTGTGTGAGAAAGGTGAAAAGTGCACTATTGTTATGACCCGATTTCTTTCCCAGTCTTGTCTTTGCTGCTGGTGTCACTCCGGCTCCATCAACACTCTGCCCGTCCACAGAGGAACCAGTCTGCAATACAAGCCCTGAGCATCACTGAAAAGAAGAAATGCTATCGTTGTGTCCATGGGCAAGACACTGCAGTCACCCTTTTGTACCTTAAAGCTGGGTCACCTAACTTTGAAACCACAACAAATGTTCAGTTTGGTTCTATGACTAGTTTTCACATATACACCTTTTTAGCTTTACCAATTGTGGGGCTAAGAATGTGATAAACAACAATGCAATTTGTAATTTAATTTTTTTTTAAATATTTTTTTATAATTATTGAAGAATGAATTCAACTTCAATAGAATTATTTAACACGTTTAAATGGTTATAAAAGCAAGTGATATATGATTAGGATTGTTGATTGATTATTTCTCTCCAATATTTTCATATGTTTACTCCAAGCAGCCTCTGAAATGTACCTTTGTTTATTTAATCTACAGCCGGAAAACAAAACAACAGTGACGTCTAGTGGTGGTGTAATGGCATTGCAGCATCTATTTTCTCCCTCTTTTTAATGTCAACACGAGCAGAGTATTTTTGACAGTTGCCATGGAAAATAGCTTTTAGGTAAACAGTATAATATGGTATAGTAGTTGATGGAGCTATTTGTGTCAATACTTTTCCTCTGATTATGAACAGATGCCTCACATGGAGAAAGAAATATGTTTTTAATCTGATCTAATTACATTTTGCATGACAAGCCACAGGGCAGTTCACAAAGCCACAACAAGGCCCAGGGAGAGAAGAGTTCAATAATACCTACCTCTTCCTCCAATGAAAACAATGAAATATCTGAAAAAATAAAAATAAAAATCATCATTTTTATTTGTTTATATTTATCTTATTCAAACATGTGGGTTTTTCTTACATACACGTGTAAGCCATGTAGAAAATGTTTTTACTGTTTGTAAACATTATTCTTAAATATTTGCTTAATGATAATGTTTCCTTTCTTGTTTGGAGAAGCACATACTTGGCGTGACAATTAATTGTATTGTTAATAAATGCATTACAATAATATGGACAATACTAATAATATTGATCTCACAATAGGGATTTTTCCCACTGTGTAATTATTATTTTCTATGTCTGACTTAAGTGAGATACATACACATATGTTCATAATTGTTGAGGGGCCTATTGGTGGCTAGGGCCCTTGTCCGCTTATGGGTAGCACCGCCCTGTGTGAGAGCGTAAAAATAGCCAGGGTGAGCAGACCCACAGACAGCCGACTCGCACAGCGCATCCACCGGCCTGTCTCTCTCCAAATCTCGGGGGAAAGGTGTATTTTTATTTGCTTCATTATTTTTCATCGGCACAAACTCGAGATGTTGTGATGTTGTGAACGGGAGAAGAGGATGCGTGGTTGCCTGGAAACCAAACCGGAACGAGGCAGAAACCAGGCCAAGCGTCACAACAGCGAGGTCTGTGGATGATCACCGCCTGCAAGCATTCTTCTTGCATTCTTCCTTATTTTAGCAAATGTTATCGCTTGTGCTGAATTGGATCAGGTTAGAATAACTTTGGGGTTTAATTGAGTCGGGGGAAAGGACTGTCAGAACTGATTATCTTTGACTACGAGTGGAATAAGGTGATTATCCACAAAATGCATTATAAAATAAGGTAAGGTTACACATTTATAGCCCACGAGTGAGAACTGCTTTTTTTATTTTTTTATTTTATCTATTTAATAATGTATTATTTTGGTCAGTTTTTAATATATACAACGAGGCTTGTGAATTCAGTGCAATGATATATAGTATAATGTCCATTGTTTATGTCACTTTGGTCAATAATATGACTTTAATAAGCTAAATTAAATAACCTTTTAAGGGCAGGTGTCAAAAGTGAATATTCTAGCTAATATTGTACACGACGAGATGCTACCAATGACCCGAGGTTTACCTAAGACTGCATGTTTTTGGTCCAGCTATATAACGTAAATAATTTAGTGTATTTGCACAGTACTATACAGGGCAACTAAAAATAAGTTTCAAAACAAGAGAGAAAGCATTAAAAACGTACAGGCATTAATAATGTCTGTATTGTCCTTCTGATCTAAATGAAACCAAACAATAAACCAAACATACAATTAAAAGAGCTAATCACATACACACTCATACACTCACACATTCACATTTACATATAGATACATGAAAAAGCAGAACATGAGAAAAAAGCATTTTAAAAGTTTACTCCAATGTAAACACATATTTTTAATTGTCTATCACTTGAATCAGTATTTTTTGAGACCAGAAATGTTCATTTGAATTCTAATATTGTCATGGACTTAATTGACCTCTGTCCTGACACTTTTGATGTTTTGATTTTGTACTGTGTGAAGTAATTACATTGATTAGAATTAGATCTGATAAAAACACAAATTAGAGAAGTAAACTGCGCTTGCTTTTGTCTGAGAGACATTAGCAACAGCATGAATAGAAATTGTGTTAAAGTAGAATCAAAGTGACTTAACCATAGAGAGTAACTATTGCATAACAAGCTGTGTACAGGAACTGAGACACTGCACCATTGACCAGAAGTGCATCCCAAATGACCTGATGTGCTTCAAGTGAAAAGACTGTATCTGGAGATCTGATGTCCAACTGGAGAGACCAAAACTATGGCTTGGACCCTACTGATGTCCAAGATGACCTGACCTGATGACGACTGAGACTCACCCTCAGGGGACCCTGAGGACCCTGAGGACCTGAGAGAGAAAACTGGGGAGTGATGTTTATATTTTTGAAATCATACATTGATGAGTGCTAAATGAGAGAGATACTCATGATTCTTTCTTTTGTTTTTGTTTGTCCCTAGCTTCTGGACATCTGATGATCTATTGGACACAGCCATTTGCAGAACAAGAACCAGCCAATGAAAACGTCTATTGCCGATGCTATTGCTACAACCAGAACCACAACTGTGACAAATGCAATATACATGTTAAGTATTCAGACATCTGACAGACAAAAACTTTGAAAATGATAAAGTATAAGTATTGTAGCGTTTTAGTAGATGTTAAATAGTAGTAAAAGAGTAGAATTGTCCTTCCTTTGTTGTTCATAAACACATTTCCACATAAGAGTTAAAATAGTGCCATACAATGTTATCCTTTTGATAGATCAGCTATAATATTAGAATCAGAGTTATGTTACAGCCATTAAAAGTGACAGAAGTCACAGATTAGAAATATGCCTTTGCTCAAGCTGCAGCCAAGCTTTTGAGTTAAAAAATAGAGTAGAAATAGAATTAGATAAAAGCATCAACCATAGATGCTTTAAAAAATAGAGAATATTTGTAGCCAGTGCTAATATCAAATGGTAAAGGGACCATTTCACAAGCATTTACTTCAAAAGTAGATAAAGTTAATTACAGTTTATGTACAGTTTTATTAGATACTTGCCAAATTCACTTGTGTTCACACATGAGTGAATGTTGACAATGCAAAAGTCCATATGAGTGTAGCCTAGATTAATGCCTAGATCAATGAGATAGATTACAACCAACAGAGATTCAAAAGCATTTAAAAGCATTTTGATGTATTTGTGTATAGCACAAAAACACAATAGTAGATATTTAGATATTGAGAAGTTTCCAGCACAAACACCATTGTAGAATAACTGACCCCAACCCCAAACCTGCTAAAATAGATTAGCTCTTGTAAGAATAATACTAATTTGATTAATGATGTACATTCATCCCAAACTGCCTGACAATAATATCTTTAGATAATAAAAAGTAATAAATCACTGACCACTATAGAAGTGTAAATGTTGACCGTTTGCCTTACTGTGTTCACAGTTTTATTCCTTCTGAGAATGAGAATAGAGATGGAGCAAAATCCAACTGATAATAAGCCACTGATAATGAAAGTAAACCACAGAGAGATTTATTAGATTAAAATGTATGTTTAAGAATATGGCTCAATAGAAGCAAATATGCAAACATATTTGTAAATAGATTAGAATAGTTTTAAACTATAGTGAATAGTGAGAGTAAAGTACACAGTCTAAGATTGAAAAGTGATAATAATACAGTGAAATAAGTGAAGTGTAAACAATTAGCATTAGAATAAAAGCATAAAGTAATACAAGTGAAATTAGCTTCAAATTTGAGACTCAGCACGTTTTTGTCTGTGTTTTGACTGAATCTGCTGAGTTCTTGTGTGTCCAATAGTGTTTGTTTGTTTTTTATTTTTGATTTGTTTTTTTTTTTTTTTTGTTTGTTTGTTTTTTTCCCAGGATAGAGGATAAAATCCACTGATATTGATTTGATGATTATGAGTTTAATGCATACATTTTCTTTGTTTTTAATAATTTTTAAAAGTTTTTTTTAGATTTTTTTTTTTTCTTTTTCCACTTTATTGATTGATCAAATTGAGTGATCACATGTGATTATGTGATCAAAGGGGAGGGTGTTAGTATTAGATAGCAATATGGCCTAATGCAGGACTGTACAAGGACTCTACAAGGACTCCATGTTATGACTATGATTTGACTGTCTCTTTGTGACACGTATGTCTTTCGATGTGTGACGTGACAATGACTATATAAACTGTGTACTGCCTTTATTCTGTCTGAGGGAAAGAAACAGAGTAAACTAGTGGAACTTGAGAGAAACTTAAATAAACTTCCAGAGTTTGGCACACCACGATCCGTCTCTGTCTGCTTAAATCCTAACACTCCTCACACTTCCAAAATAAAATATTGTTTCATAATAATAATTATACTAAAATAAACTACAAATAGATGGAGGTCTAGTGTTGATGCCATGATTCACAACAAAAGAACAACATAAATGGACCCAATTTTACACTCTGTATCTTCCAGGATCGTGTGACTGCCCCCCAGTGGCTGCAGTTCGCCCTACAGCCCTTCTACTCTCTTGTTGAGGATGACCCTGTTTACCTGTTGGTGGCGCTGTCTGCTCGCTCCATTCTGAACAGTTACGTGTTTGAGTCTCTGCCTTTGCCTGGACCCATGCTCAGCTCAGAGTCCAAAAGTCTGTATCAAAGATGGAGAGAAGAGACAGAACAGGAGCTTCTTATAGAACACAGGTGATTATTCCATTTTCCCTTTAATGCTGAATTTTGAAGTGATCTTGTGGTGGGAAATGACCTTAAGTGATTTTTAGGCTTACTCAGGTTTGAATTTGGGTAGATTCAAAATGACCCAAAATGATCTTTCCACGTCTCTGTTTACTTTCAATAGGTTGCATACATGCGACAACTGCAACACATGTACTCGAAACTGTGGTCAGTGTCAATAGTCAGACCACGAGTGTTAGTCAAGAGATAATTTCTCTGTATTTTCTGAGTCAATCCACACAAAACAAAAACTTTCCACATCTTCTTTGTCAGCACATTTCAACTATGATCTAATTATTTTCTCATGAAGGTTTCGAGAAGTGTCATCACCACTATTCAAAAATGTTTCAGACTTTCAGACATAAGAATATTATGGCAGGTTTGAGGATAAAATCACCTAATGACTTGGAAAAACATTTGGGCTTTTTCAAAATGTCTTTCAAAATGTTGTAGATGCTACTATGATAATAATGATCAATAATAATAATACTATTGCTCGGCCGATCGGTTTTACATGGTTCTTTTTGGGGCACTCAAAGACTCTTCTCATTCATTCACTCCATACACAGTGGTGATTAACTACTACTGTAGCCACAGCTGCCCTGGGGCACGCTAACAGAATCCAGGAAACCACTATGTGCCACACACACCAGACTCACTGTAGGAAATTGGGAGGAAGTGTCTTGCCTCATGACAGGACAGTCATGAGGCAAGACAGTCAGTTTGGCACTTTATAGCCACAGTCGCTCCACTGTGGCACCTGGTGTTCCCAAAGAGCTCCCATCACAGTACTGACCAGGCTATGCCCAGCTTAGCATCTGAGATCTGCTGGGATCTGGCTTTCACATACAGGTCACAGCACCAAAAACACCATAAAAGATACATTGAAATGAAATTCCACAATGTTACTATCACATGAGACATAAATGAAATGAAGCTGAACACGCAGATTCAGACTGAAAGACCGGCCACGGCTCTCACCCGTCCAGGGCCCGCCAACCGCACAGCGCTGCCAGCCTCTCAAGCCTCTGCCAATCACACAGCCCGGCCAGCCCCTTGTCAACCCACTGACAGAAGCGGGCAGTTTAAAAGCAGCCACTACTGCTCTGGCTCCTGCTCTGGCTCCTGCTATGGCTACTGTTCCCCCTGCGTCCCATTCACACCATGCCTCTAGCCACCACCAGTGCTTGACCCCGGGGGGCCTGAGATCATCTACAGCAGCAGACGATTTCCCCTCTGCAAGTGTCACTGCCAGGGTCAATGCGCCAATCAAATATATATTTTTCATGCATTAATGTTTCTGTCTTGGTCTCTTCAGATTGAAAAAAGTGTCAAAGAAATATAATATGTTTTTTAAATATGTTTTGTGTCTGTTTTGTGTTAGATTCAAAGACGTGATCGAGAAGCTGCAAAATCATATGGACGTCTATAAATCCATCAACGTCTTCAGAATCCATCTGTTGAACCAAAAGGGCCTCCACAAATATGTGTAAGAACAAATATGTTTTCTCAAATAAACCAGGACGTAACCATGACGACATCAGAACTTGTATGAACTTTATATTTTTCATGTGTTTTAACTGTTGATTCTCTGCTCTGTGTTGGTGATATCAATGGTTTTGTTAAGTCCTCTGAGATGACTTCTGTTGTGACCTAGGTCTATAATAAATTGTATCGTATTGTATGACAGGTTACTCTTGACTTTCCACACAACATTAGTCACACTGTGGTGTTTGCTAATTATTATACAAAGTGTATCGGCCATACCTTTTTTATTTATAATTTCACTTCCTGGTTGGGATTGTTGACATCACACTGTTATCTAGCAACTATGTACTAAAAATGTTTCAAAATTACTATGTTCATCACTGTAATAGATAAAAAGAAATGTCAGTACAAAAAGCAGGTTATTGATAAAGCATCTATGACTATAATGGCAGAATAACACACTTGTAACCACTTATTCATGGCGGCGTAAAGATGGCGCCGTGGCAAGAGCTCTGGTGTGTGTCGTCTGGTGCACACTGGGGTAGTCTTGCACAGTTTTTCCAATGTGGTTTTACTGCAAATGGCAAATAAATGAATCTGAATCTGAATCTGGGGAACAAGTCTAGCATGGACCTGTATGACTAAACCGGAAGAAATCAAAACTAAAATCATGTTGGGCCAAATTTAGGAAAACGCTACATTTACACTTCCTTATGTCAGGATTTTACACACCACTGAAAACAAATGTTGAATTAATTTCTCTTTTTTTTCAGGGAATGTGAAAAGGAATAAACACGGCACATCACAGCACCGTCATAACTACATTATTTTTCACTATGCATTATCTTTGTTGAGTGTATATATTTGTGTTTTCTGCTTCATAGACTCCTGCACTGAGATTGACTGACATTTTATCTAGTCATCCAAGTGCTTAAAGGTATATAGGAGGATGTTCTACTTCCAGGTGGATCACCAAGACTATTGGTCCTTTTAATAGTCAATTTTTCTGGTGATACGTGCTCGTCAAACAAGACCAGAAAGTTTTATCCAAAAGTGGTGAGGGCAGTTCTTTCCTAAAACTTTGGAAAATCCCCCTATATACCTTTAAGTAAAGTTTATAATGTTTTTATATTCATTTAAAAGTGGGCGCAATTTAATTCAGATTTGCAGTTTTCATAATAACAAATATATACAAAGATTACTTTATCTTACTACTTGTACTCTTCCACTTCACCTGTTTTCGTGCCTTGCTTTGTCTCCCTCTGCAGGACAACAAGCGAACTGCGTATCATATAAGAACTTTAACAATAGATAATTGTCAATTTTCTTAAAATTGTAGTAATGGGCAGCATAGACCTATTTATAACTTGATCAATGCAGTTTTCATTCATTGTGTTGTTGATCTCACAATGGAGACATTATGGTTAACAATTATGCATAAATGTTGTTCAGTCTCCTTTTATCATAGATAGATAGATAGATACTTTATTGATCTCCCGTAGGAGAAATTTAGGTCATGAGAAACTCATCATGCATCCATTGGGCTTGTGGAATAAACATGAATAAATTATATATATATATATGTATATTTTAATTCAATTGCGTTGTCATAAACTGCCTTTCTATTCAATGATTGTGTTAAATGTTTGGTGATAATGGTTTTTTTTACTTGTACTGTACATGATTATAAGGATCTCTCTCCTATATTTAACTGTGAGTTTCCAGGGATCATACAAACTCACCAAAAACTTAGGGCCTATATCTGCTGCAGCAGCCTCAGACAAACAGTAAACATGCAATCCTGCACTTTCCAAGATAGTGCACGAAGCTCAGTAAGTTTAAAGAAAGACTAAAATAACACGTTAATAACATAGACAATGTGGTTGAAATACATGGAATGTTTCATACATTTGTGGTGCCACCTGAAAGTGAAAGTCAAACAGGGCAGGGCCTGGTTACTGTGATGACTACACCAAGAGCCTCACTGGGGCGGCTGCGACTATGAAGTGCCAAACTGTTGTTGTGTCCTTAGGCCAGACACTTCACCCACATTGCCTAGAATAAGTCTGCTCTGAGCATTGTAGTGTCTGCTATTATAACTTCTACATATAAAGCATGTATCTTCAAAATGTGTTGGGAACATTTGGGTCAAAATGGTAGAAGCAGCTGACTCTAATGATCCCTTTCTCAGTCATGTGAGCAGCACTAATGTTAGGACAATGTACATGGCTGTCCTTAATGTATGGTTTGCTTTTTCTGGATCTTGTGACCGTGTCTTATGACTTCTTCAACTAGACTATAATATCCTAGTCCTCTGTGTGTTAGGGGTCAGTCATGCCATCTTCATTCTCGGAGCTGACCCAGGCTGAAAGCGCTAAGCCTGAATTGGACTTGATGTATTCTGATTATGCCATTAAACTCTTTCTTTAATACATAACTCAGAGTGCGTTCCTTCTCCAAAACTATACTGGTTTGTGCGGGAAACCCATCTTCTGCTGATGAGAAGATACAACATTTTGGCGTCACGTAACAGTGAATTTTTTTAATTCTTAGCATGTTCAATGACGCAACATTTTGGCGTCACGTAACAGGGAATTTTTTCAATTCTTAGCATGTTCAATGACGCAACATTTTGGTGTCACGACGGCAGTTTTGGGCTGTTAGAACAGTTTTTAAAGACGAGACATTTTTAGGTGGCTTTGGGCCACATTTTGGCGACTCGACCTGAGGCGGAAGCAGAGCAGCGTACAGCAGACTGGAGAAAAGAGATGCCGGCTTTCTAAAAGGGTGAGATTTCACTAAAATCTTTTCTTCTTTGTGCTGTATTGTTGGTTTGCTCCGGAATCACAGTATAGTGTTGGAAGGGTTTACATTTCTAAATTTGTTTAGTTTATTGTTCACGAAGGTAACGCTTTTGAGAATAATAAACTCAGTTTATTTTTACGTTAGAAGAGAGACACAGAGAGACACAGAGAGACACAGAGACACTGGAACAGGGACACAGAGACACAAAGACACAGAGAGACAAAGAGACACTGGAACAGGGACACAGAGACACAGAGAAATAGAGACAGAGATAAAGATACAGATAAAAAGTAGAAACAGAAGGGAGAGAGACGTATGGAGTCATAGAGCGAGGCGCGTAGAAACAGAAGTGAGAGAGACGTAGAGTCAGAGATAGAGACACACAGAGAGTGTGTTTATGAGAGAAGAAGTTCAGGGTTTTTCAGTTTAGTTTTTAGTTTAAACCTTGCCAGAAGTTTGTTGAACATTGTCAAATGAGGTCCAGTGTGTCTATAGTGTGTCTAAAATGGTGTCTCTAAAAGCCTTGGCAGTAGTTTTATGGATGTGGTTATTGTTGTCAGTTTCATGGCCATGATGAATTGACAATAGCTTTGACTTGTGATCCATCAGTTAGAAACAAATTCAAGCTAAATTTAGATTCTTAAATAGTGTTACCTGAGACCCAGGACAAAGTCTGACTAATTTGGATTAAAATATGTTATTTGAATTGACTGTACAGTGAAGTTTAGATAAAGGCCTGAAGTGTGAGTGAGTTTGCCTCCTTTCTGCAAACTCAACACAGTTTTCCTCTTTCTTCCCCTGCTCTGCTGGAGCAGCCCCTCCCTCCTGCTCTGCTGGAGCAGCCCCTCCCTCACTGCTCTGCTGGAGCAGCCCCTCCCTCACTGCTCTGCTGGAGCAGCCTTTCCTTCCCTTGTCTCCCATTGTGCTTAAATCTGACTAGTACTAGTTATTTGATTAATGCTTGCCGAATTGACGAAAATAAATAAAAAAGGGGTGGAACCAGTGACAAACGTTTCACTGGTGAAAATAATTTGGTAATGAGATATGGTCAACCATTTTGAAATTAGCTTAAAATCGAAGAATGTAAAGTTCATTGATTTTAACAGTCTTAGATTGATATTAAACAAGACTAGTTTAGATTTTTGGGGTTGAGGATTTTTGATTTTTGTTGCTTATGATCACAAAAGCTGCTATTTTGTGATCACAAGTGGACTTACACTTTTGAATAAGTTTTTGTTTTTTGTTTTTGTTTGTTTTGTGAGAGTGAGACTATAGTCATTTTTGTGTGTGTGTGAAGTTCATTCGTCTTTATATTTTTGCCTTTGTGTAGTGACGACTCACAAGGGTGGAGTTATGTGAAAGAGACAATGTTAAGTGTTTGTCATAAAGCCTTTTGATGCCTAGTTTATTATGATATAATAGCTCTTTGTATTAAATATCTCAGCATAAAACTCAGTGTTGATCATAGTCACATTAATAATCAATGTTAGCATGTTTTAGACATGATGAGTTTGATGGAGTTAGATACACACTAATGTGTCACTTTTGATTTGATGTTTATGATTAACTCAAACTGAAGTTTGGTTTTTCTCTGTTTTGTGCTGAACGAGAGCAAAGGTGTTTGACCAGAGCCAGGTCCAGTGGAGAAAAAGACAACCTTCCTCCTTTCAACAGATCCAATGAAAGCTGCTCTTCATCAGGTGCAGTGTATTCTATCCACAAATGTTTCCCATGATGCACTTGTTTGTAAGATGACATCATTACACACAAAAATCTGTTATAACTGACACAGGACTTTGGCAACTGACTGAGCTGAGAGATTTATCTTTGGTCTAAAAATGATCAAACATTTTTTAATTTACCAAAATATGCTGCAATAATATTTGGGTCTGGTTTTATTCACTTTTAGGAATCCCAAAAAGGTTGCATTTTGTTGCTGTCTGGTTAAGACTTAAATAACAGAATAGAGTAATAGATTACCACTAACAAGTTCAAATTACAACACTTATGAAGTAAAAAAGCATTAGTCAATAAAATAAATAAAAAGAGAGAGAAATGAGTAATAGTTTATTGACTTACAGTTGGGTTGAAGCTATTGAGTAAAAATAGGATGGTGTTGCTTAATCTTTGATTAAATTAAAATCAATTAGAAGTGATCAAATTTGACTTTTGAATTTTATTGAATTGCGCGGTTGTTATAGTGCTTTGCAAACTGGACGCGAACAGTTCTAAACCTAGTTTGAATAAAACTATCACACCAATAGAAGTGGTACAGACAAATAATCCACTTGTGGACAATATCAGAAAAATTTAGAAAAAATGGCATCATCGGTGGTCAGACATCGAAGTATCGAAGTCATCAAAACTCTCAAAGTCCTAATCTCTACATATGAAGCAGAAGAGAACAAAGGTCGTAGAGGTCAAAAGAGGAAAGAGAAACATCAGATTGAACTTGGAACACTTGAGTTGTTTGAATTTGAGGCAAAGACACTTTTAAAAGACTTAAACAAAGGAAACGAAGACATCAAGGAAGCTGGGACAGTAATGATAAACAGTGATGGACATTTCTCACATAAACATGAACCACTGACTCAGGACACTCTGAAACACTCAGATCCATATTCACAGCTGCCTGCATTTACTCAAGAAATTCCACTTCGAGAACACACAGAAGTTAGAGGTGAAGAATTATTAACACCAATGTCTTTTCAAGTACGATCAAGAAGAATCAAACCAATCAATAAGATGTGTCCTGTAGTGGTCTGTGGAGGAGACCTGGAGTACAGACCATGAAGAACACAGATCTGTCTGAGGTCATGGAGAAGCTGCCCATGATCCAAGATGGAGCACATCCTTGGATTTAGAAACTAGAGGAGATTTCTGTGGGGACAATTCTTGCAATGGGTGACATTAAGAGACTGTTTGCGACACTCCTGGGTGTTGTGGCCATGGAGGAAATCTTACAGAGAGCTGAACTACATCACTATGTGAAGACATCAGTAAATGATGCAGATCTTTTTGCCTGCAACAGAGGTAGAATGTGGAAAGCTTTGAAGGAGATGTTTCCTACACACATACATCCTGATAATGTCCTGATTGAACCATTGGGACCAGAAGAGAATGCAAGAGTATATGTGTCCAGAGCGTATCAGACGTGGAGAAACATTACTGGAGAAGACCCGGAAGTGAACCACTGGGAACGATCGATCCTGAGAGCGAAGATAAAGGCAGGACTGCCTCTGCCAGTGAGACACAAACTGGATGAAGTTATTGGTCTTGGGAGTATGACACAAAGCCTCTATACTGACAATGTTGCACATCAAGTGGACCTCCAGAGGAAGAAGGAGGAGCGTCAAAGAAAACAAGATCAAGACACAATCAGAGAACTGAATAAGATTAAATTTGCAAATATCTGTAAAATCACACATCAGCATGGATTAGAGACTCTGTTAAAATAATGACATTACAACTGTTTCTATTTCTATAGCTTAAATTAAAGATGCTGACAGTACAGAACATCATAGAAATAATTTAATAGAGAATAGATTTCATATGAAACAGAGATTGAATAAAGTTTTAAATAAAGTTTCTAGATTATTTGTGAATGTTTTACTGTACGCCTCCATTTTCAGAGTGAGTGAATGTGACACAGGTGCGTTTGGAGCGATCTGGAGAAGAAGAAGCACATTCATTTGCCAACATCCTGCTGTCGAGAGGTCAACAGTAAATGAGACCTCCACTCAAAGAGAATGTCATTAATAAATTGGATTAAATTTGTGGATAGAAGGAAAGAAAGATAGAAGGATAGAAAAATAGAAGGATAAGAAAGATAGAATTGCAAATAAACTTGAGAATAATTGGGAATAAATTAGTTGAAATAGTATACAATAATATTTGGATCAATGAAGGATCTATAAAAAGGTTGCAATAATCTGTTGAAGGAATGAAAGGTATTTTTAAAATCACATTTGTGAAAAGGTTTTTGAAAGTGTTTTTTGAATAATTATACATAATGGGATGGATGAAGCTTATGTGAAATATATGAAATGAGATGATCCACATATGTTTCAGATAAGAAGAGTCTTATCAAAGTTCGGGAAGAGTTTTATGTGTTACAGTGGTCACTTCTGCACTGAAGTGGTTGTATCAGATCAGGCCCAATTGGGAAAATAGTTTACTTTGATCATAACTGTTTCTTAGTCTAATATTATTTGGGTGAAATTGTCAGGACCATGGATGGAGTGGTCTCTAAAAGAAGTAAGTTTTGCATAATGATAAAGTGAAGTCTATAGTGAGTGAGTCAGTAATGTAAGAAACATCACAGGGCATATAGACTGATGCCATAGAGAGTAATAAAGTACTAGAGTCACATTAAGACTGATTAGATGTTTGATCTGATCACAATGATCTGAAACAATTACTTAATGATAATAAACTGGTGTGAAGGAAACTATATGTTGAGAGGTAACTACTGTAACGACAGAGTGGGATAATTGTTACATCTGATGATGTTAGAGTGATTCATGTGGTGCTTGAGTAAATACACAACTACTACAGCTACTTTTTTTTAGTTACTGGATTGAGAACAGCTACAACTAAACAACTACAGTGACTGGGACAACAGCGATGATTATGATGTATCTGACGATAGAATCTATGGAGACTTTACTGATGAGCTGCTACTATGAGGAGAGTGACTTCAAAGGGAGTCACTGAAGGACATTTACTTTTATTTTTCAGTATTATCACATTAGAGGTTACAGATGACTGTATGTGATCTTACACAGAGGCCTTGTGTTTGGATTAATGATAGTATTTCTGGAGCATTTAAGGTGACAATGACTGATGAGACTTTTGACTTTTACTTGGTTGAAAATGACTTGTTTGATTTTTACTTTAGACTTTTGACAATTTGACTATGGGTTGACTATTTAACATTTACAGTGTTTATTTCAAATGAGGAATTAGATTACACAAGTTATTTTTCTGAATAACAATATTGATAATACAAAATAGATACTTTGGGGTTTAGCATTTGTTATCAGTTAACACAGTTGAAACATAACACAGTTGATTATATTTAACTAAGCAAGGAGGTTTATCTGAGCATAGCTTTGAACTCAGGTGAAGTGTGTTATACATTAATTCCAATTTTGACAATAGATTAAGATTAAGATTGAGACTAATATGACAATAGGACTGATGTTATTGATGCTTTGACAATTACAGAAGGATAATCTGAACACAGGTTACACTAGAATTGGTAAATACTTGACTTAAATAGTTACTATTGACTGGGACACATGGACTGACATAGTAGGATTAAACAGAGGTGTTGAATCCAAAGGGGGAATACCCTGTTATTAACCAATTGTAAAACTTTTATCTTTCATGTATGTTTGTTTTATTATACTTTAATATATCACTTTTATTATGCTTATTATATTCGTAATACTTTTCTTTTTAATACACTCTTTTCTTTTCTTTTTATTTTATGCTCATATGATTATGTTGATTTGGAGTTCCAGATACTGGTTGGGTTTTTCTATGTTTTCAGGAGGACATCATGGTGATGATTAATGGACACTGGACAGTGGACAGTTGGACATTGATGACAATCAGGGGTTTAAAGAGCTCTGATGCAGAGACTGAATTCATCAGGAGGAAGTATCGTGTGGACTGAGATCAACAGAAGATGGAAGAAGATTTTGTCTTAATACTATTGTGTGATCTTATATTCTTTTTGTGTTTTTTTCTATTTGCAGGTGATGTTCAGTGTTGGGGATAAAGGATTAAATAATGATTAGATTGATAGTTTAGAATACTTATTTTACATTTAGAATACTGAAATTGAGTGACTGTAATTGGAACACAGTTACTTACTAAATTGTTGTTAAAGGAACTGAACTCCCTCAGAGTTTAAGAGTGATTCTTAAATTCCTAGATTTAAACTTTAGGAATAGTTTAGTTTAATATGAAGTTGATTTAATTGAGCATTGGAGTCAATGCTGAATATTTTTTATTGGATTAAATCAATCCCCCCCACTGAATATCTTTAGTGTTGTGAGCTTCGAGGCTGTGAGTGCAAGGTTTGTAGTCGTCAACGAGAACACGTGAAGACAAATTAATACTGAGATGTTGGGGCTATGAGAGAATTTTTCCAATAAGCTAATATGAGGTTGGTTTTTTCTCTCATACTCACTGCAAGGAGACAGGTATAATTTCATTTAGTGATCAAGCATGAGCTCGATCAAAAGGGGGAATATGTAGTGTCTGCTATTATAACTTCTACATATAAAGCATGTATCTTCAAAATGTGTTGGGAACATTTGGGTCAAAATGGTAGAAGCAGCTGACTCTAATGATCCCTTTCTCAGTCATGTGAGCAGCACTAATGTTAGGACAATGTACATGGCTGTCCTTAATGTATGGTTTGCTTTTTCTGGATCTTGTGACCGTGTCTTATGACTTCTTCAACTAGACTATAATATCCTAGTCCTCTGTGTGTTAGGGGTCAGTCATGCCATCTTCATTCTCGGAGCTGACCCAGGCTGAAAGCGCTAAGCCTGAATTGGACTTGATGTATTCTGATTATGCCATTAAACTCTTTCTTTAATACATAACTCAGAGTGCGTTCCTTCTCCAAAACTATACTGGTTTGTGCGGGAAATCCATCTTCTGCTGATGAGAAGATACAACAGCATGAATGGTTGTTGGTGGTGGTGGGAGGGACCGACCTTTCTTCTGTTAGTGTGCCCCAGGGCAGCTGTGGCTACAGTAGGGATTTAATGACGTGTCCAAAGAGATGATAAAACCCATGCGTTAGTATTATTTTATTATAATAAATGTCAATACATTAGAAATAAACCTAGTAACTAAACTTGCATAATCATAATATAAAGTAGTTTAAATGTTCATATATTTTGGCGATAGAATACTATATTTCATATGCAAGTCTTTTGAAATGGAGCATTCCCATTGTTCCCATTCCCCATGTTGCTTATTGAACCCAGCGCTGACATGCACGCGCGCTGTCTCATCCCTGTGCGCGTGTCCGTGCGGGTTCACGCGTGTCCTGCCCTTGTGCCGTGACACACACACACACACGCACACGGCCAAAGAGAGAAAGCGAGAGAGAGGAGAGAAAAAAAAGACTGAAGAAGAAAAAAAAAAACCTCCATTTGCCCTGCTCCGTGACCGACCCTCGTTTCCATCCCTTCCCCGGACTTCTGCGCTCTCATCCCGGCGTGCCACCTCTGCTTCACCCCGCTCCCTTTGGTCCATCCACCCACTCACTCACAGACAGACAAGGCAGTATAACCACTAAAACCAGCCCGGAAAAGCGCGTAGAGATGCCGCTAGAGCCGCTGCTTTGAATGGACCCAGCCTGGACCATGGCACTTGTGGTATCTGATTGCACCATCTCTGCTTTTTCACCTTTTGATGCTGCTCCCATCCGCGCTGCTTTTGCTGGTAAGTCCCCGGACAGCGTGTGGAAGAGTGGGTGCTTATTGTGGTGTGCATGAAATCTGCTTTATTATTTATTTTACACGAAAATGGGAAATGACCCGTGAAAATGACTTTGGAGGTCTCGTGAGGTCGGCGACTACAGGCTATACCGTGCGCAACTCAACCCAGCCATGGTCGCGTATACAGACAGCAGAGAGGAGGGGTTTGGATATCTTGACATTTGGCCCTGGTTATACCCTGCATGGCAACCGAGTGGAAATGTTTTAAAAAGATGTGTGAAATTGTGATCAGTGCATTAATTTGGCTAATTATCTAAGAGCTGATACGGCCGGAGATGACTTTATAGGTCGCCATGTTGCAGAGAGAGGCGATGGTTGCGCGCAGAGAGGCTTGCGCGGGGTATCACTAACCACCGGGCTTCAGGGGTCCGACTCTGACACCGGGAGGGGGGGACAAGGGACCCAGAGGCGGTGTGGAGATGTGGACGTGGGGGGGGGGCGGTCGTGGGGAGTCCGTATACAGCCGCAGACGGCCGCTTTTCTCCCGGGGGTGGGGGACCGCGTGTCGCCTGGAGCCTGGAGCGGAGAGAGATGAACGGGGTCGAGTCAGGTTTGAGGAGCACAATGAGGACAGAAAGAGGACTGTGCACAGGGCTACAGCAGGAGAGCATGGAGGAATTTCTCTTAAACACGTGTGGCTGCTTTTATAACATCGCATTTCAAATGTAGGACATGTCTAATTAATGTTGGAGTGCACAAAGGGCCATATGGTCTCGTTGATCTGTGTGTGCCTGGTAACTATGGTTGCCTGTACCTGTCAAAGGTCGATTAAGAGCGAATTTCTCTGTAATTTTTGGGCCAATCCACATGAAACACAAAGTGTCATAAAGTTCCACATCATCTAAGTCAGCACATATCAACTATGGTCTAATTATTTTCTCATGAAGGTTTCTAGAAGTGATGACAGTATTCAAAACGGGTATGATGATGGCCGATTGAAATATAAGTCTAGAAAATGAACAGTAAGTAAGTAAGGCTGCAGATCTGAGTCTCAAAGCGGTTTACAATTGTTAATTTTGAGCATTTGTCTCTCACTCCACACAGAGATGGGAGCGGGGTCGCCAGTACAGGAGGCACATGCCAGAACTATTGGACATATTTTTAGTGGTAGGGGAAACCGGAGTACCCGGAGGAAACCTACGCAGACACGGGGAGAACATGCAAACTCCACTCAGAAAGGCCCTGGTCCGACCGGGATTCGAACCCAGGACCTTCTTGCTGAGAGGCGAGAGTGCTATCCACTCAGCCACCGTGCCGCCCGGTGAAAATGAACTAAGTCAAAGCCTTTAGCTTAATAAATAAAAAATAAATAAAAATAAATAAATAACTACATATTTATTGTAGCCACCAATAATGAACCGACGACCCTGGCTCCATCCCAGACCGGGCAAAAGGAGGGAAGAGGAGGAGGCGTCTGAAGGAGAGCCCCATCACAAAAGTTTACCATGGGTCCCAAAATGACTAAGTCCACAACTGCCTAAAACACACAATTATGTTGAGTTTACTCAGACATAAACCTGCTTCTTTTATGGCAGGATTGTTAGCCGCATAATCAGCATCCTATTTGTGCCGACTTCTATGTCACACACATCACATAATGTATATGATTTTTTTCCATCCCACCACAGTTTGAGGAACTAAACACAGTTAATAAATTATACAAAAAAATATGGAATTTTCTGAAAATTATGAACCAAAATACCAGAGTGTGAAGCCCTGTGTCAGAGATTAGATGAAAACAGTAATGAAGTTGCCCTTAAAACCTTGGATTGCTAAATCTTGGTTATTGGCATTATTAGTGGAAGCATAGACCAATAGAATATCCAAAACAAGCTCTTTTGTGAACTCTAGTCTGTTAGAATTGCTATATTTTGCAAACCCAGTAAAATCAAGGAAGGAGGGTATTGATTTTGTGGCTTTTTAATATCACGGTTTAATGATTGCCATCCCATCCCTAATCAGGACTGAAGATGTGCAGGTCTCTGTCGCAACATCCACAATTTCTTCAAAAACATTCACACTCTCTCACTGCTCTGTCCTCGCGTCCTGTGTCCTCTCCTCCTGTGTCCCGTGTCCTTGGTCCAGTCTGCCCTCCACACTGAAGCCAGCTCTAAATTCTCTCTAAAATTGACCTGTCTTCACCAAAACCATCTGTTCTGTGATTTTTAAGGAGTCTATCACATATTCTGTTTCTGGGCTTTTGATCTTATTTGACAATGACTTATTTAAGTTGTATCATTTTTTTTTTTTTTTTTTTATGTGTGTTTGAAACCATCTGCTAATTCTGTTGCTTGTTTAATCCTGGACTAAAACCAACTTTATTTGGTCCCAACAGAAAGAGTGTTGTTTTATGTAACACACCGTCTTTATCTTACTAGAAAAAAAATGTGATCTTTTACATAATGACTGATTTGAGCTGATTTGCTGAGTGGCCAAAAAAAGCTGATCTGGAGATGTGACAGAGGTGAAAAATAGTCATCAATCAATCACATTGTTTTATGTTTTATTTATTGATTTCATTCAGAAAATGTAGCACAAAGTCATTTAGAGTTTGGTTATGTCATACAAACCGACCACCCAAAAAACCACATATATTATTTAGTATACACACACACGCGCACACGCGCACACACATACACATACAGGTGCACTTTATTTATCCCCGTAGGGCAATTCCTCCTCTGCATTTGACCCATCCTGATGCCACTAGGACTTACGTCAGGAGCAGTGGTCGCCGTAGAACAGCGCCTGGGAACCCATCTCCAGATGTTGATGCTCGGCTTGGTCAGGACTACAGCAGCTGATTTGAACTATTGTGCATGATTTTAGTGGTAGGGTAAACCCAGCACCTGAAGGAAACCTATACGCAGACACAAGGAGAAGATGCAAACTCCGGTTGGAAGCCCTGTTCCGATAGGGACTCAAACCCAGGACCTTCTTGCTGAGAAGCGAAAAAATGAGGGCAATCACACTGTTGTTGTGTCTTAGGGCAAGACACATTTGCTTTGTTCCATGGAATTGTAATTTCATTTAGATTTAGCTCCTCCTACTGCTGTGTGAAGTCATCCCTCAGCAGTGCAATTGGCAGAGCTGAAGTTAGCTGGATGACGCTATGCCATATGACCAAATGAAACAGGCCAGACATGCACCTACAGTAGATGAGATATTCCAAAACTATATATTTTCTGTGCCCAAATTAATATTTCCATTAGTGTAGAATGAGACAAGATAAGACTTAGAAATTGTACCATTACCATTTTTATGACTACAGCTTAACTTGTGGCCTATGATCACCAGAGACCAGTGACCACTACCTTTGACTTTCCCTCAAACATGAACAATCTGAAATAGCTTGAAAAAGTGACCACTCCTTATATCCATCTATTGTTCTGTTTCAGGTCAATGAAACTCAACAGTGAAGCTCCACACACGTTTCTGCTCCGACAATGATTCAGCCGGCTCTGTGTGTTTTCCACCGCGCTCCTCTTAATTTAGCCACGGCGGCCTCTGGTTTCTTCTGAGCGCTTTCACAGCTCCACACGGGGGAAGCATGAAGCGTGGGTCGAGCGCTCTGCAGCCTGCGTCAGTGCTCCGCAGCCTGGCACAGTCGCCCTCCACTGGGGGAGAGAAGGAGGAGGGTCCTCTCCCATCAGCCACCTCTCTGTTCAGCCCTGATGTCAGCTCCAAGATGGCGTCCGACCTCCTCATCAGGCTCTCAGGTGCACAACACTAGGCCTTTGTAAATAAGTGACAAATAAACTAAGTTACAGTTTACAGTATAAGCTTTATTGTCTTGACAAAACCTCACAAAACCCTACACCATCACATTAATCAATCTATACTTATGTGTAAGTAAGCTGCTCTTGTAGACACAGCTGCCCTGGGACAGACTGACAGAAGAAAGGCTGTCAGTGTGCCACAGACCAAACATTCACTCACCAGGTTCACACTGCTGCATGCTTTGGGTGAAGGAGGACACCAGAGCCCAGAGGAAAGCTTCCAGACACGGGGAACTCCACACAAAGCCCGGTTTTGTCTTTTTTTGAATTTTTTAATCATAATTGAAAACATTTCCGTTTTACACTACAATTGCCTTTATGTAGATGAAATGTTGACTGGCATTACTAGTATTACTGGTACTACTTGGGATGCACTAGTTTTGTTAGTTGTAGTATCTAACTTTGAAACCACAAAGAATGTCCTCTTTGATAATATCTATGCAACTAGATGGGTGGAGTTTGCATGTTTTCACTGTGTCTTTGTAGGTTTCAGCTGGGTGCTTTGGTTTCCCCCACCGTTAAAGTCATGAACGATAGCTCCCTTCTCTCTGGGGCCAGGACTCCCCTGAAAAAACAGATTCTGAAATCTCTTCTGGTTGAATAAAGGTCAAAGAATAATTAATAAAATAAAACTAGTTCTTTGCTCTCAAAGCTGTGACCTTCTTTCACTTGTTTTCACATGCATTTGTTATTGGCCTCTGTCACATATTTACTTAGATCTGCTTTCTCTATGAAAATGAGCCATCCCTCCCTCACTAAAATCAGCAAATCAGCTCTCAAAAATGCAAAGTTTTCTTATCAGAGACGGTTACTTAAAACTCTTTCTGTTGCTACAAACAACATATATTTTTGAAAATTCTAATACTTGTCCTAATGTCTCGGTCAATACGCAATATTGACGTGAATTTCAGTTTACATTGTGAAGAGAGAGAATTTTTGGATACACAAAATGGTTTGACCCACCCAACCAATTATTTTCTATTAATCTGATCCATAATGTCCACAATACATCACAAGATATCAGAGCAGCCAATAGCATGGCCACAGTCTAAAGCATACACACGTTTGATTCTAAATCTCTTTATATTCAATCCCACAATATTCTGTTACAATAATCAAATGCCCGCGCCCCAGCCTCCCCTGCTCCTGCTCTTGAGTGCTGCCATGTCTGTAATGCGTTTACTTCCTCCACTCCTCCATTTAGAAGCCACACAGAAGGCTCGAGTGCAGCCAGGGAACGGAGTAGAGCCCCAGCCCCAGAGACAGGAGCCTGGAGGCGGGCAGCAGGATGAACCGGGCCTGGCTCTGTCTCCGGACGGACCAGGGGCCAGTCCAGAACCCCCGTCTCTGTCCCGAACGCCAGAGTCCAACGCCACCACAGACATACTGGCCTCAGAGCTGCTCCGGAAACTGGCAGGTGGGAGATTCAATCATGTGGTGTTTGGAGGCGGAGAATGTGCTTCTTATGGAACTTGTGACATCACTGTTATTAATAGGGGTGTCCAAACTATTCTGAACTACTCCGCTAGGGGTTAGAACAAATACAGCTGTGTTTTTTTGAAGTTTTGTTTTTTAAAATTGATTCAGGCTGCACTTTTAAACCAAGGTGTCTATCATCTTTCTTGAAGTTCATATTTTACGCCTGTGGTTTATATTATGGAGGTATTTTGACCAAAAGATTGCTCATATTTCTCATGAGTTTGGATATTATTTTTTGCAAGATTTTTCTGAACCTAAATATTTCGCTTATGTTTGGATTTAATCAAAACCAAAGCTAAGGAAGGATTGTTAGATTGAAATATCAATTATTATTATTACTATTTTCTTGTATTTTAATAATTTCTTACAACTTTCTTTTGAAATCAATACAATACAATTTAGAATACATATATGGTTGTTTGAAATTGTACATAACATGGTTGTCCATAGCAACGTATTATCATCAAATCTTGTAAGTAAGCTTAGACAATCTAGATTTGATAAGATATACTTAAAAACTGCATACGCTGGACATTATTAGTCTTTCATGAAAAGTGTGAAAGGAGAAAAACAGAATAACAGACCGTTTTGAAAATAGGTTATAAACTTCCAACCCCGTTCATGGGGGTCTAAAGTTTAAAAGTACAACCAAAAACTGGCAAACCAACCGTTGCATCAAAATAAGTAGCAAGCAGCATATGCAGTATATATAAAAAAATATGATTAACCCGAGGTTCCTATGAAGTCCATTGTGCAAAATGCTTGTGAGGACTTGATCTCTACTGTGTGTACCGGTAATAGACCCATCATTTGGCCTTTTGTTACTAATGAAATCATTTTTAATTGTATATTATTTCTCATTATTTACAGAGCGCCAGGAAATAAGCAGCGAATTAGTGCGGATCAAAGAGGAAGAGGAACCAATGGAGGTCGACGCGATGGCACCTTTTGACCTTAGCCGAAACCGACCAATCACAGAGCAGATCTTGTTCCTTCCACAAATGACAATAAACCATAAACCTTTCAAGATTAAAACTGAGGAGAATCAGATAAAGACACAAGAGTTACCCCAAAAGTCTGACCGCTGTCTCTTCGACCTCAATAACCTTTACACCTTTGCACCGAAACGGGAAAACGCATTGAAACACAAGAGCAGTAGCCTTTCTGGAGCCATAACGGTCGAACACCTTCTATCCAGCAACCAAACGGACACTCTACTATCAACAAAAATCCCTGATCAGCGTTTTAACGGGTCAAAGAAGAACAAAAGTTGCGTGTCTGGGATTGATTTGAGCTGCCATGTGACGTCAGCGGTCAAAGCAAATGGACTGCTTCCCGTAAAGACTGAAGAGATTCTGTTCTTTGGAGCCAAAATGGAGGAGCAGGTCAGCGCAGGACCCAAAATGGCCGACCAGTGCCTCCGAGCGGTGTTGTGGCAGGACATGTCTGTGAATCTGGCCTCCACCCTCCTTCACCAGCTCTCAGGTAAAAGGCCTCAGATGTTTCCGGCTGTTTCTTTGCTTTGTCTACAGATATAATTAGTTATAATCTTTTTAAGGTTTGAATATTGAAAATTGATCTAAAGCCCCTTAACATCAGAATAGGAGGATGCATTGGAGAATCAGTCTATACAGAATGTTGAAAATGACAACATGATTTAATGATGATTTTTAACAGCTTCCTTCTCGGGACTATTTCACCGATCTATAGCCCCGTTTCCACCAGCCCCACTTGACTCCAGTCTACTGACCAGGCCGATCTGGTACAAAAGTGTTCTAACTGCCAGTGATTGGTCAGAGCACTGCTGGAGGCCATGGTTACCAAAGGAATTTCCCCGGATAGTGGCTTGTTGTGCGTAGGTTGCTAAGATACGATACCAGATGCTAAAGTGTAATGGAAATGCAACCGGGTAGACGAGAGCCGTGTAGAAAATAGTGGGACCAAGTAGAGCTAATGGAAACAGGGCTTATTTTAACAATAAATATTCGTCCTATTTCTGCTAAACTTGAGTGGAGTCAAAATAATAAGTCCATAAACTCTGCTCTGACAACAGCTCCACACTATCCAATCCACTTTATTCATATTGCACATTATAGCATACACCTTTGCAAAGTGCTGCACATATGAAAGTAACACACCGACTCTACTACAATGAAAATACCTGCATTGGCCGCACCGCAAAATCAGCCTTAAAAAAAAAAATCCAATCAAAAATGTTTGTATAGCACATTTCATAAGCACAGTTTCCAAAGTGCTGCTCATACTTAAAAATCAAATAGAAAAACTTGTATGTGCGTATACATGTAAAAATAATAGTAAAGCAAAACAACAACATCCATCCATTTTCTTCCGCTTTATCCGTTGCCGGGTCGCGGGGGGAGCAGTCTAAGCAGAGACGCCCAGACTTCCCTATCCACACACACTTCCTCCAGCTCGTCCGGGGGGACCCCAAGGCGTTCCCAGGCCAGCTGAGGGACATAGTCCCTCCAGCGTGTCCTAGGTCTTCCGCGGGGCCTCCTCCCGGTGGGACGTGCCCGGAACACCTCCCCAGGGAGGCGTCCAGGAAGCATCCGGAACAGATGCCCGAGCCACCTCAACTAGTTCCTCTCGACGTGGAGAAGCAGCGGCTCTACTCCGAGCTCCTCCCGTGTGACTGAGCTCCTCACCCTATCTCTAAGGGAGCGCCCAGCCACTCTGCGGAGGAAGCTCACCACTGCGCACGCTGCACCGATCCGCCTGTCAATCTCACGCTCCATTCTTCCCTCACTCGTGAACAAGACCCCGAGATACTTGAACTCCTCCACTTGAGGAATGACCTCTCCACCCACCTGGAGAGGGCAAGGCACCTTTTTCCGGTCGAGCACCATGGCCTCGGATTTGGAGGTGCTGATTCTCATCCCAGCCGCTTCACACTCGGCTGCAAACCGCCCCAGTGCATGCTGCAGGTTCTGGTTCGTTGGAGCCAACAGGACAACATTGTCCGCAAACAGCAGAGATTAAATCCTGTGGTCTCCGAACCGGACCCCCTCCGACCCCTGGCTGCGCCTAGATATTCTGTCCATAAATACAGTGAACAGAACCGGTGACAAAGGGCAGCCCTGTCGGAGGCCAACATTCACCGGGAACAGGTCTGACTTACTGCCGGCAATGCGAACACAGCTCTGGCTCCGGTCATACAGGGATCGGATGGCCCTCAGCAGAGGACCTCCGACCCCGTACTCCCGGAGAACCCCCCAAAGGACACCCCGGGGAACACAGTCGAACGCCTTCTCCAAATCCACAAAGCACATGTGGACAGGTTGGGCGAACTCCCATGAACCCTCGAGTATCCGATGGAGAGTATAGAGCTGGTCCAGTGTTCCGCGACCGGGACAAAAACCACACTGCTCCTCCTGGATCTGAGATTCGACCCTCGGCCATAACCTCCTCTCCAGTACCTTGGAGTCCAGACCTTACCGGGGAGGCTAAGGAGTGTGATCCCACGATAATTGGAACACACCCTCCGGTCCCCCTTCTTGTAGAGAGGGACCACCACCCCGGTCTGCCACTCCATTGGCACTGCCCCCGATCGCCACGCGATGTTGCAGAAACGTGTCAGCCAAGACAGTCCCACAACATCCAGAGACCCTAGATCAGCCATTCCCAAACTCAGTAACACCGAGGCCCCCTTAAAAATCTGACGGGTCTGCGTGGCCCCCCAAAATAATAACCAAGAAGACAACATTAAGAATAGTCTCTTCTGGTTATTTTATTTTGGGGAAATAGCCTCTGCTACAAACATTGTAATACAAAAATGATTACAGTGGATTATTCAAGTCAAATAATGAACACAAATATTTTAATATTACAAACAAAACATTATAAATTTAACATTAAATAATTATATATATATCTTTTTTTTTTTTATGACCTCCCGCGGCCCCCCCTGCAGTACCCTCAGTGTCTCCCACTTTGGGAGACACTGCCCTAGATAATCAGGGCGGATCTCATCCACACCCGGAGCCTTGCCACCATGGAGGCTGCCAACCACCTTGGTGACCTCAGCCAGGGAGATGGATGTATCCGCCCCAACATCCTCAGCCTCTGCCTCTGTAACAGAGGACGTGACGGGGGGATTGAGGAGAACCTCAAAGTATTCCTTCCACCGCCCGACAATATCCCCAGTCGAGGTCAGCAGCTCTCCACCCGCACCGTACATGGTGTTGGCAAAGAACTGCGTCCCCCTCCTGAGGCGCCGGATGGTTTGCCAGAATCTCTTCGAGGCCGACCGATAGTCATGCTCCATGGACTCTCCGAACTCCTCCCAGTCCCGGGTTTTTGCCTCTGCAACAGCCCGGGCCGCAGCACGCTTGGCCTGCCGGTACTGGACAGCTGCCTCAGGAGTCCCCCGAACCATCATGGCTCGATAGGACTCCTTCTTCAGCCTGACAGCATCCCTTAAGCCTAGTTTATACTCGCGCGGCGCGGAGCTTACGGAGGTGACGTGACGTCACTTGCGCAACGCGTTGGTCACCGCAAGGCCCTTACGTCGCCTGCCGCGCAGCATCGAAATTTTCTAACCCCGTAAGGGTCGCCACAAGGAAGCTCCGCTGTGATTGGTCCGTGTGTGTGTATTGGAAGGAAGCACAGAGCGGCTGCAGCAGGGACAATGGACGAGGCACTATGGAGCAGAGAGCTTTGTGCTTTGAAGGAAAAGCAGTTTGGGCTCAGAGCCTGATATACAGGAGACTGTGGACTATCTAAAATAAACATATATAACTTATATCTAACATATATATAACTTATAAACTGTGCAGTCGTTTGGGTTGCACTGTTCCTGTCTTTGTTTGAATCGTAGCTGCGTTTGTTGCTTTCCTCCTGCACTCGTAAATCGTTCATGTTTGTATCAGATATTTACCACTATTATTGTTTTGCTGTTTGTGCTGAAAACTATTTAATAATAACTATGTTTCCAACAAGAACTGTGTCTTTATTCACAGCATCACAGTTGAAATGACTTATAAAATAATGAATCCATAAAACTATCACATAAACCTGCAGTAGAAACACGTGTAATGAGCTCAAACAGCTTTGTTTGTTATTGTTGTTCTGAAGAGGACAAAGTAGCAGCGTAAATGGGACCGCTCCTGTGTGATCGCCCTCATGTGGTTTGTTGTGGGATTACAACATTCTCCTCAATACTCCGTAAGGGGAACGCGCCAGTATAACATCAATTGTGCTTGCGTAGGTCCACCGCAACCGCTAACGTAAGCCACGCCGCGCAAGTATACACTAGGCTTTACTGCCGGTGTCCACCACCGGATTCGGGGGTTCCGGCCGGGACCAGCACCAGAGACCTTGCGACCACAGCTACGAGCCGCCGCATCGGCGATTGAGGCAGAGAACATGGTCCACTCGGACTCCATGTCCCCCTCCTCTGGGTCCTGGGAGAAACTCTCCCGGAGGTGTGAGTTGAAAGTCCGTCTGACAGGGGGCTCAGCGAGACGTTCCCAGCAGACCCTCACTATACGCTTGGGTCTGCCAGGTCTGACCGGCTTCTTCCCCTGCCAGCGGATCCAACTCACGACCAGGTGATGATCGGTTGACAGCTCCGCCCCTCTCTTTACCCGAGTGTCCGAGACACGCGGTCGAAGGTCAGATGATACGACAACAAAGTCGATCATCGACCTCCGGCCTAGGGTGTCCTGGTGCCACGTGCACTGGTGGACACCCTTGTGCTCGAACATGGTGTTCGTGATGGACAAACTGTGACTGGCACAGAAGTCCAACAACTGAACACCGCTCGGGTTCAGATCAGGGGGGGCGTTCTTCCCGATCACCCCTCTCCAAGTGTCACTGGCGTTTCCCACATGGGCGTTGAAGTCCCCCAGGAGAATAACGGAGTCCCCGGGCGGTGCACCGTCCAGTACACCTCCCAAGGACTCCAAGAAGGCCGGGTACTCTGCACTGCTGTTAGGCCCGTAGGCCGTCACAACAATGAGAGACTTGTCCCCCACCCGGAGGCGGAGGGACGCGACCCTCTCATTCACCGGGGAGAACTCCAACACGTGGCGGCTGAGATGGGGGGCAATGAGAATGGCCACCCCAGCTCGCCTCCTCTCCCCGCGGGAAACACCAGAAAAGTGGAGCGTCCAACCCCTCTCAAGGAGTTGGGTTCCAGAGCCCAAGCTGTGTGTGGAGGTGAGGCCGACTATCTCTAGTCGGTATCGCTCAACCTCCCCCAAGAGCTCGGGCTCCTTCCCCCCCAGTGAGGTGACGTTCCACGTCCCAAGAGCCAGATGTTGTGTGTGCGGACTGGGTCGCCGAGGTCTCCGCCTTCGACTGCCGCCCAGTCCTCTCAGCACCGCTTCACCACGGACCCCTCTGCAGGTGGTGGGCCCACAGGAGGGACTGCCCACGTCATCCCTTCGGGCTGAGCCCGGCCGGGCCCCGTGGGCTAAGGCCCGGCCACCAGGCACTCGCATACGAGCCCCGACCCCAGGCCTGGCTCCAAGGTGGGGCCCCGGCTGCGCCATGCCGGGCGACGTCACTGATGTCATATTTGTGCTGTCCATGGTGTCTTCTGGACTGCTCTTTGTCTGACTCGTCACCTGAGACCTGTCTGCCATGGGAGGCCCTACCAGGGGCATGAAGCCCCAGACAGTATAGCTCCCAGGATCATCCGAGTACTCAAACTCCCCCACCACGTTAAGGTGGCAGTCCAGGGGGGAGAAAACAACAACAAATAAAAATAAAAGGACCATACAACTCACACAGAGTTAAAAGCCAAAGCATACTAATGGGTCGAAAAAAGTATAGTCCAGCAATTACGGTATAGTTCCTCGCTCTCAAAACAGTTTTGTTCTTTCCCTAGTTGCATGTATTTTAGCCTGTGTCATATTTTTAGATCAGCTTTTTCAAAAAATTAAAAAGAGAGGACCCCAGTCTCTCAGCTCAAACTATCAAAGAGTGGCTCACAGGCCTCTTGCTTACAACATGCGAAAGATAAAGACATATTTCTGTTGAGACTAACACGGATCAATAATGAATAAAGAAAGTTAGGTACCCCAGCTTTACTTACTTTTTAATTCAGGATTTCTCTCTGTGTTCAAGCAGAAAGGGTGAGTAAGTCCAACACACCGCTGCTGGAGAGGACACCAACCCCAATCAGAACCAGGTACTTTTTCTTATTTTGTATTATTATTATTACGGTTAATGGTTCAAACAGTAATGGGTCTCTCGTGCTTTTTTTAATTTTTTTGTTTTTTTGTAGTCCTCCGTTAGTGCTAAAAGCGGACCAAAGCTGCTCAACTCCTTCTGTAACTACCAGCCAGCCTCTTCCAGGTAAACAACATCAACTGTATGTCGATTTATTTTTAAAACTCATTCGCTCATTAACACTTTATTCACAAAAGAATAACTCTTGTTTTAATCTATTTTAACGACTGCCTCGGGTAAACAGCGCAAATATTTACTTCCAGTTCAGCTCTCTTAATGTTACTTTATTATTAAAATCATTACTATTTAATGATGTATTTTACTGCAGTGGTTGTCCTTGGGGTTTTTAAGATCCCTAATTCTGCCAAAAAAGAAAAAGCTTATGTTATGATGCATTTTGTTCATTTGCATCATGGATCTGCAGTTTATAGCGACCTGTAGCTCACCATCTGTAGCTCCCCCAAGGACTTGACTATGAATCAACTGAATAATCAAACATTGTAAAGAAATTTTGTTTCCGTTTCTGGACGAGACAAGGCAAGTAAAAGCAACACGTACAGAAGGCTACTCAAATAAAAAGAAAACTAACAAATCATCACAGAATATGCATTTGAAACATTATAATTTATTTCAAAGGAGGAACACAGTTGAATCCGGTTGGTGTTTCAAATCACAACGTCAAAACCCACCTTTTTAGATTGGCTTACACATTTTAATATTATAGATGTATTTATTTTGTATTTTAAAATGTATTCTATTGTAATGTGTGTTTAGGTGTCTTTAAATGAAATATTATCATTATTATAACTTCTAGACTTGAACATTGTCAGAGTAGAAGCCTGTCTCACATTTTTAGAAAGACTGTTCCAGATTTTTGCTGCTTGAATCTGAAACGCTGCATGGACACATTTGAATCAAAATTCTTTTTATTTCCTTTGTACGCAACAAAAGTCACAAACTATGGACACATGCATGGATCTCCCTGTCTGCTTTTGACCCTATACTTATTCTGGCAATGTTTTAAACGGTAAAAAGCTGCTCATGTTTCTGGTGTGGTTTGGTTGTTATAATACATTTATAATATATTGTTTTATTCTGTTCTGAAGTCAACAACATCTAAGGCTGGTTCTCCTTTATATTGACTCAGATTCTTTTTTAACCCTGAAAAAGTAGCTCTTTGGGAGAAAAAGGTGGTGATGACATAATCAGAACAAAAGAGTCACCTTGTAACATCAGTTCAATACCTGTGTATCCCGACATGAACCGGATCAATGTTGTCCAAATATGAGGATGCACTTAGAAGCGTTTATAGTTTATTTACTTGTGTTTTTGTATGGAGGGTTGTGTTTCTGCTGCTGCACACCAGAATGTCTCCTTCGGGGATCAATACCAGTCTATTTTTTTTACACCAGCAGCGGTCGCTCTTTGAAATTCTCATTAAAATAGGCTCGGGTTGAACATATGTAAATAAATATATGTAGAATTGTATATAAGCCCACAAATATGTTCATCTTGACATTTAGAATTGACCTTTGTGACATCATTAAAAATAGAAATTCTTGTTCTTTTGTACCTATGTTTAAATTCCTCATTTTTTATCCCAAAGATATTTTTAGTCATATTTAAATGCCTGCGGCCAAATGAAACTGCTCCCCTCCTCAGTGTGCACAACAAAGTCCCTGTGCTTGCCTTCAGTTATTACATGCACCTAAAATATTCCAAGTTGTAATACACAAAATACCAAAGACGAGGAGTCAAAAAGTACAGTATTTAAAGTCGTGGAAAATGGATAATAAATTGAAAATCACCTCCATTGGGAAAACAGCAGAGAACCAGCAGAATATCTTTGAGCACTAAAAATACTCTTTCTTCAACAGAAACGAGCCTCAGAAGAGATCAAACTACGGATGGAACCTACTTTTACAGGTGACATTTTTGACAATATGAAAGGAAATGGATTCAGAATAGGTGTCTTTATCCAACAGACCCTTTTATAAAACAGGTAAATGTGTATAGAAGCGCTGCACTGGATCAAATTCTGTGAAAACATACAGGTGCTCATCCCATCAGTGCGTCTACCGTCACCAATATACTGTATATTAAATTGTGTGGTGGATCACAGAAACTCAATAAATTGCATTCTAATTGTATTTTTTCGTCATGATGCTCAATAGATATATTTAAATAGTATCTGTGTTGTTATAGATGTATATTTTTAGGCTTTTTATTGCTCTCCAATCCTTCTTACTGTTCATTCTCTGCACTTAAAAAAGATTAATCACAGCTGTGTGCTTACATTGACTTATGGATGTTGGATATGGCTTAAACAACACAATCTGTCTCTGTGTAGACAAACAGTAGAACATGGGAAAACAAATAACCGGAATATTTATAAGGGATACTATCTAAGGGTGTATTCAGACCTGCACATTTGCTCCACTTTAAACGAACCAGGATTCGTTTAGAACTCTGATCCGAATCTTTTATGCAGGTCTGAATACACACAAACGAATCCTGGTCCGGACCAAAGAACCGAACCGAGACCCACTTTTTGAGGTGGTCTCGGTCCGCTTCCAAACGAATTCTGGTCCAAGTCGAATCAGGTCTGAATACATCCGGTGTCGATCCGACACAACTCCAAGATACGTGCGCATTTTTTGGGCTTAACAAGCCGCAGACAGAAACTGAGGAATTAGCCATGCAGCGGCTAACTATGCTGCTAACTATGCTGCTAACTATGCTGCTAACTATGCTGCTAACTATGCTGCTAACTATGATGCTAACTATGCTGCTAACTATGCTCCTAACTATGCTGCTAACTATGCTGCTAACTATGCTGCTAACTATGCTGCTAACTATGCTGCTAACTATGCTGCTAACTATGCTGCTAACTATGCTCCTAACTATGCTGCTAACTATGCTGCTAACTATGCTGCTAACTATGCTGCTAACTATGCTGCTAACTATGCTGCTAACTATGCTGCTAACTATGCTGCTAACTATGCTGCTAACTATGCTGCTAACTATGATGCTAACTATGCTGCTAACTATGCTCCTAACTATGCTGCTAACTATGCTGCTAACTATGCTGCTAACTATGCTGCTAACTATGCTGCTAACGCTACACAACAACACTGAGCCGTGTGCAGACCTGGAGCAGTGAGGAGACGCTGTGCAACAGGCTTATGGAGTTAAAACTGTTCACAGCATACATTGATGTTAATGGCAACATCTTCAAACCATTTGCATTATTAAAAGCCTGACGTGTTTGACTCACGTCTCAAAGAGCAATATCCCAGTATCATGTAGTGAATTGTGTTCTTTGGTTCCTACCTGATCCTCAGCGTCTGTTTGTCCCGTGGTTATTATAGATCCATGGTTTATCCACAATGCTGAACAGGGCCGTTATTATCATAGATCCATGTGTGGGACAGGGTTATTATCATAGATCCATGTGTGGGACAGGGTTATTATCATAGATCCATGTGTGGGACAGGGTTATTATCATAGATCCATGTGTGGGACAGGGTTATTATCATAGATCGATGTGTGGGACAGGGTTATTATCATAGAGCCATGTGTGGGACAGAGTTATTATCATAGATCCATGTGTGGGACAGGGTTATTATCATAGATCCATGTGTGGGACAGGGTTATTATCATAGATCGATGTGTGGGACAGAGTTATTATCATAGATCCATGTGTGGGACAGGACACGGAGCGCACAGAGTCTCCTTCGGCTTTCTCCTCACGCATTCTCCGACGCTGTTCCAATATTTAAAACAACGTGTTTTGCCTGTGTCATATGAGCTGCTGTTGATGTTGAAGGTGGTTTTGGTCTAAAAAGAGCAAACAGAGGCAGAGCAGACATGCTGCACATACGAGCCCTCTGTTTTCCTCCGGTTCCGCGTCTATTCTCCATGAGCTCTCGCCGTCCAATAGGAGCCGATCGTCACACGTGTCAATATGTTTATATAAAAAAGTTCACTTGCAAAAAGGACAGTCTGAATACAAACCAGAGCAAAAGAAAAAAAGTTTGGTCTGCTTTTGATTCGGATCAAGCAAGCGGAGCAAAGGACGTTTCAGGTCTGAATACACCCTAAATGTCCAGAGTCCACACATTTGGTTCACATTAACTGAACTAAATCTGCTTCACTTGGTGCAAAAAAAATGCTGTATTTGTAAAACAAGTGAAGATGTGTCCATGAGTCACTTAAAGTAGTAATATGTAAGATTTTCATGTCAAGTCATCATTAGATAGCCCTAATCTGTCAAAAGGCATTCATAAACCATGCTCTTTTTGAATACAGTACTTCTTTAGGTGATAATAGTATTTCAGCCAAGACACTTGAATTTCAAAATTAGTTTTACAGCCCCCTTAATCTTGTTATTGTTTCATTTCGATGTCTTGCCCTCCATCTTTTTACCAATCAGAAAGTGATCCGGGTTGCCAGAACTCACAGCATCGAACTAATCTCACAGGTAAAGTAACATGTGGCCGCAGAACTAAAACAGGTCTTGTTAAGATTCTCAAATCCTTAATGACAAAACAAGGAATAAAACGAGGATTTCTATCGGGGCCTTTGTGACAAATGTGTTGGTTATAGATTTGTTGTTGACAAAACCTTTGTCTATTCAGATATTATGGTCCCAACTCGATTCGTCTGCATATCTGGCAGCAGGGGTCAGGGAGAGTGGGAGAGATTGCAGTACCACTTTTGGCCAGATTTTTACATACCACTCCTTTAAGTCAAAAGATTAAAGTCAGTAGTTTCAAATATTTGAAACAGTCTCTGAAGAATTTTTACAGAAGTGAACCAGACGTGGTCCAGTTAAAGTGAACCAGAACAATGTGAAGGCGCCCTTATTAGTACTTATATCGGCAGGTTGTTGCAGTGGTTCTGTTGGCACCCCCTCTGTTTCCTTCTCATTTGTATAGCGCATATCAATTTTTATGTATGCCTCATGGACCTATTACTCTTGTGTCCGAAATAAAGTATTGAATTGAATTGAATTGAAGTAAAACAGCTTAGGGTTATCAACGTGCTGTAAAGACAAGTGAGAAAGCAAAACAAAAACAGCAACCATTAAAAACACTTAAGGAAGTGTCTTAAGGAAGGATTTAAAGCTCGCTCCAATTTGTCCAACTGATTATATTTGACAAATTGCTAACTGGTTCATTGTTGGTTTCTGACCATGTTGGACACTTGTACTAGTAAAAGAATGATTTCTATGAATGATAAAGGTTCTGTGTGTCCAGAAGTAACCTATGCATCATTTTATAGTAACTGTATAATTGTAGATTAATGTGACTGTTGAGAGATCAGCGTTTTCTTCATAAAGACATTCAAGTTACAATGTAAAGGCATTTAAAGTGAGTATGAATAAAGCATATTTTTTATTGTTATAGGTGCCATGTGTGCGGCTTTGAGACAGAGGGGCGGAGTCTCTTCCACGATCACATGACCGAGCACCGCCAATGGGAGCAGGAGCTGTTTTCCCTGCACTGCTGCGTGTGTGACCTCTCCACCAATCAGGAGCCAGAGATGATGGCGCACATCGACACGCACCTGCACCGCGAGGCACAGATCAGGTCAGGAGCTCGGTCTTGTCCTGGGTTTGTTTAGACTAGCACAAAGTCTACATAAACTGGAGATGAGGAGAAATGATTCCCATTCTATTTGATACAATTACTACCTTTAAACAGTCATTAAGATACAGTCATTGGTTTTAAGTGATGTGAGATAGTACAAACAATGACTTCATAAATAACATTACATTCTTTCAGTTATAATGCTTGAATTTATTGCTATATTCAATTGTACGGTATTGAGTTCCATGCATATTTCAGGGTCCCGGTCTGAAAAGTTTGGGGACCCCTGGTCCAGCACTTAGTGCAGCTTTCACTTTGACTTGGATTAAATAATGTCAAAGATATTATTTATTGCGGAAATCTTGCATTTGGATACTCATTAATAGTTTTCCTACATGTAACACTGCGTGTCTGTGTGTGTGAGTGTGTGTGTGTGTGTGTGCGCGTGCGTGCACGTGTGTGTGTGTCTGCCTGTGTGGGAGGCCTGTGGTTTTCCTCAGAGCCTTCACATGTGTCATAGATTTGTCTCTTGTCATAAATAAAACAGACGTGATGAAGAGTTCTCGGCACCTTTAGAGCTGAAGGTTTTGAAATGATTTGATTTTTCATGTGGTTTTAAACAAACTCTTGGCTTCACTCTGAGGTCATGTCCTCCTCTTTTGCTCAGATGCCCTCCCACCCCTCCTGTTGTTGCCATGGAGACGCCCCCGGAGACGAGCGCCCACCGCTGCAGGATCTGCCAGAGGTCGTTTCCAGGGCAACAGGAACTGCTGGTTCACTTCCAGGGTCATCGTCAGGGCAACCAGTACCGGTGCGACCGCTGCGGTCACCTGACGCGCACAGCCAACAAGCTGGTGGAGCACGTGCGCGTGCACACGGGAGAGCGGCCCTTCACGTGCACGCTCTGCCCCTACAGCGCTAAGAGGAGGGACAGTCTGCGGCTGCACTGCAAAGTCAAGCACCCAGGACACGTCCACGTGCCCACGTCTCACGTGCACACGCCCTCCACTCACACACACATACCAGGTCACGTGCACGCTCCTGGACACGTGCACGCTCCTGGACATTCAGACAGTCAACGGCTCCACACTCTCTGTCCTCCCCCCAACAGCCCCTCGCTCTGGAGGGAGCTGTCCCCTCTGCTGCCAATCACAGTCCTGCTCAACATCAGGCCCCGCCCCTCTGACCAGCCCAACCAATCAGAGCCCTGTCCTCCCGTGCCCCCAGACCAATCAGAGCCCTCCTGTCCCTCTACGTCTTCCTCTAAACAGTCGTACATGCGTTACCTCGGCCTTGGGTCGCTCTGAGCGCCTCAGAGTTTGAGGCAGTGACCACAGAGAGAATGTCCTCCGCCTCAGGGCCTACGTCACTGCTCAAGTCTCCAACAGACACTATCAATGCAAACATTTTAGTTTTAAGCATTTCAAAGCACTGCCTATTTTTCAAAATCATTTTTATTTTTTTCAACTTAATTTCCTTTTTTATAATGACTGCTTTTTGAAGGTACACATCCTCACTCACAATGTTGTGACAGGTCCCATATTATGCAAGTATTAAAAATGCATTACAGTTACTAGTGCAGTATGGTACAAACTGATCTATCTTTCATATGTGTTTTTTTACTTCCCAAAATACAAGGAAGCCACTGCTGTGGATTGTGGATTTCTTCAATGCAGATAGTTCCGTAATATTATTTCAAACTTCCAGACAAATGTGCATCGAAATGAAAATGTGTCAAACATTTTAAAACTGCATCGTGCACCTTTAACACTGCTGCTGGTTTTTCACATTACAGATGTTCTGATATGCACAGAGGGGATTATTTAAAACATATAAATGCTTGATAATTAAAAATAAATTACAATTTTCTGTTTGAACGTCTGATAGTTAAAAAACAGAGCAGCACTTTCTAATTTGCACATATACACGTAATATTTGTGATGATGTCGCAATGCAATTTTAAAACATGACAAAAAACGAATCTGAAGGCTGTCATGATCATTTGTCTCACAAACACATGGAACAAAAACACAACAACAAACTTGGCAATCCCCCAAAAAAATAATGTTCAATGGATTTGGACAGAATGTGCTATGTGTCAAAGACCTCCAACTATGAAAGAAACCCAAATCTCATCGTCATCTCTTTGTTTTTTCATGTTTGTGATTGTATTTTTCCTGCTACCTGCCTTGGGACAACAGATAGAAACTTGCATCTTTGCTTGGCATATTTACTCTATGATGATTTATGAATGTTCATGAATATGCACTGCTCCTATCACAAAACTAACGACTAACATCCTGAGCAATTTTGTGGAATGTTCCAGGCAAAATTAAAGCTGGAGTACCTAACTTTGAAACCACAAAAAATTTAACAATATCTACGTAACTATAATTCCTCATTCTTTGGTTCTGTCACTAGTTTTACTCTGTCACCTCTTTACATCAGCCTGTTCGGTGAAAAATAGAGGACCACTTTCGCTCAGCCAATCAGCTCTCAGTATGTAGAAGAATGTTTTGTATTATGATGAAGACCGCATGATGTCTGTTCTCTCTGTATTCAAGAAACAAAGTTAGGTACTCCAGCTTTAACATCACCAAGCAGACAGCAGGCACTCTCCAGGCAAAAAGTCAGTTTAGCCTAATATGGGACCAATATGATAATCATTTAAATTGGGCCTACTTTCACTCCTTACATTTGATTTGTTTTTGTTTTAAAATCTGCTTTTCTCTGTGATGGATGTAACTCAGACGTATTGTCACCAACCTTTATGAGAATGTCAATCAGCTCCTGTTGCAATGCACTGAACTCATGGACAATGGACTTTTCTATCGTTGAACTTTTTGCCTTTTTTGCTCGAGAATTTAGATGCGTTTTTTGCCTGCCTGTGTAATCATGGAACTTTTTAGCTATTTAAAGTTGTGACATATTTATGATTGCTTGTTTCTCCTTCGTCCTTGAGAAACCGCTGCTTTAGGAAAAGACATCTGGCCGTTTTAAGATTGAATGTATGTTGGGGCTGAATGGAAAAATATCAACTTAGACATGAGCTGCTAAACATAATCTGTTTATGTATTTTTAAGCTATGTTACCAGTTTTATATAAATACACAGAGGAGTAGGCAAGTCAGTCGATTCAAATTGGTCAGAAAAAAGTTAATGAAGGCTTTTTACAGCATGAAAATATCTTTGAGCAAGGTTTTATTTCTTTCCTAATTTCCTTAACGTTGTTAAACTAATTTACAGTGGGAATAGTGATAACCCAGTCAGTGTTGCCAGGCAGATTATGGGAAGGCTTATAAGAGCTTCTGTGCCTGCGGGTGAAAAATATGCCCTTTTTATATGCAGGCTTGTTAATAATTCAGAAAACAAAATTCCACTGCCTATTCAAAGACAGAAACTTTGATTTGTGAGTAAAAGTCTAATGTAAAGCCACATGTTCTACAGGTTCTATTATTAATAGTATCTTAATAGTAATAATAAAACATTGAACTTCTATTAAGAAATAGATTGCATTGTTCATTTGCTCCATATACAGTGATGTGTATGCTCCCATCACAGCTCCACCCAACCCCTTACCTGCTTAGCTTCAAATAATGACGAGAGTTATAAACTCTTGCACTTGCAACCTGACTACCATTATCAAGATTTATACTAATAATATTTTGAAAAACAAACATTTGAATCTTTATACTAGTAATATTTTGATGCTCAATTAGCTATATATCTATATCTGTGTCCCCAGATAGTAGGTACATGGACAACTCATATTTGTCCTTTTCTGAACAAAAGTGAAGTCATTCTTTGTAAAAAAAATAAAAATAAAAAAAATAAAAAAATAGAATGGACATGATGTTTTAAAGCAGATTATCCAATCAGAGACTGTCCCTCAATTGAGTTGCAGGTTTTAATTAGAATTCAGAATCATGAATGCGCGACACAGGAATGTATGAAAGCCGATACAAAACTAAGTACTCATTTATAATTTGTACCATTCCTAGTTGAACCCCAGCAGGTGGTTTGCATTTGTAGTCAGTGCTATAGATATTTATAGTCTTTGATATTCACAAATCAAAATTAACATGAAGAGAATCAAGAATCAAATTTACTTTTTCCTTTTTTCTTAAAGCAGGGTGTTTCTGAACTGACAAAGCCGAGAATGCTTTTAATATTTGTGTTGTAGATTGATAATAATGTGTTTGTGTTTACATTAACTACACACGACTGGAGACGTCTGCGTTGCACTAAATGTTGTTTTCTGCATTTGACATTATAGTATATTTAAGCTAATTTTGTACGCTTCACTCACTGAGTAGATATCATCTGGTCTTTTGTTTTGAAAGTATTACGACTGACGACTCTGGTCTCATGTCATCTGTAAAGAGAGATGGTTAACACTCTGCACTTTAAGCTTTGGAGCAAAAACGTCCCTCAGAAAAAAATGCTGCAATTCAAAATAATGTATGATAGAACATGGAGAGACGCCGGACACGCAAAAGAAAACAAGGAACTTTTGGTAAAATTCTATTGGGAAATGTAACCTCAAAGAATGTCGTAATGATAGTATTGGCCAAATGTGTTTTATTTTCCATAGCTGTAAGTTTTCTAACCTCACGACAAGGACGACAATGTCTAAAATCTACTGTGAGTGGATTTTGAATGTTTCTGATTAACTTTCTACGTCTACGGGCAAATACTTGAGACCACTAGGACCTCTGTTTCAGACTAGTTTTTTTAATGAGGAAAAAAAAACAATCTATTCTGGTGGTAAAGGAGACATATTATGCTAAATCAACTGTTTTAAGTTTAAAAAAAGTCTAGAACAGACCCGGAGTTACTTTTAGATAGATCCACGCTAATACTGTATCAAGAACTTCTGGCGCAAACATGTTAACTCCGCCCCTTCTGTCTATACTAATACTATGATGTCATTGCACCACTATGACATCACACTCAGAGCAGTTAGTTTAGTCTATTTCTGAAATTAAATGTTGAATTAAATGATGTTGATTGCAGCCAATAAATTTCAAAAAAAACAAATGAATCTCCTCCCTCTGGTGGTAGCTTAGGGAGTTAGAGACGGAAAACATTTGTTGCTCTTCGTACATGTTTTGCCATATTCTTTACTACTTAACATTTTTATTTCACATTTAAAACATGAACTGACAAAGTAAATAGTCTCCTTATCATTTGAAATGGCCAAACATAATGCATAATATTTCTTCTTTAAAGCTACACATGAGACTTTCCGGTGAATATTATACACAATCAAAGGAAGTACATGTTAATACAGAGGTTCTCAGGGGTTTCCGTCAGGGACCCCCAGAGCTGTCAAAATGCATTGTAGTTTTGTACATTTGAGCCATAGTCCTTTGTTTTTTGTGAAATATGAAGTGAAACACAAAGACAAGCTTAGAATGTTGTGTCCCCCACTTTGAGAGCCGCTGTGTTAATACATTACTTACATATTTAAACATTGAAAATTAACAAGAATATTCTCACATTAGCAGGGTCGTCTCCTTGCAGATTTGGCCTGTAACTTGCCCTTGTGGATTCACCTGCTGCTTGTTTCCATGGAGATTAATTAACCTACTTTTCATCTTTGTCATATGAGCAAAGGCCCAGGACATACATTTTCAAATCCTCATTAAGGAAGACATATTATGCCACGTTCAACAGCTTTTAATTGATTTTCCTTGTCTTTTTCTATCTTTTTCTCTTACTCTGCGATGCATGTAGAATTTGGCATTTTTTTAGGTATTTCAACTGATGTTCGGTGGTCTGTTTATGGCAAAGCGGATTGGTTAAATAAGATAAGATTTGCTTTATTTATCAACACAATTATCAAAATGACTAGAGGAACGAATGCATATGGAGATCAAAAAATGTAGGACAAATGTGAGAGGATCCATGGGAAAATAATGTTGGGAACAAAGAAGAAAACATCTAAGGTATTCTGATTTTAAAATGATAATCCTTTTCCTTATAAAGACCTTAGAAGGGTGAAAACGCGTCGCCATGTCCCTATAGAAATAAAGGATTTTTATTTGTGTCTCAGATTTTTTCCTCTTTGCTCAACACATTTATCAATATGGAAGTTAGTGGAAACAGTTCATTATCAGTCGTAAAATTACAGTCAAATGCACAATATGTCTTCTTTAACATCATTTGATCAAACTAACTCAGACAATGCAAGTATTATTGAATATCTAAATTGTCCAAATATATAGTCAGCAGTAATGTTAGTGGTTATGTCTAAATCATCAATAACTATTATTACGTTAAGGGGAAGTTGTACAATGTTATGT